AAGTGCCCAGACGTCGTTTAAGACCTCCTGCTGGGGTCCAGAGCAATTCAAATAATTTGAAGCAACGAAAGTAAAATTTTTAAACTGGCATGCACTTATCTTTCTAAATAGTGCGTAACTATCAATACTAAAGTCACTTTTTTGGTTAAGGAAACCATTTGTGGGTCGGATTTTGGTCATAAATGCGAGAAATAGTGACCATTATTTAGTACCCTTGAAAATTACAGAAACAAAGTAATAACTTTGTAAACAAACTATTATTTGAAGTAATACATGGTCAGCGGAAAAATGAGGAAAAATAACAAAGCAATATGAATAAAGTGGCATTCAAATTCATTATCACGAAATGTTTTATATCAACTTGCCACTTTAAAAGTAGGCGCCATTTTAAAATTATTTGTGTGTAACGCACGCCATTCGACCCATGCACGCCGCTTTGGCCTGTGTTTTGTCCTCCTCTCCCTTCTCGCACCCTCACCTTCCTCAAGGAATGCCCGTGAGACTTAGGGCAACGCCTTCCCTCCTCACGTCCAGCTCTTTCTCCTGCTCGAACACTCTTTAAGCTCTAGCACTCTGAATGTGCATGCGTTAGTATGGAAAACATTCGATTCTTCCAGTTATTCATCTATCAGGTGCCTGGCAGTTAACAACGATGGTGTAACAATCTTAGAGGAACGGGGAAACAGTCATCCACTTATTTAGTACCCCGCTCGCTAGGCGCGTTACAAATACATAGGAAAACCAGGGTATTAGGACCACTCGCAATTTTTTCCTTTTTAGCATAATTGCATTGGAAAACGACACAAATTTTATGTTCATCGTCTCTACAAGGTGCAAGTTTTAGTCATACATAAAAAATATGCGGTTTAGAAAAAGACAAACGATGCCTAGTACACATTGATCTTTCACAGATTTCTTATAAATACCTGGATATCTTATGAAAAGCCATTTCATACAAAATAAATTAAAGATATGTATGTATGAAAGTCAAAAAATCGACCTACTCTACATACTTTGCATTATCATTTTTGACTTTACATTGTTTTAAAAAAATGAAAAATTATCACACATAAAGATTTTTTTAGTGCGAGGGCAGGCTAAGTGTGAAAAACTGTTGGTCATTTACTTTAACAGTTTTTCAAAAAAACTGGATATGCTCCAGGAATTTTGGCCTACCCCATATTAGGTTATTATTGCTATAATAGCTTACCATTTGTAAATATTTGATACCCTTTTTGTGGGCCCCAGCATGTGGTCTTGAACCACGCCGGGGCCACGGAATTAACTCTGGCTCGATCATGCTTGCCTGATGCCCTCGATGAAAGAAAAAACTGAAGAGGACGGGACACAACCGTTTACTTCAGAGCTCAATCTCGTTGGTGTCGTTGTGTCGTGTGGGGTTTGGGCGTGTATATTTATACCTCAGATGCGTGAGTCATACATGCACTAACATCGAGACCTAGGTGTGAGGATAATCTAAGATAAATAGTGTGAATGAGTGGGAGGGTTGCAGATCCGCGAGGCTGACGACATGCTGCGAAAAGGGGAACCCAGTGTCGGAGATGGATCGACCGGATTAAGGGATGTGAATAAACACGATTCACAAAAACCTCCCTATGAGAGGTCATGCGCCCTGCTGGCTTGCCTGAATAATTCACTAGTGCTTAAAACCAATGCGCTTAATGTTGCGATTTCAAAACATCGATAAATTCGTAACTAATAGGAATACGAATTTGAGGAGACAATATGTGGTTGATAACTCGGCTAACCTGAGAATGTTAAAGTAAAAAGTAAAGTGAAGTAAAAATAAATAATGCAAGAATAGTGGAAAGATCCAATAACACATAACACTTGATTATGTGAAATAATCGATTCAAGTAATGTAATGCTGTGTCCATGCAGTTGTAGAAATATAAGATATTGAGAGATAAAATAAGATTTCACAAGTACAATATGAATTTAAACATTGAATAATATTTGGGCGTCAACAAAACAGACTCCATCGACCAATCAAAAGCTAGAATTACATGTCAGGCGGCGTCCATTCAAGTTTCCTACGCCGGCTGTGCTGCTCATTATGTACTGCTCCTCATTTGTGCCATACTCTGGTTGGCAGCAGATTTTCTTCGCATGCCATTGGACCGCAGGCAGCCAAAGGATTGTCTGAGGCCTGAGTGGTCTTATATGTCTGCGCCTTTATACGTCGCCACACTGCCTCCTCCTCTGGAGTAAAGGTGTTCCCAGCTTCTGACTTGGTTCCACTCACCAAACACCCCACTTCAGGCAGGATAGCAGCCCAAGCGAATATTCGACGAGGGACTTTGCTCTTATATACAGACAGGAAGGCCACTTCAACCACCACAGTCTCCCTCTTCACTTGCAGTCAAGCTGGCTTCTACTGTCCATGTCATCGTCGCTAAATTGACTATGCCACTTCAGATGCAGCAGTAGTGATCACAGGCAATGTCTATGGATCCAGTGTATGGGACATCAGGTGATCGAAATGACAACGCCAGCTAGCATTTAAGCGTCGTTATCTCTGTTGATCATTTTAGGGAAAGGGCTGAGGTTCGACTCCCATTATTCGAACGTATCTGCTGCCACCAATGAAAAATACATGAGCCCTAGCATGAAGAAGACTGGTACAACACAGCAGACTATTGACCAGTCACAGGCCTGAACGACACGTCAGGCGCCTTCCATCCGAGTCCACCACGCTGGCCACGCTGCTCATTATATGCTACACCTAAGTAGTGTCCTTCTCTGGTAGGCTGCTTATCTTCCTCGCATGCCATTGGAACACAGAGAGACACAGGATTGGCTGTGGCCAGGTGGTCCAATATGTCTGCGCCCTGATCCGACGCCATTGTAGATTACCGGAGCCCTAATATGAATAAGACTGGTACAACAGAACAGGCTTTATTGACCAACCGCGAGTCAGAGCCACGCGTCAGACGCCTACCATCCGAGTCCGCCACGCTGGCCACGCCGCTCATTATATACTGCATCTCATCCATGTCCTTCTCTGGTTGGCTGCCTTCCTTTCCCGCATGCCATTGGATCGCTGAGAGACACGGGATTGGCTGAGGTCAGGTGGTTCAACATGTCTGCGCCCTAATCCGACGCCACTGTAGAATACCCGAGCCCTAATAGGAAGAAGACTGGTACAACAGAACAGGCTTTATTGACCAATCAGAAGCCAGAGCCTCACGTCAGGCGCCTTCCATCCAAGTCCCCGACGCTGGCCACGCCGCTCATTATATACTGCACCTCATCCATGTCCTTCTCTGGTTGGCTGCCTTCCTTTCCCGCATGCCATTGGATCGCTGAGAGACACGGGATTGGCTGAGGTCAGGTGGTTCAACATGTCTGCGCCCTAATCCGACGCCACACCACACCACATCCACACCGCACCACACTAGACTACAGCAATACATTTGGGTTATCTGTGAGTCGTGTAAATATTTGTCAGCATTTTAGTCCTTGTATCGGTTTGTGGGCTCTCGGATGTTATTTGTTTTCTGTGAATGCAGCAAATTAGGTTAGTAGAATTTTATGGAATGAAGTTGACGTATTTAACTTAAAAGTTTGGTTGTGGTTCGCTGCATAAAAAAATTTATGTTGTCTCTTTTGTTAATTTTGTGTGAGTTGTTGACTGACGCTGAGTACAGTACTTCATACCTGATCGAATAAATCCAATGTCCCTTGTCGCACAGTTTAGTTTCTGTTGGTCAATGTTAAACTGACATACCCAAGCAAATGTTCTCTTCTAATGTTGTCCTTAGTCCCACAGATTGAGTTTCGCCCTCTAACATTTACCTGCAAAATGTTGTCCAAATATGAGCCCACTTTCTACTCACTGTTTCTTGCAAATTATTAAAACTGCTTTTCTCTTCTGAATGCTCCATTTTCACAGTTTTGAATTTTTGTTGTTTTTCTGCAACCATTCATGTCTGTTGATCGATGCTTACTACCAGTTCTATGTTTTTTAATGTAGACGTCAGTATTTGTTTTTCTCAGGACTGAAAACACTTCTGGTTTCTGGCATCCCGTTCTTTAAAGCAAAAGCTGGCGTAATTACGTAAACGTCGCGCTAGGAAACTCACTAATTACTAAATACCAAGCTGCTTTTTCTCTATTTCTAATTTTCACTGCATTTTTCATCGGTAAATCACTTCACCATCAAATTCTTCCTTTACGTCTTTACTTGAGGCATACTTAATTCCTGATAGTCTTCAAGCATCGCCTTGATCACATTCTTCCCTTATAAAATGAACAGTTTGCTCTACTATGCCGTTCTAGTCTGTTTAGTCTCAGCAGTATTTGTGAGCATTATGTATGTTATGCAGCATCTTACAATTACCTGAACATTGTCTTAGAGAGATTGGCTTTTTATTAACTCCTTTTTGTCATTACGGGTACCTCATATCCTTTATTTGAATGTGGCAACGTAGCGTGACTTGGATGTATGCAACCGACGAAATTGGTGGACACATACACAAACGTATGCACTCAAACTTCAAGTGCTCATGACAGCAAGACTCCTGAATCCTAATAACGCGTGTCATTTCAAAGCTAATATTGCGCATAATGTCACCGACGTTTTATAATGATTGCGTTCCCTAAAGTGATTCTGGAAGCCGAAATGTGAGATAAGTAATTAAATTAGTAGTTGCTCTGACCTCTCATCATTTTGAGTAATTTGCATTCTATTTAGTTCTCTCGGAGGTTCTGTTCAATGAATCTGCTTCGATGTGTAAAACGTTGCACGGAATCCATGCGGAGATACGCTTTGTTTCTCAAGAAGGAGATTGAAGCCACAAACACTGGCTGCATTTGAATTGAGTGTTAGGGCTTTACCGGTCTGCTAAGCACGCTTAACCACAATTGTGTTAAATATCTCCTGTCACAGAATCTATCTGCTTGACTCGGGAAATATGTGTCAGTAGTTGTTTGAGCCCCATATGCCTAAATGAAACTTAAATTGCATCGACTCCTAAATTCTGTACCGGACAACAGGTGCTTCTGGTCGTGTTTTTCTAACAGATAAGACGCCAACAATGCACCACTGAATTTATCTGTTCCCGATTAATATCTGTAAACTCTTAACTGCAAACCCGAAGTCTCCAGCGGCCACCCAAATTCCTAGCTTCGGATACCCTCAATTTTATCATTGATTACACTTCCTTATATTGAATAACTGTAGGTAACTGCGAATATGATCGCATGAGTATGAGATATTCATCCAAATACCTTTTAGAATCCAGTTTTCTCGTTCAAAGATGCGTCGATACCTTGGCATAATCCGACCAATCACTCCACACTTGCTGCGGGGCTTCTCATCATCGGTAGCTAGCCCCGAACCCCCTGATGATCCATTCGACGGATTCACGCGTTCAATACACATGAAGAAACAGTTTGTGGAGGTCAAGCAACTTGACGGCAGTGTCAAGAAGGTACCAAGTGGTCTTGTTGACAACTCCAAAGAGTGGATAGGTGATGCGATGGTACGTTATCAACTGAAAATGACCGCAAACATAGATTGGACAATGGAGGGTTTCGCGGAGCGAGCGCGGAAGCGGCTACTTGAGAGACATAAACGTCGACAAGTGTACGTCACCTGATTTTTATAGACAGCTGACAGCCAAGATTTTGCCATTTTTGTTACAGTGTCGGAGCTTTTGCCAATTCATGAAATGGGCCAGTTACTACTTCCGTTTTCTTGTTAATTAGAATAATGATGGTTAGAGCGCTGACTTCAGGAGTGTAGCACGATGTCTAGCTGAAAGTAGTAGTGGTGAATTGTGTCGTGGCCGTTTCACCCTCCTTAATTCCCCTCAAATGCTACCACTCCTAACTTACTTGCCTCGCAAATTTCATGCGCTTTTACCTCAGGATTACCGCGGAGACGATTGAGAAAAGAGGCAGCCTGGACTTGGCTGTGGCGCACATGGTCTGCAATCTCGGTGGACGCGTCCAGTTTGTTGGCGATTCGCCAAACCGCTGGCGTCAGCGCTACAACAAGGGCCCACCTGATCTCCCTCCCTTCTGCTCAGACGACCTCAAACTTGAGGCCATCGACCTTTCTGGCACCGCCATCATGTACGAAGGCCTAACGAGATTGCGTGAGTTACGAGGGGACATTGCCCTTATTACTTTAATGGTAAAAGTGGTATTTTATATTTATAGAGGCTAGTCACCCTGTCATGTGTTCCCATTTAATTTAATCAGCCTCAAATTTCAATGGTTTTAAAATTTGAAGCGCTCTCGGTTGCTGATATACTCTTTTATAAGTACATATTAGTAGTAGAAATGATGCATTTTTAGTGGTGAAAGCGCTTAAAAACCTCGAAAGACTTCTAATCTGCAATATAATAGCTGTGTATAGTTATGTTGGAAATCAGAATTTTAGGGTCTCGTTAAAACATTATGACGTCGTGTGTGAACTGCCACGTAGTGGCGACGCTGTTTTAACATCAAGGGTTCTCTGCCCGGACACAAAACACTGACCAGGTCCACAAGGACACATGCTGTGATTAACTAAAGGTAACATTTGTCTTTTCCAATTTTATAGCTCAGTTGACGCATTTGAAGATTCTGCGATTGCGAAGGTGTCTCTATCTGAATGATCACTGCCTCTCCCTGGTTGGTCAGATAACCGAATCTCCGCTGGAATACCTTGACATCAGTGAGTGTCATCGCATAACGGCCAATGGAATCACCACTCTCACTGAACTCAAGTAAGCTAAGCCCCAACTGTCAACTATCCAGCTGCTTCGAATAGTTGAATCTCCACAACTACTAGCAGACCACCAGGAGATAACAGATATTGAGCGTAACCGTAAAGTTGTCACTTGAGTGCAAAATATTATGCGATAGTTGTCCAATTTCCCTAACTTTAATCCCGTTAATCAACTAGCTTCGATCCTAATTAACACGCTGTTTACTTTCATCTGCAGAAGCCTTCAACGCCTTCTTTTGCAAGGCAATCCCACCCTTGAGGATCGGGAATTAGTTTGTCTCCTGTTAGAGGAGTATCTGCCGAAAGTCTACATCGAAGGCGTGGATTACTTGGGAAATCTCCCAGAGGCTGCCAAGCAGCGAGTCCTCGCTCTGGATTCATCTGAAAACGACTCGCTCCTCACAGAGCATGTCGCCGAGGAGGCAGAGAGCCTCCGTGTTACTTCTAAATGATCATCCACCATAGATTTTGTTTTGTACATGAAATGTTCAGTGCTTAGTCTTACTGCCGCTCTTTTTCTTGACCCAGATTTAAAATAATCACTTATGTCTACTTGTTGATAAACTGTTTTGACTTTGACGAGGCTAGCGCGAGTAATATTCCCAGTAATCAATTTGACTAAATGTAAGTCTGTCTAGTGGTGGCGCAGATCAATTCCTTCTTGTGAGTTAGTCGTAGCGGGGCTATTGACGATGCATGCTTGGGATTTATTTACGTAAAATTTCCCCCCTAGATTCAGTGATTTGGCTTCTGGAGACATACTCGGTTAAGCTCCCCATCGTAGTCGGTAGGCACGCATAGCAAACAAGCAGATGAGACATGCTTAATCCAATTCTGCAATTAACTGGGAGGGTTAACATTCCGATATAGTTCCTACAACGGCTTGGTATACGGCGTTCATTGTTTGGTCATAATTTAAGAAATTACATCGGCCAATGAACAATTTACTTGATGAGTAACTTGCTATTTGAAGATGTTGGGGAGCATTTCATGGCTTTAAACCTTTGGAATTGCATTCATCAATACTACACCTCCAATTCCTAGCACACATCCTTCTATTTAGAAGTTAATTGCTAATACTTCCTGTTACTATTCTGTTGCTAATATTACCATAAAATGGCTATTGCGTGTCATTCTGAATGGAAGTTTTTATACAGTCTGGGTTTGTAAAAAACTTTCTTAAAGTTCGTTCCTAGAATTGTTTCATTTTAACAGTGTACTGCAAACGGACTAAAATTTTGAGAAGAATAGGTATTTTTATTCTTTCTCATTTGCTGATAAATCAATACAAGTATTTAAAATATGCAATCAATAAATTTAAGTAATCTAATACACTTTTAATATAGCACTGTGCAAGATATAAAAAAATTACTAGACTACCTTCGAATCTACGAAGTCTGGTATTTTGTTACCGAGCTCATCCTTCGTGGATAAATAAATTTAATGTGTTTCTTCATTCATGGTTCGATAACGCTCATCAATTTGCACTAAATATGTACTTTCTAAAAGCTAGCATTTTAAGCTATCAGTGACCAAAGCATATAGAGTTAATCTTATGGACCCAAAAAACCATCATTTCAAAATCGTCGTACAAAGGTATTTTTCAGACGTTGTACAAATCACCTTCTCAATTTATTCCAGAAACTAATTTACAGAAAAAAAAATAAAAAAACCTTTTTACAGAAAACACATCTAAAAAATAAGGATATCAAAGATGGACACAATCGTTTTCGAAATTTTCGTAAAAGAAATCAACCTATGGCTTTAGATGGCTTATTTAATGCGGCAACATTTCGAATGAGTTTTCTGCGGCGCAGTAACATATTGACAAATATTATTGGTTTCCTATTAGACATTACAGTGTTAAATTTCTTTCGTTTTTGTTTTTACGAATTTAATGGCATATTTTTATCGCTTGTGTACGTCAAGCAATATTCTTCAAGAAAATCATACGATCTAATAATCATTTCTTCGATGATACACGCAAGGCTTAATGGGTTTTGATAAATTTAATCACATACTACATTCGTTAATGCTCCAACTAATATGTTTTGGGAGAATACCATGTTGCATTTAATCAACACTAAACCGTGTGCACTTACCGACACATTGTCGCTATTTAAGTCCACCTACTCTACCGCTTTATTTGCTTCGAACCTGTACTATTTCTGCCCCATAAACTGCTTCTAGTATAAAAAATGCGGTGGCTATCCCTCCTCCTAAATGGCTGTAATATTGCATTTACTTTTTTAGCTCAGTAATCGTTACCAAATACCACGCATAAATTCCCAGAAATTCACTTTATTTTTACCTCCTGCGGTATATCACTTGAAGCGTAGGACAGTCGACTTACCTCACAAGAACATCGTAACTGTAGCTAACTACATTGTCCTAGTATCGGAAAATAGAGCGGCCCTGCCCATTTACAAATGCTTTAACAATCTTTACAAAATCGGAAAACATGCTACCCTCTGCGAGTGATGTGCAGTCTCACGCACGTTCGCCGCCAAGCACCGCAGCAACACAATGTAGTTCCTTCGGCTTCACCCCACGACAAAAGAACTAGGTATTTTGCCATTTTACACTTTTCCCTTTCGCCAACATTCCTTCAGTAATACTTCGTAATTGGTGCGTCGAACTCCTAATCCGTACTCACCAATCAACATCATACAATTCAAGTTAGTTCCTCGCACTCGACTGTCCGCTTGTGCCAATTGATTATTGTCTATTTCCAATTTCAGCTCGGGTACCTTCTGCAATTTCTAGCTTCGCAAAAAGTACAGCTTCAAAACAAGAAAAACCTAGGACTCTAATCAGAATCATCATTTAGAACTGTCGCAGATACTAATGAATGCAGATAATACGATCCCGTGGATTTCCACAAACCTGCGGGCACACGAAATTGCTAATCTGAAGGCAGAATTTTTGGAAATTGCTGAGCGTGCCGGCGACAACCTTGAGAACGCTGCACATGCATTTGACTCTTTTTTGCTTGTTTCGCCTGACTCTGTTTCCTCTGAACAGGGTGAGCTGGTTGATGCAGTGTCTGATTCTGTTGGAATCACCCCACGTCAGCACGAGAAAGACAAGCGGAATGAAGAAAATGCTAACTGTTTTACGGAGCGACATCCAGAGAGAACGGAAGACGAGTTCCTCGACTTACTATGTGAGATGAGCATCGATGAGCTCTATTTTTTGAGAAGAGGCCTAGCACTAGACCTGGAGTGGATCGAAAAAACCATTGCAAGAAGGAAGTCCTTCCTTAAGTACAAATATGCTTCTACTTACTAGCTTTATAGTTTTGGTATAGTTGTATAACAGCAGAAAAAAGACGACTAAACACTTCAATAACCCTACATTCACTATCATAATCCACAACTCATACTACAAATATGAACATTTGCGGTTACATAAACGTGGCTACAATTTACTTGTGACGACGTAATTAGGTTATGTCGAATTGATAGCAAAGGGTTGGTAAACATCTGAAGCGAAAGCCCAAAAGGGGGCAAAATTTTGTAGTTAGCGATGTACCACAAGGGATGCGATTTGCAATAACAAAGATAATTAAGCGACTCCGCGACCGAAAGCAACACCCGAAGATAAAACAACAGAACCGAACGGGATAAGAAAAGCATTTTAGTTAAAATATGGGAAAAATGTCAACTATCTCATAACGTTCGCGAAAATTAGCAGAAGTTTCAGGAAAACAGGTCCAAAATGCCCTCTATAAAGTATCTCGATACCTGGAAGACCTATTGGGTAACCTCCTCAGTACATCATTATTAGACATGACGTTACTAATAAGCCAATAGCTGGAGCACGGTATTTAGGAAAGCAAATTTTAAGAATGCAAACATCGCTATGAAACAAAACTGGCTTAGAAAGACGACGAGTAGGATACAGAAGATAATAATTGTCCTATGACCAATGGTATTCAAAGATCAAAAAATTTGCCAGGCCAGGAGGACGAAGATGGAGACACTTGGGGCGGGTTAGGACTAAAGAAATGAGGGAAATTACCCCCATGAACTTGCAACAATACCATCAAGCACTTGTTACCCACTTAAAGACGAAAACTGGCCACTCCAATATAGTACACAACACGGAAGTGCAAATGAGCAAAAGGAAGTACCAAAACGAAGGTATGTATCCTAACTTAATTCCAATTAAATCCACATACTATGTACATAATGCCAAGCAATTACACCAAAGGACGTAATTTATTTAGGCAGCACCACCTTCGATCTTAACTTCTGCGTGAACCATCGGATCCAAGTCGTAGAGGGTAAGCTGCGACACAGTCTCCGAATTCGAGAACAGATCCAGTATGCGCTTGTGGATGCGCATTTGGTAGCGATCCCAGGTCTTTGATCCCTCACCACATGGCGTTTTGCGTGTAGTTATCCTGAGAGTCTAAGGAAAAAATACTGGGATTGCAAATTAGCGAACCTTTGTGGGCAGCCTAATAGGTCCTTTGATTTTCAGGTTCTTGTCTTTTGCACGGCTTTGTACATCTTCAGCAACTTTTTCCAGAGGTCTTACTGCAGCAGACGTAAGTGTTATGCGCACCCAGTAGCGTGGCACGTCCTGCAAATCCTGCTTTTTGTCAGCCATTCCAGACGAAATACAGACACCAAGTCACGTCCTAGTGAAAGATCGCGCCGAAACAATTAAACACTGGAACAAACAAACTTTATTCATTAAACAAGGTTAAAAAACATAAAACCAATCATAAAAAGTTCTATTGTTTATTTATTTATCGCATATTATATTCAAATTGCAATAACTCAAAATTTTAGACGCAGATATTCTCAAAAACCGATATTTAAATGTGACTAAATGTAAACATTTTTTCCACTTGAATGAACTTTGATTCATTTTTTAAATTCCCTTAAGTCATCTATTACTAAACTTATCGTAAAATGTAATATCTTTTGCTAACGAAATCAGTAGAAATTCATGGCTTCACGGGTACTATATTAATGCTTATATATCTTGTCACACTTACAGCATTCAAGTGTTTAAAGAGCAACATAAACCCTATATCGTGCGTGAAGGTTATTTCATGAAAAATTAAATATAGGCCTGCAGGACGTTTTATCACGAATTACTTCTTGAAACGCCATGAACACTCTCACAGGGTAATATAATGCGCCTTTTCGCATCTTTACACTTGTCGACTGTAATGAAGGATGAATATTACTTGATATAAATACTTTCGCCTTATCTGAAATTGGGATCGAAAGCTTATATCAATGCAGGGTAGCCTGATGTTAATTTGTGTGGCTATGAACTTGCTCAGTTAACTGGTGACTAAGAGAAATGATTAAAAGGCATGTGTGAGCTACTGGCTTCATCAGGTCTGTAAATAAGCTTTATTCTTTTTCGCAATTTCTGATGGTCCACTTCTCGTATGTTCATTAAAGACTGCTGGCTGAATGACGCAGCAAACGCTCAATGATTATCGTATCGACTTGTCAAAGAGATTTACAAATCTTTGAATCGGCCGAATCATCAGGTAGGCGGAGAAGGAAAAATGAATATGTTTAGGACATATTCGTGCCTTAGTGTGTTTAAAGATGGGTTTTGCTTTCGCCCTTGTAATTATCAAGCCACTCATTTCTGGTGATGGTAAAAAAATCTGCACGTTGCACAACCAAAAAAATTTATTTTAAGATATCCGAGGGAGCTTTTTTTATGTTATCGATTCAGATATAGATATAAGTGGACGTAAGTTGATTATGCTGAATAATACCATATCGTAAGAAAACTCATGCAAGAGTTAGTCTAATATTTCTTCAAGAAACATTTAAAAAGTCGATGTGGAAAATCAACACTGTTTAGAGATGTTTTGACAATTTTGATATGCGGACGCAGCGTTATACCAAATGTTTGGTTTGTCCACATAAAGTTGTGTTGTGTCTTAAAAGAATTGCTGATGGCCAGCTAAATCAACGTTACTGTACCTGACAAGGTAGAAGATTCTGCTTTTGCTATAATAGCTGACCACATTTGATTTTGCAAAGACACATCCGAGCTATTAGAGGATATAGTGCATAAATGTTTGCATCCAGTAAAGTGGTATAAATCCAAAAAAACTAGACATGATTTGAGTGCATTAACTAGAGTAAATGGAACTAGGAATACCAAATGGCAATGCTCATGATTCGATAAAAATAAACGAAAACTGTTTCCTTGGAACTATTTACATTTTAAAACTGATATCTGTCAATGAGTTTAGTGGTCCACATTGGTGAAAGTACATGTGAATATTCACCACGTCAAAATGGGTCCAAAACCGTTGCACGTGCATATGTCGGAAGCGCGCGTCCTAGAGAAAATAATGTCCTGTTTGTGAAATGTTGTGGACTTTGTTATGGCTATTTTGACATTGATTGTAGAGTTTAGTCAATGAACTATCTTAATCAGTATATAAAAAAATTTTGTGGAATGCTAAAAAACTGTTCGTCATATCTAACAAACCAAGGAGAAGACAGGTTTTGTAGTTTGACTAGGTTGGCGGAAATACGAAGTGGAGAGTTGTAAAAGTTAAGATCGTACGAGAAGAAATTCACGTATTCACAATATGAAGGTAATTATTTATTATCAAAACTTACTGATGCCTTATTTATTTATTCCCGATGGAACCGCCATGGATTTTATCTGCATTTATTTAAGCTTCTCCAGCAATGTGTCAAAGATTTGAATCAAGTTGAATGCATTCATGTTGTGTTGGAGCCATTTTGTAGACAATTCGGATTGATTTTGATGAATAACCTTTTTATATTTAGCTAGTAATCGCATAGGCCAAAGAAGTTACGATGACGACCTATATAGTGGTGTGAAATCGGAATTAAGATATCGAATTTAAGCCTCGTTTGTGCTTGCAATTCTTATTATAACATTAGTCCTGGACTTCTGGTTATAGCAAACCAAACATTTCAGCATCTGATAATAGCAGTGCAAGCATATATGATAAAATTAGGGCTAAAATTACTTTTATCAGCAAAAGTGGCTTAAACATGCACACATTATACACAGATGGTGAATCTAAAGTGAATAAATCTTGTCCGAAATAGTGTACTTTTGACGAAGGTTTAAAATTATAAAGAGATTCAAAAGTTACTTTAAAAAATGGACTGTGAAAGTTTTAAGCAAATCAAACAGTTTGCGAAAATACCACATGCGGTTGTGCAACTTTATTATTTTATAATTCTTCCAGGTAACAATTTTGAATAATCCGATAAAAAACACGAGGTCACAGCAAATTTGGCCGTTTACTTCAGATATGGTCGCTTGTGTGTTTGCGTGCAAATGAGTAAGCATGATTAGTAAGTCAAATAAATAGAGGAGTGTTATTGACTGCATCAGGTGTGTAAATAAGATTCACTTGCGCGTAATTATTGAAAGCCCACCACAAAGCAGTGGAAGTAACCGCATTAGTCAACCTAAGTAATAACTTTTGCTTACGTTGAATAATAGCTCCAAAAAGAACAAATTCTTTCAGAAAATATAGTTAAAACCATATGGTAAGAAGTTGTGTACATTCGTTTCCATGTTTTCCGTTTAAAATGAACGTATTTTTTGCACTTTAAATTTTAAAAATGTAAACAGAATTTTTGACTTTTTGCGATTCTTACTAAAAGGTAGTTATTGACCTGATTGAATTTAATTTCGTTAAGTAACACATCTGGTGTGTGCATTTAAATGAAGCATAATGTGGTTAATTAGTTTACCGTATCCTGGAACGATGAATGCTGAAAAACTATTATATGCAATAAGTGTCATATGGTCGGCATGGTCTTTGCATTATTTTATTTCAATTTTGCCTCCCTGACCTATATCCCGTTACTTTAAGCTATGCCCATGAGCCTCTGTGTCACAATTCATCGCGTACTGCTATTCTCTTCCTAGCCCGAAACCAACTCTCCGTATGGTCTTACGTCTTTAATCTGAAATATGCCAGGTCTTCCTATTCAAAATCGTCTGTTACGTGTCTGGTTGCGAACCATGAGGGACACACAGATACGCTCATTCGATTTAGGTCGTCACTCTGTAGGCAATCAAACTATGAGTCAAAAAACATGAACATATCATCCCTTAAAGTAAACTTTGCTTTAAATCCCTTAAAGTTCAAGCTTGTAGATCATTAAATCAATTGAAAATTCCGTAATGGAGCTAAGTATCAAAATAAAGAAATATTTATTTTTCTCAGTCCATGAAACAACATTTAAATAAATATGTGTAGACAAATGTTAGACTCACATTGTTTCAAAAATTGCTAGACAAAATAGAAAACAAATATTTTGCTCGACTAGTTGCGATTTACAATTTATAACGAATTATGGCACAATATGTGCCAAGGGCGCTAAATTTTAAAATATCCAATTGAGCTAAAAACCCATTGAATTAAATGAAGCTATTTCATTTTTTAAATGAATATAATTCTCATAATGATGGTTTCGACCACATTAATAAAAATAAACGCTTTTGCAAATCCTTCGCTGCATTGACAAGGAAACGAAGGCGATTAGGAACTTTCTACAACGCATAGGTGCTTTCCCAAGATATAAAAAGTAACCATGAATACAGCAAAAGCAGTAAGTGTCAAAAGGCAAATGCTACTAACAAATACGGAGGCTTACGTCTTAAGTTTTTGCTTGCTAAATTAGCAAATTCTAGGCGACGATCTTTTTAAATCATGACTAACATATGAATATTACACATGAAACGTGATCAAATGTGTTTAACCATTAGATCCTTATTAAAAAGATGTAAGAACGTACGACTACCTAAACCGATTATGGAAAAAAAAGAAATATGCAAAACTTGCGAAATATTAAACCTGCTTTTACTCGTAATTTAATGTTCAGACGTTTTTAAAGGACTTTAAAATAAAAAGGTATTAGTATTGATAATTTAGTTAATCAAAATTATAAAAAAAAATAAGGAAGATTTAAAGATACTTTTTTAATCGGTAAATCAAGTGCACACTAACGGCTCCTATTTAAATGTCGACTGAAGTCAGCGCAAAGCAATGATGGATAGCTGTCAAAACGAAATACAGTTGTCAGGGGTAGAGAACGGACCTGATGCTCAGTGCTTGTTCGAGTTATTGAAAAATGGGAAATATCAAAGACATTCGAAGAACAGGTGATACATTTTTATTTCTTTTCATACAATATTTATTTATAGAATTTTTGCAAATAGAAGTCTTCGACTTGATAAAATCAGATATTATGGTTTTGATATGGATTACACATTAGCAAGTATGTTGCCTACAATGTTTATTTGTAAGCATATAAATCTCCGCAATATGAAGATCTTGCCTTCCAAATTCTTCGTGACAGATTGGTAGACACTGGCTACCCACAGGAACTAAAACAGTTTAAATACGAGCCATCATTCCCTGTCCGGTATGTTTTATTTCTCTTGAGTACTAATTTTCTTATTGTCACCTTTCAATGTCGTTCCACTTAGGTCTTTTTTATTTTCCTTTTTTTAGAGGCCTATGGTTTGACCTAGAATATGGCACACTTCTGAAGATCGATCAGTTTGGAAATATCCTCTTGTGTCTTCTGGGGTTTAATGTTGTTCCAACGTAAGACAAAAGGCATGTACTCAAATAAGCTTAGAGAAAAAGCCAATGAAATGTACCCGAATATGTTCCTTAAGTTTGATAAGGATCGAATACACGTCATGTCAACACTGTTTGATCTTCCGGGTAAGTTCAGCTCCGTTTTTGAACATAACAAAAGAACTTTATCTGCTGGCCTGCATAATTCATTTTATGCATGACAATGATGATTATGTCAAGGAGTCAAGAGGCGTTATGTATCAGTCTCTTTATATATCATACAAGTCAATTTTGCAGGACGTGGAGGAAGCTATGAAATGGATGCACGAAGTGAGTGGCAAAATGGTTTTATTGATGCACTTTAATAGCCAAAATCTCTATAAATATTACGTACCTTGCCCTAAATCATTGTAATGTATTAAGTTCTCAATTTGCAGGGCGAACTAAAAAAGAAGACCATGGAAAATATAGACATGTACATTGAACAGAATCCTAAGCTGCTTGTTTTACTAGACAAGTAAGTTTGTTTATTGAATGCAAGAGTAATAGAAAACTAATTGTACTTACAATTAAATTAGCACTTTTTCTTCTGCCTCTGTCTTTGACCTACATTGATTGGAGCCATTAAATTTCAAAACAGTTGTGAAACTTTAAGGTTTTAGGCGTCACAAGTATTTTCTCAATGAAGAGCAAATGCGTAATTTAAGACTGTCAGTTTTTGCCTGATTTTATCTTTGAGAAAAACTTTCATCGACTACTGGCAATCATAAAATTCGTGGATTGATGAACACGCAAACTCGCTTTACAATTTGTTATTGCGGCGGTAATAAAAATTTCAAGATTATGGGATTTTTTATTATTATTTTAAGTCTTCTTGAAATTATGACGTACTGCAATTAAGGATTTAAATTTGAAACAGGTGTTAATAATTCACACAAACATATCTGTCCAAAATTATTGGTTTGAGACACCACTAATTACTACCTGGAAAGCTAACAAGACTTATGTTAGTTTATTTAAATAAGGTCAAAACTTTAAACTATTAAGTTTTAAGTAATAAAGGTTCATTTTTTGGAGAGTAACTAGGATTTGTTTATTCAGTCCAATTTTTTTGAGAACTATTACATTTTTGCAGAAATTCGGCAAAGTTCAGCTTTCGTACCACATAATAGCCAATTATTTGAAGTTTAAACAAATCTAGAGCGCATAAATTTCGTCTTAGCACAAAAGCAGGCAACGGTTGAATATCAATTATTTATGTGTTTCAATTTGGTTCCAATCACTTGAAAAATATCATCTTATTTCCAGGGCCCTGATTAAAATATTTGTTATGAAAAATTATAAATAGCTTAAGGTAGTTCGAGATTTTTCGTATTGGTTTATGATAATTCAAGACAACTGTGTCTTGCTGTAGATTACGGACGGATCGAACAAAAGTTTTTCTTCTAACAAACAGTGACTACGTATATTCAAATGTAAGTGCGTTTGTTCCGTTTTAAAAGTTTGAGAGAAATTGCTTAAAAAGAATTCTACAAGCTTTTGTGGCAACTTTCCACAAGTATATACGTTCAAATAAGACAGTTACAATCGTCGAAATAATATTTGGTTAAATTGCCATCATCTGTGTAAATGACATTTCCATGATGTGTTTTCAGAAAATTTACTGACCGCTGAAATTCAACCCTGTGATCATCCAAAATAAATTAATACATGCTTTTATCAAATCTACTTAAATATCCCTCTATCATCACCTAAGATCACTCAATTACAAGAATTGCAGTTAAAGCATACATTGTCAGGGGAGAGATTGATTGGAATTCCAGAAATGTCAAGCATGCTTTCATTGTCAAGATTGCAAAATAAAGAACTGGTGAGTGTCATTAATGGAGCCCATTCTTCATATTCTAGTGCACTCGGATATTTGTTTCGATCAAAGTGCATTTAAAGTACACACTTGATGCGTTGTTTAAAATTGAATGTGATGCTAATTCACACCATCAAAGCAAAACCTCAGGATTCCAGCATCTTGAGGTGGACCATGAAGTAAAGTCCAAATCGAAAAAATTACGCAGTTTTGTTTTCACTGCTGCTAGTGAAAATGAGTGCAATTCTCACGACAGTAAATTTTAAGCAAAACACATCACCGAAGATGGCTTAACTTCGACGACATTTGCCAACACCCGGCTAAATAAAAATTATTTAGATGGTCTTGTGTCTGCACAAAAAGCAGACACTGGTGTTACTTCTGACGGTTTGTAAATTATTTTAAGTTGAGATCCTAGCTAGTGTTTGTGAAGACTTATGAGGCTCACCACCAATAAAGAATGAGATTTTTGTCAAATCAGCGTTATTCCAAACCTTAAACAGCTTAACCTGCTGATTAAATAATCTTTCTTGATTAATCCATTATTTGAAGACTCAAAAAAATGCAGAAATTTGCGTCTTAAATTTTGTAAAAAAATTGTTGTTTGCCTTTTAGGCAGTTATGACATACATTTGCAATCTGCCAGACAAAGAGGTATGTTTAATTAGTCAGACGCATGAACAAATATGCTCACTCTTTTATGTTTCCGGTCACTTAAATTGCAGAAAATGCTGAAATTTTAACCTTAAACTAATGGCCGAATTAATTTCCTTCTTGAAGATTTGAGGGTGATTCGGTTGGACTAATAATTAGAATAAAATCAGCCAATGTTTAACGTCCATCCTTTAGCACATTGGACTAGGGAAATGTGCGTCAACTGTTTCACCCGCCGCGACGTTTCCTGTATCATGCAGTCACTAATTTGGTTCACTTGCACACAACGTGGAGCCAAATTTTCCCGCAGTGTGTTTCGTCCAAACTATCACTGCTTTGTATCGGTTTTGTTAATATTACTGAAATTGAGGTCAATTGCTGGTTGAAGTAGTCACCCTCATTAATGCATAACAGAAGGAATCAACTCAAAATTGGATCGAATTCTAAAACAAGCTAATTTTAGTCGAGTGTTCATTAGACCTTGTGGGACAAATGAGGACGTTATTCAATGTTGTCCATGACCAGTGGAGTAGCCTTGCGTGTGGGCGCTATGAGCTTTTAAATTTCGCCGATCAATTGTGCTGTAGCATAGCTGCCCCCACTAGATCGAAAAAACCTATATCAGTGTATAGAATTATGGTTTATGTATAAGTCTGCACCCCTGCAAATATCGTAAAGATGAAACCTATGTAAGTGCTACACTGGTCTAAATTTGATGCACCATCTTGTACCCATGCCGTCTGTGAAGGTTAACCTATCTAGGAATCGGGACTGTTTACATTTACGAGAAACTAAACATAAACTCAATAGGTGCCCGGAAAGTAAGAAAATCTTTTTAGTTTTAGTCCGATCCCATCTAAACCCTTCTAATGAGGGGAACCGTCAGACTTGCAAGACTGGTTATTTTCTACTGGCACAGCCAACTCGGGGCTTTACAAACGCCATAATTAAATAGGAATTTTAATCGAAATGTGGGTTGGCATTTTCGCTGCGTTGAGTCAGAAGCCATAAATCTAACTAGTTTATCTTCTCTGGAATATACATTAGGAAATAAAACAGTACCATGTTAAGACAATTACAATTATAAAATTAATAAAAAATGAACTATTTTAGCGTAACTACTGTTATCTTAGTTCTCCCTCATATTGTAGTTTTACACAGAAGTCGTTTTGTTGCTAAAATAAATTTACAGTAAGTTTATTTCACTTGAGTGAATGAAAAATATATTTGCCTTTGTGTGGGCGCTAGTTGATTTTAATGAGTAAACATTAAATGCTCCCTGTTCGTCTCAGTCTATTTTAACCAAAAATGTTCCTTTTAGTTTGCCATGTTTTGACCTGATTAGAATTGGTGGGGTGTTTGCTGGTGGACTTGATGTTATCTTCTTTATTCATTGGACGATGAAAACTAACAATTTTGATGGTAGTAAAAAATAAGTGCGTCGTTTTTGGGATGCCGCAGTTGATCTCTCCATTGCACAAGCTAAACGGATCCTTCTTCTACAGGGGAATGTTCGCCATTGGACAACCTATTTCGACTACATTGTTGTCGATGCCAAAAAACCGGTATTTTTTCAAGAAGGAACTCTTATGCGCGCAGTTGACGTGGTGAGTAAGGAAGGCAATGTGCCTAACCCAAAAATGAATACTTACTAGGAATGAGTAAGTTGATATCAGGTAACTAAACAGGTCTTACGTGTTCCTTTTTGAATGTAATTTGTCTGCAGTGCATAGTTTGTCAACTAACTTTGAGTCACAAGCGCGCATCTGATGATTTGGATGATCGGCTTATCCTCATTGTAGAATACAGGACGTTACAAAATGGGGCAGATTGCTGGACCGCTTGAAAAAGGCAAAATTTACGCAGGAGGTAATTCCACTGCAGAGGTTATTTTTGGCTTCCGTTCGATGATAAAACGTTTGTCTTCTCCATCATTCATTCTTGTATTTGCGCCTTCTATTGGGTAAATTAGCACTTCGAAAATCTTAAAGAAATGGACCAGGATATGCTGGAACCTGGTGCTTTTAAGGGAAAGAAATTAGATTGACATAAGTAAAGGTTTTCAAGATGCCTAAAAACAGTATTTAGTTTATTGTTAATAAAATACGCTGTTTTATCCTTTACATGCATCCTAATTTTGCAAACAACATTAAGAAATATGGATGTTAATAAAAACGCTTTTTTGCATATACCGTTGTATATGATGCAAGCAAGCATCATACTAATTATTAATCATAATTAGTTTTGGTCTTTGAAAATTGGTTTATGACTAACAGAATAGTCTTGGGGTTTTCCAACAGAGTATTGCATTTTTAGTTATGATCAGGTCTAAAACCTAGGAAATTTTGCCCCTCAATAGGTTCACGAAATCTCTAGACTAGTTTCACAAAATAACTTCAAGATGCACGAAAGTTAACCTGACTCTTGCGACGTTGGATCGAGTAAAAATTATTGCCTCAGGCTAAATCGTCCAATCACAAAGTGCTAAAAATACCCTAAGATTGGGAATGTGTTGAGGCGATAAAATTCGCATGGCAAGCGCAATTCCTTTGATAAGTCTTGTTTATTGCTGCAGCCAATCCAGGAGTTGAACTGGTTTAAAAGAAAACCAAAAAAAATGCATTACAAAGTAGAGGAATTATAACTTGATATAGTAGTTAGTTTTTTGATTCGGGACTATTAAAATACCCGACCGAAAAATCTATAATTTAAACTCGCAGGTTACTTATCTCTCAATTTGTGAAAGCGGTGGAGTTGGTTGCTGGATTTGTACAAAAAAAACAAAAAGCTACTACAATAGCCCAAATGCACGTGGTCTTCCATAAATAGTTGCGCACGCAAACGTCAGTCGTAAAGACCTCGCAAGTGTGCACACACTTCTTAGGAATAAGTGCCCGAAAGCTGTTTTCCCATGAGCACTTTTGTTCCAGGCAACTGTTGATGAGCTAAAAACCATCTTTTGACAGTAAAATCTTCCGCCACTAAGTTACTACGTTTTAAACAAACAATTAAATTCGTACATTGGTACACACATCACCAAAACAAATCTTTTTAAGTTCTAGTCTGTCTGTTTATCAAGGATAAATAGATAGTGATTCCTTTATATGGCTATTAACACCTTGAAAATTCTCACCACTGCCTGAGCTTCTTTGATTAGATGTTGGTGTAAATTTTCGTGCTTCTTGGGTGGTTACTTCAATAAAATAGTCGTGAAAAATGATTATTACAGTGCAGGCATGATTTTTGACGTTCTTTTGAAGTTATAGGCGATGAACTAGCTCTAACTTTACTAATTTTCCATTGCTGCCATAAGTTAGTCTCTCCCTGTTCCCTTGTTACGCACTTGAGTGTTTAGAAATTAAAGTTAAACAAGTTAGAAAGAAAAAAATATTGTGCGAAATAAGACGAACAAAAGTGATTTATGCTAGGAAACTGCGCAACCTTCACCCAGCTCATCCGCGCCAAAGGCAAGGACGTGCTGTACATCGGTGACCACATCTTTGGCGACATCCTCAAGTCGAAGCGACAAGTTGGCTGGAAGACCTTCCTTGTGGTGCCGGAGCTGCTCAATGAGATTTACGTCTGGAAGAAGAAGAACGCCCTCTTCGACCGTCTCACAGAACTTGACAATGAGGTCGCAGAGAAATACAAGTACGTCAGTCACAGAGATTCTAAATGACACCCCGTCATGTGTGCATTTCATCCCCAAATGTTCCACGTTTGCATGTTTCGATTGAAGCAAGTTGACAATCCCCATTTCAGTTTACAAATTTAGCTTATTTGAAATTATTGGTTGTTTCTAACTTAGTTCTTACCAATTGACTTTGCTGTGTAGATTATGAATCCTTTTCTGTTTTAGACATATGAATATTGTCTCGGAAGCAAGGCCGGATGTTTCCAAATTACAAAGAGAAATAAGGGTGAGAATTTGCCTTTTTAAACCTAGTTTGCTGCCTTCCTATCAAAAGATATGGCCACAGTGTTGGCAATTCCTTCTTAGCCAAACTCCCGATGTCCAGCTAAGTGCTCAAGCTCGCTGTCTTGTTTACAAATATCGGAGTTAAATTTGATTTTTGGAAATACCTCTTTTTGTAAAAGATTCCCTTGGAGTATTGGTGAGTGGTGGCGAAAAAATATTTTTACCCGAAGTATACACAACCAAATGTTTTTTTTGTATTTTTAATTAGAAAATCGCAAGTGAAATGAACGAATCCTATGGACTTCTAGGAAGTCTTTTCCGCCACGGTATGTTCCATTAAAAAAGTGTCACGTGCTCTCACAAAGGTGAATCATTCTTAAAACTAATCTGGAATAGCAACTTAATTTAACCTGCCTTTAAAAATTGACGATGTCCCTTGTGATTGTTGCAAAAAGCATGCTATATTTAAAAATTGAAGCACTTGGTGTAATTGAGTCGTTTCTTGGATTAAGATACCCATTAAATCATCTACACAAGAGTATACATTAATACATATTGCTTTTGCTCTTTGCTTGCCGTGAATTATTAATACTTGGATTATTATGATCCTGTATTCGATTTTTTTAATTAACTCTTCTGTTTTTTACGCTGTTTGCTGGAAATTAATTTACATTAATTTGCCCAAGGCGTTTGGAATTTTTATGGAAAATTGAAAAGTTTTATATTTGTGCCGTTTTGTCACATGAGTTGGAAAAAGAATAATTGCTGAAACTGCAATAAAACATATGTTAAGACGTCTGTTTGGATTGTGCGCCTGTTCGTAGGACAGTTAAAATGTGATTTAGTTGATTTAAAAACGCGGACTTTTTTTTCTAAACTACGCATTTTGCTCTGGGCTACTGTTCGGCAACGATAATGACTTTGTTCATAATTTAGTTTGATTTAATCCGTGGATTACCAGCGACGAAAGTGCCATGAGACTAAATCTTGACAATTTAACTGCGTTATGCCAATTAATGCAATTTGGCAGTACTCCGGATAGAACTCGTGAATGTTGAAAGGATAGGATAAATTAAATTATGCTACCATAGTTATTACTTGCCTTGCTGATTAACAAAACAGCTCTTTTTTGGATCAAGTCACAATTGGAGACTAGGAGTAGCTTGTGTATAGAACACGGTAAGAAAAGAGCCTAAACTCATGGAAATGGAAGTGCCAGAACAATGGTAAATGCTGAATTGCTACATCAATTGAATGGGTTGTGATGTGTCTGGTGGGATCACAGGGGAACAATTTGAAACAGGCTTTTCCAATGCTAAAGATGGTAATGTTGATAACTTGCCAAAGGTCCAGATTAGGTCAATCGATTTGACATGAACAGTAGCAATCACCCAACGTTCAGAACCATAGCACCGTGGTTTGCTTATTCCTTTGACTTCCTAGGATCTCGTTTGACAACATTCTCGTCGCAAACCATGCAATTTGCCGATATCTATTCACACAGTTGCTTCAATCTGATCTATTACCCGCTCTGCTATATGTTTCGGGCGCATCCGATGTTGATGCCGCACGAGTCGACAGTTCCGCACGCAGAAACTGCTCTTGAATCCTTCAAGGACTTGGAGGATGTGCCTTGCGGTCTGCGAAGAAGAACGAAAACAGGTAGACCTCGGTAAAATTGCTTCGGTCTTTGCCGTCTGATGCACAACTTAGGACAAGTGTGCGTCACCCTTTTTCAAGGGCCTTTTGCATGTGAATCTGCTTGAATGGTTTGAACAGCGTATTGCAGCAAGAAATAGCGCTACTTGAATGCTTGCAGGTTATCCTTTAGATGTCAGAAATGACATCTTTCGAGAAGCATGCTTATTAACTGATATTAGTACCACCGTGCAATCTTTTACAAGGATGGATCATTCATCACTTTTCCTGGCTGCAGCTTCGTGGCCAGGTAGCTGGGTAATGCATAATGCAAGGATAAGTCACGTGGTAGTCTAGACTGGAAATTCCAACTCCCACTTTTTCGCCATCTTAGAATTCGCGGTGAGACTTTGCAACAGGTATTTGTGCTTCACGGTCATCCTTTGGGCCAATCACGATTTGAGTTGATATAACCAAAAAAACAAGGCAAATTTCTGCCTGTTATCAGAAACACTTATTAAGAAAGTGCTCCCATTCAATCGAACAGGCTTGCACCCGCCTCGTTATTGATTGCTTGCTTTCTTTTGCCTCACTTGCCACCGCGCTGTGCCTGATGCCCATTGGCTTGCATGCACGCACGAATGCGCCCTCCCTCGGTGCAGAGGCGGAGATCGCCACAATCGCAAAAGAGGCTCGACTCAAGCATGCGCCCGCCTCCTGCCTGACCACCAACTCTGTCCCCCCAGGCGAAGACGACGACGATGACATCTCAGCCTCGAAAATTCCATCGCACTAATCTATTCTTTGATTTCGGATCCTGTGGTTTGCTTCCTTGTGCATTAACTTGCCTTATTGCTTTGTTTTGCTGAATTCCGACTCACATGGTACGTGACTGCAGATCCCACCTAACACCACCATGCGGTATTGAGTTCCTGGAAATCGATGAAATCAGCTGTCACGTTTAGTCCTAATGTAAATGAACCTGTTCTTTTTATCGGAGGTTTTATCAAAAAGACCCTGGGTGGGTGGCACTCTTTTTATTGAAGTTTATCTAATAAGAAATGGTGGAATGCAGGGTTTATGTGATTAAATTTTTAGTCGATTATATTGACAGGATGTGTTCTGCCTTCTAGTTAGCGCAATGTGTCAACCCATTTCTCTGAGTCACTGGCAAGATCAGACGCATCGAAACCTTGTGGTTGCCCGCCGCCATCAGTCCCTTGGAACCAGTCAACCACTTCCCGACTTATTTCTATGCAATGTGCCCAAAATTAGCGCCTACACCACTCACCACATCGGCAAGGGTGATGTTATTAACGAGGCTTCTGCAAAAGATTTCGTAGACGCCGACGTTACCTCCGAGAGCGACACCAGTGATGAAGATGCCTGCTTTGCTTGACCATCCTAATCTGTCGACCGCTTCACCTTTCTTTCGCCTATCTAGGTTAAATGATCATTTAGTTAACATTAAACTCAGATGGACTAAAGTTATTTTTCACCTCTAGATGTGAATCCGCTTATTTTGACCGCTATGTTGCTTTTCCATAACTTCAGATGGTTTAGTGACTCATTTCATGCCTAGGACACTTTCTCCCTCATTTTACTCTTGGCTTCTTTTATTAGCAAGGGAAAAGATATCTAAAAGGGGCTACATTAGCTATGCGGCAAAAAGTTTGCTTCGGGAAGCATTTTCACATATGCTTGCTTGCATTTTCGGGAAGCATTATAACTAAATGTGGCATCACACGAAATTTTTCCCACAATAAGTAAATTTGTTTAGCAGGGAATCGTTCAGGGTATAAATATCCTTTATGTTTCTAGAACCATCAAAACACAAGTACTTTTTGAGAAAATTTTTGGCTAATTTAATAGTTTAGCACTTTCTTCAACTTTATGAACGCAAATTTTATGTACCAAACACCCACACAGTTTGTGCTTTTGAAAAAAAGTATTGTTTAGACCCAAAAAGGTATCCAATGGCTAAACAACATTGATGCAGAACTCACTTATTTTTTTCTGACAGTCCTACTCAAACAAGAAATGCCATGTTAAAATCATTCAAATGCGTGCTTTATTTGAATTACTTAATAAAAAATAGTACAGAATACTTTACTTGTAAAAAAGACTACTTGATGGAACCTGTATTGTAAAGTGATTCAGCCACAGTCGTTCGTGTTCCCTTATACTTTATTAATCTATTTAGGAAATCTGTAGATGGTTTCTTCAGAGTAAATTAGCTATGTAAATTTGCGCTTAAACGAAGCAATATTGTTTAATCTTTTAAAAGTTGCCGCTTTTGATCAGATTAAGGTCGTGATGAGTTGGCAGTATACGAAAAAATGACATTCCGATGTCCATAATTTGGATATTATCACGACAGAAGCAACCAGGCATGTAGCTCATGTGATCTACCAATCGCCGTTTGCAGAACCAATTTTATATTGTGTCGTGGAAGCCTATATTTTGTCAGAACTGCAACCCGAACACACAAAACAGAGCCACTAAACTTCAGTGAATCTGTTTTGTCTTCCGAAAAGTGATGTCCTTTGTTCGTCGATTCTTCGCGCATCAGGGAGTAGGCACTCGCGTGAAGTGACACAGATTCCCTCGCTGTGTGGTCTTTAAGACATTGAAATAATGAATTCGCAAATTAGAGATTGTAGAGACCAGATTTCACTCACACCACAATGATTCGCATTGTGTGATTTAGTGCTGAGGTGTACTTTTAGATCAGGTGTGACAACTTGTTAACACACAAAGGATGTACACATTGACGGTAAAAATAATGACCGGAAACGATACCCAACTATTCGCCTTGGTGATTAGCAGCTACGCACCGGGTAAAACGAAACAGCTGGTGGCCAGTAAATTTTTTACCTATTTTAAAAACTTATAATCAATTGTTAAAACTTTTAGCGTGTACACTTATGTTGTCGGGATATCGGTTACTCATATATAAACGTAATTCAGCTTAAAAAGGATTAAAAGGCTTGGAATTTCAGTGATTTTTGGTTTCGTGTGCAAATCCGTTGCTTAACTTAAGTTCGATCGATAGAATATTGCAAGAATTGATTATTCGGGCTAATAAAACCCTTGTCCTCCAATGTAACATCATTAACACTGACACAAAATAAAGCATTTATTGCCTTGGTTAATTTCGTTTGGTCCTGTTCTTAATTCAGTAAATTGTAATGAGACGCGCAAATTCATACTTTTGAGAATTATCAGGAGATAAATATTGGAAGTAAGACCTGTAACAAAGCTTCTAATCCCATCTTAGCAATGCGGTTCTTATCTCTCGGTAAGACCCACCCCAATCACCGTTACATACTTGATCGAGGTAACGTAATCCTATTTATTTATTTATTTATCAAAATTACAAATAATATGATGTATTTTTAAGTACTATTAAACATTTCTTGGAACTGTGTTGCAAGTACTGGATTACAAGTCGACATTTCGTTTACTTATTTGTGCTTAGAGTAAATGGGGTTCAACAGCATCTAGGCTATCCTGAATGTTTATTGGTGCATTGGTGCGAATACAGGGCCATTTAAAGATTTTTGCCTGGGTTTCTGTGGAATCAGGCGATGCAAAAATAGCCGTAGATCACGTGGTCTTGTGGGTAGACCAACCGGATGATAATGCTGTTACAACAAAGACAGAGATGCATGGCATACAACGCAAATAACCTTAGCAGACCTATTCCAACAGGACGTACTGACGTCAACAAGCAAATCTGGCAAATTTGGCCAAAACACCGACCACCGCATCCTTAAATTAGACACAGCTAATGAACTACTGAATACGGGAAACATATTTCACAGGAAATCAAATCAGAGTGAAATAATTCATTGCGAACTGATTTTACAGCCAAAACGTCTGGATTTTCAAGTAAAAAGTCTGTAGGAACGCCTCACACAGTTTAGAGGAAACAATAAACGCAAACCGCGTCTACAAACGACTGGACGGAATAGATAGAACAGTCGCGTTGCAAAATTTAACTGGCTGCTTTGTTAATTGATGAAACAAAGACTTCGAAGGCATTTGAACTGTCCCTTTTCTGGTGAGAAGCATCTAAAAGTCCGTATTTTGTTCAAGTGGCTCAAACGAACACAGTGGCGATTGACACGTCAAATAAGACAAGCAAAATTACCGCTCTTGATTTATATTTACCACTAGGTATTAAAGTCACATATTAAAGGAAGGGCGAAATTCAAATCAGACCGGTGAAAGGATCGCCGAGGGTACGCACGAAGGAAAGCAAAGGTACTTCGTAAGACAGTCTGACCAGGTTGAAGTGAGAGAAGGGAAGAGATATTGGGAGAATGGTGGGGCCATTCGTTTGGATTTTATTTTATACACGCGATGGCCCAAGCCAGGTTCCTCTACGAAGCAATCAGAGATCGTTCTCGTCGTGGTCTTTGTGCCGATAACTCTCCTGATTTATCGCCTTCAGACGATTCTGCAGTCGCTCGAGCTCTGCCATCTTGGAAGCGATACTCGCCTTCGTTTCAATGACCTTAGAATTCACAATAAGCAATGTTTATGTGAGAATTACACTTCCTAATCCAAGTGGAGTATTAAATTTGATGCTACAAATCTAGTGGTAGAGATTAGTAAAAAAGTTAAGTCTAGAAACAATTAGGAATGCAGTAAACTCAAAAATAAATGTCGATTTTCAGTATTATCTGGCAGCCATGATTAAGGCCAGATTAAGCCCCCCAGTAAAACAAAATGAAGGTCGAATTGTCATTGGTCTACCTCTCTCATGGCTTCTACAGTGGCTTTTCTGGGTCCAGAAGGTTCCGATTGTTCTCCAGGCCTGTTTTTACGCTTCTCGATTTCCGTCAATTCAACGAGGCGGTCAGCATGCCTTCGGACGGCTGACGCGGCGGCATTCAGACCACGCATTGACGCAGAGTTCGCGTCGGCTTTGGCGAGGCACGCGAAAATCAACTGACCGGTATTGGAGACGGCTGTCCGGGCTGCGGACACGAGGTCTTCGGGAGCGAAACGCAGCGATGGATCGGCGGAAGGGTCGTTACTGCGGGCGGCTACCAGGGTCTCTGCTGATTCGACGAGATGGACAGTAGCCGCGGAGACATAGCGCGCCTAAGATCAAAACAGACATTCTGAGGAGGGAGAGATGTGATGGATAGGTACCAGCAGCGCTAGTAGGTGATACCATGCAATAAGTATATCTTCTAAAAACTGAAAGAAATCAACTACTGTGGTTATAGGCAACTTACAGCAGAGACTAAACCACAGGTCCACTGCGACTCCGCCTCGCTCTCGTCGACGTTTTCGCTGACAGGCTTCAGCCGACCTTGTTTCACAAGTTCCCGTTGTGCCGCGGTGGCCCAGTGCATGAGACTCGCTGTTGCCTGCGCGAGACGCTTACAGGTAGCGAGGATGGCATCTAGGCCCTCTAGGTCCTCATCTTCTTCATTTTCTCCAATCGCGGAGGGTTGCGGACTTCCGGGCGATAGTTTCTGCAACCACAATGAAAAGTTTCGTTCTATGATTTTCTGCTGACGAAAATAACGCAAAATTATCCCTGGTTTAACCTGAGCCGCCCGTCTTGCAGGGAATCACCAAAACAAAAGAATTGCTTGCTTCACTTGAAGGTTGATCAAGAGAGAATATGGCAGATCGTAGGCAACAACACAGCCTCCACTTTCGACTGCCACTTCATTTGAAGACGCTTGATAAAAGGACCAACAGATCAAAGCAACGTTGATTTCACCGAAGTTATTAAAACAGAGCCAAGTTTATATATGTGGCCCGCTTAGCTTCACGGATCTGAAGGTCGTGCTAAAGACCACCCAACTAGCTAGTAAAATCTCTCAAAAATACTAGAAAACGAGACACGAGAAAAACATACCACATTAGGCGTACTATTATGAATACAATCGAATTTGTCGTATGGATTTGAACAACAGAGCTTTAAAGATGACTGTGAACCTTGTAATAATGTCGGGTATTATCTTGGGAATGCAACTAAAAACCGAATATTTTTTGTACTCTTGTCAATATCTTAAAATAGTCGTTTGTTAAAGGTTAAACATGCCAGAATTGAGGGCGCATTAGCGCAAAGCTGATTAGAAATACAACTTTATTAACAAGTGACTTGCTCTCGTTTCAAAGAGAAATCCAAAGCACGTGAACACGAGATGGTATGTGTGTTGTGGACAGTGTAAAAACTGCATGCTGACGTACAAGTTGTGCGTGGAAAGGCATAAGCCGCTACGTGGATTAGCGGAGTTAGAGAGTCAACAATCACTCACAAACAGAGAAGTGCGCATGCTTGAGTATGAGCGTAGTCATAAGGAGATGGACACAACTTACCGCAGGGACGGCTGAATCCTGGGGTATAAAAATCGCATTAAAAAGTGGTGTTGCCAAAACCTCAAAGGGATCATTGGCTCAAACACACAAATGCGCCTTCCACGGCCTCTACTCCCGCATACACCTTTTAAAACATGCTCGGGTTAGTCGCACAACGCCCGCAGACCCCTTACAACTTGGTGGAGCTGGAAACAGGCAGGGCGAAAGATGTGTATTTCCATTTTATTGGACGAGTCTTTTGATGGTACTTAGAGATCCACATGATACGAATGTGTATGGGATTGTGTGTGTGCTGTGACATGCTGTCAGTTAGTGCGATGGAATAAGTAAATGTTTTAAAACAGGAGATACGGGGATTCCGGCTGCAAATGAAAAGGTAACACATTTGGATTGGCTGCTGGCGTCAAATCAGAGCGATCTGTTACACATTTATGATTAGCCAAAATAATGTTTGGTTGTTTAAAAGTCAAATACTCCTTGCCACTGAGTTGGCGACTTAAAGATCCATACTCTCATCTTTTAACCGCCCACAACTGCGACAAAATCAATATCTTAATAGTTCAATGACCACCTCGTGATATTTTAACATTCATTAGCACCAAAATTTAAGTCTGGTATCACCGTCGCTGAAAGAAATAAGACCTTTAATTGATTTTGATTAATATGAAACGCTTAAATTTACAATGGAAAATGAATTCCGACTTCCCAAAGCTAATATAGCCAATTACAAACGTGAGAAACTTAAGTAAATCATTTCTAGACCTTATAAGAAACCATGTTGTATTTTAAAGCTATTATAGCTACCATCTACTCTTGGTACCACCAATCTTTGGCTCAATAAACCTACTTTCATAAATAAAGGATTTTAGTTTATTTCGGCACACACCTATGACGTCATGTCCTATTTTCTGAATATGAACGAATGATCCCAATACCTCTTACTTTTCAGACACCAGTACGGCAAATGATCAATTCCGTTGATGATGTCAGCATTCTTTAAACCACTGTGTTATTTACATAATTGACAACCACAGTATTTCATCAGTGATGATTGCGTCTGATCTGCACTACACACTTTCCCATATCCCATTGGCTCATTCCTAATTCGAGTGTCACAGACCTCATAGGTGACATGCTGTACGTGTAATGCGGGCCAACCAACCAGATGCGTGATTTAGTAGCTGGCTTACCGCAGTTTTTGTCTGCAGCTGAGTTAGTTTCTGCATCGACTGCTCAATCTCGTTGGTGAAGCCACGAAGTTCCTCGGTGCCCGCGGCGTCCCCAACGTCGGTTGCGATGTTCGCCGCCTCACTGATGCTCTTAGCGAGGTCCGAACGTGTGGATAAACTGTGAGACACGAGCGTCGATCGTTTTGGAATCGGTGGCGGCGGTTTCGGTGGTTGGGTCTCATCTGAGCGTCGGAAACCGGGGGATGCAGGTTCTAGAATGCAAAATAAGGAAACTGATGTTAACGAACCAAATATATGTACTAGGAACAGCGCTGGTTTCGTCAAAGGAAAAACAATGGATGGAGCGACGAAGACTATAATGAAACGAACTAACACCAAATAATCATGCGCTGAAGGTGAGTGTATTACTCAAAAGATCTATTTAGGTGAGAATGACGTACCAAGCAACAAATTTATAGATTCTACTTAATGACGATTCGGGATAGTGGGTGCAGAATTATTTAAACTTACCGGGCTCAAGAGAACCACCAGGCATTTGTTTGGCGCCTTCAACAATTTCGAAGACTGTCTCTCTGAGCCGACGCATCGCCAGAGTCACCTGCATGGCCGGAGGCTGGCCAGATCCGGGGTCGTCCAGGGACTGTATGGATGCAAAGAAGCCAGTAATTGGACGGGCTCCAAAAAACACTAATCCTACCTCTTTTGGCGCTACGAGACCTTATTAAAAGGCAGTCTTAGAAAAAGCGTCACAGAAAAGCGTCATTTGAATTTGAAGATCCGCTATCCTGGCTTCCATCAGGTCTCATTCAAGACCAGACAGCGGCAGATTATTCGTGGGACGGAGTCGAAATGCTCGTGAAAGAAGAGCAAATAAATTCATTTTCTCATTCTCAATGACATAAATAGCACTTAAGGCGAATAACAGGCACGTAAACTACGAGTAAAACGCTATCGAAGGCTACTCAATGCGTAATCCGATGAATACGAAAGCGATTTTAGCAAGGCATCAATGACCTTCGGATACGCCTATCCACAAACAGGAAAAGTTGCCAATCAAGTCGCTGAGAGTAGAGTAAAGTAAAATAACCTGGGTTGTTTAAAACAGGCAAACTCGTACTTTAATCATATTTTCCACCATGATGGCGAGTTCGTTGAGAGTTGCTTTTCCACCATCGATAGCACGGGTGCAAGCCTTGGCGTAGCTGGCTGTCTCACCGACGTCGCCGGCTTCGCCGGTTGATAGTTTCCGCGCGGAGAGCATGAGAGCGCGCGATCCACAACGCAGCCGCCGCACGAGGTCGGTGGCGGCCTTGTGGATGACCTCACCGGCCAGACTGATGTCGCCCAGCTTGCGGCCAGACGCTGTCGCGCTGTTCGCCTTGAGGGCCGCCTGTGTGATGGCAAGAGCCGCTTCCTGAATTTTCTTCGGTGTTGTAACATCGTCGGCTGCAATCTCGCGTTCGCTGTCGATAGAATCTACCAAGTAGAGTGCAACAACACAATGTCAAAACGGATCTACTACTGAAATCCGCGTAAAACAAGCAACAGCATGTCGACGTAATGGATAATCATAATTCCTTACCTATTAACTTGCTCATGATGCTTGCAATTTCACCAGAACATGACGCTTCCTATAGGAAATCCTAAGTTAACAGAGACAGGTTCAATTAAATTTTCCTCCACTGGCCACACCATGAGACATCTGTGTTTCACATCCACGTACGCAAGAAACAATTATTGCACTGCGTTAGGAACAAGAACATCAAGTTTCAAATGAAAAGCGGCAAGGGATCGGTCACTTGGATCGGACCAATCACGATTACCTCCATCAGCGAAAGTGCCGGAATGGGGTGACCAGCCGTCGAGACGAGAACTGAGATTTTTCACCGTAGCGAGGACCGACTGGAGACCAGCGCGAACCGAGACCGTGGCACTGTCCTCCGACGGTGGCTCCGGTCGCGACAACCTTGATGGCGTCAACTTGGGCCCTGGTGAGGTGGAGACCGGCGCAGGAGGCACCTTCGGCTGCACAAACACCTCGGAGAAATTCCTCAGGGCTGAGCGCAATTCACCGACTCGAGAAACAACCTGAAATAGACCCATAAAATATTATCTACTGAACAACATTTAAGTAGAACTGTATTTAGAATTTCTATTTCCGCTTTTTCCTCAGAATGAGAAAACACTAACATCTGCGGCAGTAGAATTAAGTTGAGATTCTACGGCGGACAAGTTGTCTTTGTCTACAGTCACCAAACTTCGGCTGTGCGCGAGCAGGTCGATGAGGCTGGCGGAAACGGCACGAGCGACAGAGAGAAGGCTGACACGTGCTTCCATTTTAGCCTCTTCACTGGCCGACGAGACAGCGTCCAGGTTGGGAAGGGACAGTAGTTGCAGCGTTCTGTTGTGCAAATTGCTTACATGAAGGAAGCAATTTTGGGCCGACACTGCCAGTGTATCCTGATCGCCGGAGGTGTTGCGTGACTAAGAAGGGTAAGAAAAAAAACCTCCAGAAGTTAGGATGAAATACTGCAAGAGTGGAACATATTCCACGGCTATCAACTAGAGTGAGCACACACCAGGGCATTAGTCTCCTCGATTATGCCTTTCAGAAGGTGCATGATTTCCTTCTGACAGTCCTGGACGTCGTTTGCGACAGCGGTGGGGCTGAGACGAGGGGCAGCCACGGTGCGCGTCTCCACGAGGGAGTTGGCCCGGGCAAAGTAGATGGCTGAGTCAAAATCGGCCACGGTGCGGGCGATGCCCTCAGCGGCGGCCACGCAAGCGTGCACGCCGTGCGCGGACTCGCGAATCGCTGCTACGAGGCTGGAGACGCGACCTGCCAGGCAACGCAGGCAGTCCGGGTGCTTCGGATTTTCCAGAACCTCCAAACAACTTGTGCCGATGCTCTTAACGGCAAAAAAAGGAGCGAATGAATTCGTTACAAGCATTCGTGAGGGCACACAATTCAATCGATTTTCGTGAATGCACTTAACGCAACTACGTGCGTTCAGAGATTGATACTTAGCGAAGCTATATAAACGCACTTGTTATCCTGTACACACACTTCGCTACTGGATCGATAAATTAGTTGAGCTGCGCGTCATCTGCATTTTCACTCCTTCTTTCGGTCGGCCCTGGTGTGGTTTATTCGTGTCTTTCTCTGATTGGCTGCATATCTTCCTCGCATGCCATTGGATCGTAGAGACACAGGATTGGCTGAGGCCAGCGTGGTCTAATATGTCTGCGCCCATATCCGTCGCCACATGACTTCAACAAATTGATTGACGTCGATTCGAATTACTTTCATCTTTAAAGTAGTACTTGCAAACCATACAACTTCCCTTTTTAAAACGACAATTGGACTAATTACCTGAACGACGAGTCTCAAACGCTCAGTGACTCTGGCAATCGCTTCGGGCGAGAAGTGCTGGTTCTTGCCAGCGATGAGGGAGTTAAGCTGTCGGGTGGTCTCGACGATCTTCGAGAACTGCTGGACCAGTTGGCCCGCAGCCGCCTCCTCAGCGCCGGACCCTCCCGTCTTGGCGGATTCGGACAGGCGTCCGGCGGTTTGAACGAGCAGCTGCGCCTGACTGGAGAGACGCGTCTGCAGAGGCACCAGACTCGTGTGCTCCGGGCTGAACGTGGGGCTCACTGCAGTGTCAAGCTGTGATAGAAAGCATCTGCTCAGTAGAGTTCCATGGCGCATCGCGAATACTCCGAGGTTCTAATCAAAACCCACCTTTTTACAGCCCGCCTGAATGGTGGCGATGTGGGAATTGAGGCTCCCTTGGCGTGCAGTGAGGTCTTCAACGCACGTGAGGAGTTCTCGGCACGCCAGACGAAGCTGGTCGGCACTGGAGGATATGGGCGAGTTGTCGGGATCAGGAGGTCCACCGAACTACAAGGAATTACCCCGTGGTCAACATACTCAACCTGATGCGGTAGTGAAGACTGAAGGCAGAACGTACATAGCTATTCATTTGGGTGATTAGACGAGACGACAAGGCAGTCGTGATTTCCAGCACAGTACGCAGGTGACTCTGAAGATTCGCTTGGTCAGAGCTGCGTTTGAGACCTCCCAGTGCGGAAATGCAGGCCTAAAAAAGCCCAAACAAGTAATTTTTTTTCCTAGGGTAAAAGTTAATATCAAAAGCACATTGTAATTACGACGTACGTTTGCCACGCTGGGCAGATAGGAGGAGATTAGACTTGCATCTTGGCTGACAAGCTCCCACCTGGATTGGCGCCAATCTCCGGCCATTTTGCCGCTCAAGGCAGTCACCTGATGCAAACTGGAACTTATGAGAGAGGCTTTCGCCTCGAGATTGAACACCTCGTCACTGTACTGCTGCAACCCGGCCTGATCTAGTTTCCTCAATAAGTCCTTCGAAGTTGCATTGAGGGTTTCCAACGCCTTTAGGCCTGGCCGCGATTCCCTACAGGACAAACACAAATCCTACTTATAAAAATTAAGTAATCAATATTTAGAAACTGGAAAGAGTTTCACCGTATGCAAGATCGAAGATCCTGTGAAGCGTCCTCAAGAGCTCTTCTGTTATCATTGTAACTGCTTTCGGCGTCCACCGAAGATGGGGCTTTCAGGAGATTGCCAGCACTCTCTGTCAAGTCTCCGGCCTTTTCAACAACTCTGCGACCACGAAGTAGAATAGGGGCTTGTTGCTATGGCAAGAATACACAAAATCAAATGACTCGCTGCCAGAGTAAACGGCTGTTCCATCCACAATTGCTATATTATATCAGACAGAAGTAGGAAGACCATATGAATGTTACAAATGCAACTCTTGATAACCCAATAAACGACTTACAGCAATAGCTTCGCCAAGAACTTGAACGGGCATCTCTCCAATGTCCTCTAACAACGCGTCCACTAATCTGGTAACAGATCCTTTAAGTCTGGTGGCAACCTGCGCCACATCATCACCAGTAATGGCAACATCTTCATCTCCAATGTTCACCATCTTTACGAGTTGGGTTGTCGTCTGTGCCATTTCTTTGGCATGCTGCCGTGAAAAACGAAATATAATTGCTACTATCATCAATTAAGTAGATGGTAAACAATTAGACAACAAACCTCTGCGAGCATCTTTTTTTCCTGCGGGTCGATGCTTTCAGCAATGCACTGTCGGGCAATTTGACACATGCTACTGGAGGCGCGAGTTATGTCGTTGATTTTACCAGCCAACTAAAATCACAACGGGCGTTAGTAAACAAACTGTAGTACTAAATTATAATCAGTAGTAACAATTGTAAGCGGGGACAGACCTGCGTCGATCGATCATGGTGCGACTTAAAGGCGGGTGCATCTCGAATGACGGCGTCGAGATTGCGTTGTAGCGAATCATTCTCCTCAACAATCTGCTGAGCTTCGTTAGGCGCCAACCTCGGTGCTCGACCAGGTTCATTGTACGGCTGACCGGCACCAACGAGGTAGGCCGATTGCGTTGCTACCTGCAGCATCCCCATGACCGCGTCCGCTACACCTTGGGCGGCCTCGCAAAACGCGTTTGCATTACTGTTCTTTGCCGAGAATGAAAGTCCATCCATGTGAGTGCCGAGAGTCTGAAGTCAAAACACATGAAATACAAATATGTAGTGATATCGCTACTTACAACAAAAGAGTAGGTATTATTTATCGGTAGAGAGGATTACGTGAGACAGGTCATCGAGCTCATCAACACACTCCATGTACGTCAGCTTGGCAACAGGGTAGCTGACAATGGGAGGGAAGTCACCATCCACCCCTGAGGCTGGTTGCAGACGTTGAAGGGCTGAGGCAAATTGTCCCCTAACTGTGTCAAGTGTCCGGTCAGGGGACTTGGCTGGTCTGCCGAGTTGAGGATTGTCCCTGGCTACCTGATCTTGAGTGGCTTTGGTCACATTGACGACGTAGTCGCGAAGTTGCCTGTAAGTACATTAAAAACAGATTTCTCTAAATTTTGTGACATAAAGAGTCCATCAATTATCAAATTGTCCAGAAACAGTGGGTTTTTCTCTACAAGCATCATACTTTCATGCACATTCCATACATTTTTGGCTTTCAGCATCCAAATGCGCATGAAACCTTCTTAATTATCTTTAAGCCATGCTGTTTTCTCACAAAAAACGAATTTTACCAGTACCTGTTGTATAAATAGCCATGTTGTGCCACAAAGGCGCAGTCCTATAGATGTTTATGCATTTGTATCGATGATTTAGGAGTTGCTTCCTAATCAAAGTCACTAATGTCCTTGAACTGACCAAAGAAATGAAATCAATAAGCCTTACTTGTATCAAACCCTTAATCTCAAAGTAGTCAACTGATGGAACAAAAAGGGCAAACTAATTCGGACATTTGAAGCAATATGGACATAGAACGCGGCAACACCCAAGCCCACGACATCGGTACTAGAAAAGCGGACAACTTACGGAACAAGGAACTTACAATGAGGCCTTAGAAACAAACATGACGTTGACAGGTGTCTGCATGACGCCTTCGTAGGCAAGAGTTCGTTCCAACTCAGCTGCCAGGGGCTTGGCCATTCTCTTGAGGTCGCTCAAAATCTCCTCGTTCCGGGCGGAGACACTGCCTGGCTTGGTGCCATTGTTTAATGCGTCCAGGACGTTGTACAATGCGTTGGCGAGTCTGTTGGCAGCCATGGATAGTGAGCAGGTGGACGAGGGGCCTGGCTCGTCCCGACGTCTGGACGACTGGTCGCTTGCCATTCGACCTGTCTCTTCGCTTGCCTTAAAATAAAAAGATAATGGCGCATTTAGAAAGATCCAGTGGTCATCCTCAACGAGGAAAGGAAACGGGGTTCGTTCCTAGCAAAAATAGACCAACAGAAGCCTACCTCGGCTAATTCCTTGAGTGCGCGTAGAAGGGCATCTGGATCCGCAGTTTCAGGAGCTGCTAATCGCCCCGAAGACACGCTCTGTTGGCCTCCTGTCTGTTGTGTGATGGTAGGCAGCTCGTCAACAAGAGATCCCAGTTTCGATGCTGCCTGGGAGCCAGGAACGTACTGCCGAAGTCCAAAGACCGAATTTTGAAGCTAAACAGAAAATTGAGCAGTTCGAAATTTTTGCACACGTGGGGAAATGAACGCCTCTACAGGAGTTCCTGATTTTCGGAGATAAATTAGCCTGCCCACAATCAATCATTCTTTTGGGTAGCCTGAAAGCAACATTTCTTGATGTAGAGAATGAGAACATGAGACATTTACAGAAGAGATTGGCTAGAGTCAAGTTAAGAATGGACGTAGCAGTAAAAAGAACGATTTAAGGAGTCTAGCAAGTAGTCAGAAGCGTTGATTTCGATGTTGCAAAGGATGTATGGACTGAAAGGACAAGAGATAAAAAGGGTGAAACACTGGACCCCCACCTCAGTTGCACTGGCCGACACCGCTTGGCCCAATGCGTGCGCGTTGTCTTCGTGGACAGACCAAAGGAGACTGGAATGCGCGTGTCCCAAGCACTGGAGACCCTTCTCTACCAGGGCGCCTCGAAGCCCTTCAGCGGCGAAATGTGCCGACAAGTCCTGACTGGGCGAACGGACAAACCGCCTGGCCGTTTCACCCATCTGTGACGCTGACAGAGAGGCCCACGACGAAATAAGCACCTGTTCCAGAGCTAAGGCAAAATATGGACATAATTGCAATAGGTGTTAATAAGAAGACCTTGGGAATGTCACAAGGTATTTACCAGGATCTGGCGCAGACGATTCCTTAACGGAGCTCAGGAAACCGGCCAAACCACGAACCGCGCTAATGACGGATTCTAGGGAGGCGAGGAGTTTGGCTGTGACCGGAGGTAGACGATCAGGTCCCACGCCAACGACCGCGGAGCCCCCAGCTATCTCTTGGGCCTCGCGTGACAGGAGGTCGGGCAGCTGCGAGCCCGTTTCCGACGCGAAGGTGTTCTTGAATTTGGTGATTGCCGTTAGAAGATCTCCGCAGACAGAGTCAAGCTGTAGACCGAGTCAACGAAAGCATACTTTAGTACATGGAATGTTCCACAAACACAGACGACCTTAACCGAAGCTAACAAACCGTTTGTCCAGGAAGACAGTGGTCCGAATTCGAGTCCAACTCCGTCTGCATGCTGGCGAGGCGCGTTGAGATGGAGGGCCAGGCCTGGAATTTGACGACCGCCGGCGTCCGCGATGCTCGCCTTGCTGAACGGGCAGCAGCCGCCGCCGCCGACTCAAGGTCAGGCAGGGGAGAAGGCGGTTTGTGCAAAACGGGGTCCGCAGTGGTGCAGCACTGCCGCAGATCGGCGAGGCAGGCTTGAGTGTTCCTAGCAGCGGTAGTCAAAGCAACTTGAATGCCAGCGTCAGGCACTGTCGGCGCCAGAACGTCAACTGAGGCCAAAAAGTCTTTGAGACACTGGAACAAAGGTATACAAGTCACCAAGTCATGAGGCTTAAGATTCGCCAATTCGGCAGCTAGCAAGAAAGATTGCCAAAAAGACCTACATCCATAAGGTTCTTTGAAACAACAAGGAGGCTGTTTTGGGCGGTGGGATCGTGCGGGTGGGCGCGCGCATTATCACAGGTGAGGTTGGCTTGTGGGATTATTTCGCCAGAGAGTTGGTCGAGTTCTTGCAAGAGCTGGAGGGGAGAAGACGCATGTCACTTAGAAATGATGCATTTTGTGTGTGTGTATGTGTGTCGGTTAAATGCTCTTGGACTTCAAGTTGACGGGACTTCAGATATATGCGGTGCATTGCAACGATTTACGCATATCAAACATGTTTTTCAAGAAGCCAATGTAAAGAGAATTCGCTGGCACCCAAGATTCAAGCATCTGGATTTGGTATAGACATGACACAATTTACTGTTTGAATTAATCAATTCTAGTCTAAGGCATTGTTAGTATTGCACGAGTGTTATTCGACATTAACAAAATTCAAAAAGAATCCTGAAGGATTCCTATTATGTAAAAAGATAATCTACTTTTTAAGGAAAACAGAATACTAGAAAGCAGTCATGTAAACCTAGTTATTCAAGCTGGTGTCGTACTTTAAAAAAATCAATGCATTGACACTGTGATTTTGAACCACAAGACATAATTTTCTCATACTTGATTGGTCAAGGGCACTTACTCGGTATTGGCTACTTCGAGTTTGGCGAGCGGCCTCTTCTGACATGGCCGCCAATTGGCTGGCGTTTGATGCGGTCAGACGAGTTGCGAATTCGAGGCCGGTGGTTAAACGACAACGGATGATTGGAGCAGCTAATTTGTTCGCCTGTTGGATAAGACGAGTTGCAGCTGCGACGGTTTCTTGTTGGTGCGACAGGGATTGCTGATTTCCAGATTGAAGAGCCTGAGAGATTTAGATAAAAGATCGTAAAAATACGCATTTTCCTAATACACGAAACTATACATGCTTGGCAAAAACTCTGATTCCCTGACCGTCGTAATACTGGACAGTCACTAGCTGGACATTACTAGATGACAAACGACGTCGAAAGTTGATGTAGACGAAAGTTGGACGTACTTTCAGAGATTCTAGAAGTTCATTAACCGATTCGCTTAGGAGGCTGGCCCGAACATCTGCTTCGGACTCGGTGATGCCAGCGGCAGAAAGAAGGTCGTGGCCAGAGCGAAGTTCCTCCACCAATGAGGTGACTGTCTGCGCGAGATGCGAGGCCTGTTGAAGCAAGGCTTCACCGTCTCCCAGGGACGCAGCCACTTGTTGATTGGCTCCAAGCAGACTGAGCACTACGGGATCCTGCTGGGCCTGAAGAGGTAACAATCAGAAAATAGCTCAACGTGTGTGTTGATTTACAAATGATGGGACAGTCAGAAATGTTAAAAACAAAGTAGGATCACCTGTATGGAAGCTGCAACGAGTCTGTTCATGAGTGCCTCCAGTGCGGCGGAGACGTCGTTGGCAGATTGGTGAAGATCACTGAGAGTGCGGCTTTGGTCTACTCGCTGTTCCATGGCTTCCAAAGGCAAGTAGGGGGTGTCCGCGACTCTGCGAGCCACGTCAGAGAGAAGATCCACCGCTTGACTCACCTAGGAAGGCAGAAACGACATTAAGTACAGAAACTCCAGTCATGCATCAGCGACTGCGTGCGTGACCAGTGTATCAGGGAAAGTTTGACTTCGATGTCTAGACGCGATCCTCGAGAGGCTATTGCTGTGTATTTTAATCACCAGACTGCAACCTAAACTGCGCACTTGCCTATCTGCGACATCGAAATGTCTGAGAAACGAGACTTAAGAATCTAAGCAATCATATCTGTTGTTCGCTACAAAAAGCCAACCCAACTACAAAACTTATGATATTCCGAAGCTGGTAAAATTGAACTTGGGTTAACAAATGACGTCCCACAGGCGGAATTGGCGATCAGAGAGCTTTAGCTCTTTCCCCTCACCTGCTTCACACAGCCAAGCAGCTGGCGTTGGGATGCTGGCTGTTCCATCGTGCAGACGGCGACCTTGGCGCTGGTCACCAGACGGCTGGTGGTTTTGCCAGCGAGGGTCGCAGCCTGCACCAGCTGGGACTGCGCCTCCCTGAGGAAGGCCACTTTGTTGTCCCGCCGTTGGGCCATGTCAGCGCAGTCTGTTTCTGTGTTGGCGAGCTCCGTGGCCTCCTGACTGATGGAGACTGCGGCAGACTTGGCGTATTTCACGAGGTTGGCTGTTGCATTGGCAACTTCCTGAAAGACAAACGCAGACCATGCAGGTCAGTAATGGTTGTGTCTTGTGTTCATGAACAGACTTTGCAATTCAATTCTGGTGAAATAAGATCCACAGGCTGATAGAAAAGAGTACAACAAGTTTCGAAATTGACTAGTGGTTAAGTGTTAGCAATTAATACGTGGTTACCAGATATTAAAGGACTCGAATGTAAGCGGAACGAAAATGAAAGTGGCAGAATGACAAGCACACACTCTAGTTCACATCTTCTAGCAGGGTAAATATCATCACAAGCAGGCAACTTGCTCGCTTGAGATGTAACAAGGAGACACCTTAGAACTGTTAGAATACTTCAAAAAATATTCAACGATTTGCAAGTATAACCATTACATGATACACGAAATTCGTGGAGGTTTACATGAATATAATGCTGGAAAATGCTAAGCTCTATGAGATCAGATACGGAAATCGCATAACCAACTAATTTAAGGCTTACCTAACACTTACCAAGACAGTTTTGGATTTAATAATGGTTTAAAATCGGTTTTTACAAGCGTCAATTCATCCTGAAGTAAGTACTTCAAGTCACAAGTAGCCGAATTTAGTTTAGTAGTAAATTCAATTTAATTTTACCAATCCTCGCAGAGTTATAGATTTAAATGACAGCTTGTTACATAATCAAAACTCTGCATTCACGTTTGAAAATACAAGACAAATAAGGAAGGAAACTAGCTGTATCTGATGACAACAACTGACCTAATATACCTTTTCACCAAGTCGCAATTTCTTTTAAAATTTCAAAAAATTTCGCACTTCATTTCCCTGAAATTATGTAGTATTTTTCATAGTTCAGTTTGGGGTTATTTAACAATTTCGTGACGAGCCATAGTGGCTTGATGGAACAACCAATCTGCATGAAATCAATTTTTGTCCATAATAAATCAAGAGGAACAGTGAATCATCGTTGCTAGGGCACGGTGAACACACGAGGAAAACAAGTCACATTTAAAGTACGGTAGTCGGTAAAATGGTGAACGACATCGCACGAGTGCACTGCGAACCTATTTTAACCAAATTCAAATTCAGTTCACAAGTCAGAATCTCAAAAATGTTGGAAGTAGAAATCATACTTCTGATGGATTCCATTTGAGTGAAGAATTATTATCGAAAGTAACCGGAGTGATGGTTTTGGTCCTGAAAACTCAGTTTTGGTTGGATAAAAGAAGGGGTGGTACAATGAAATAACTTGAACAGTTTAAAAGCGAAAAATTGGTGGTTTTGAGGGAATCCAAGAAACGTTAAGAAAAGGGACCTGGAACAAAAAACGCTTTCCACGTGAAATTACACTTTCTGATTGGTTAATTGGCGTCAGTAAAACAACAAGATTTGACAAGGTTATTACTGCGTAGCTCAAGGTCACCTAATTTGCGATTAATGATTTAGAAAAGAAATATATCGTATTCATGGCCTATTTTTTTTCGCAACAGGAAACGTTTAGCCGTACTTTTGTGGCAGCGAGTAGGTCGTCCCTCAATTGCCAATCCATGGCATGGGCGTTGGCGATAACCTCCGAATCTGACTCATAATCACCGTAATCTACAGAGGACGAAAGTGCGAATTTGTAAAAGAGTAGTATTTCGATACTCTGAAAGTGATAAGGTGATTACCTTGGTCATTTTCGTTAACATCCTCCAGAATGGGCTCAAGCCGCTGCTTGCGTCGACGGTGGGCAAAGAGTTGGTTGGCAGAGACCAGTTGAAGCAGCTGTTGGCTGGCATCCCCAACTCGCGAGGCGGCCTCGTAGAGGGTCGGACGATCAACCAGGACGTTAGGCTGAGGTAAACAGAGTAATACATGAATAAACATACACACACCAAATAGGCACTTGAAATACGTTGCGCAGGACCAGTAGATCAAGGTCACGTAGTTCCAACCAATCAGAGTTGAAATCAATCCATCATCCCAAAAAAGTAACATCTGCCTAGTATTATGCTAGGGCATGCTTTATTACTTCAGAATAGAACCGAAATCTGGTTCATAACGGCTCATTTGAAAAATAGGAGCTATGTTAGGTGAAGAATGGCCTGCAAAGTCAAAAAGTGATAATTTATCTTCAAGTTACTCAGTAGACTTGGCTTTCTCTTAACTCAAAATCGCCAGTAAACCGTGTGAAAATGCTTACGCATATTAATAAAAAAAAGTGAAGTGTGGAATCCTGCATTCTCAAGCAGAAATTCCCAAGACCCAGAAAAGGACTCAATTCATGAGAATGCAGAAGTGAAACGCTTTTACAGAGATTGGTTTCTTAAAGCCTGCGGGTCCACCTGGTTGGATTTATTAAATAAACTGTAGAATCGCGCTTATAAAGAGCATAAGTGATACTATGGTTTCACGTTCAGTGTATCTTCAAATATGCTTGATAACCAATCAAATTTCCTGAACGAGTTACGTCCCAATCAATCTGAAAACCTTGGATTAAATACTTAAAATGTAAAGCAACGCTAGTAAGATTTACCTAAAGGGTGGGTATTTTTTCTGAACGAACTTACAACAAACCCGGAAACTTCTGTGGGTTCAGTAAATGTCAGTTGGTGACGTTCCTGTCAAACTGAACACAACGATTTGCTTTTCGCGTTGCACTAGCTGGCTTCGACAAGGTCTTAACGCAAAAATCCCGATTCCCTTTGGGTTTACCAATGTATTTAGCGAACGTTTGCACAAATCCGACATGGGTTACTTAAGGCATGCATAATTTGGCTTGTTTATGCTTTTGTATTACGAATTATTGCGCACTAAGATGGCGCATATGCCCAAAAAGACGTGGTAACCAATTTTGACTTATGCAGTTCCTTTAAGAGACGAAGTCTGTTAGATAAATATTAAATATTAATCAAGAATAAACTTCACATAACCGCCGGAGATTGCGAGCTTATGATACATTGCGTTTATTCGGTACAAAAGTGGCCCAAAATGCGTCCTTTTTCGGAGTCAAAAAGCGACTAACGTCGATTCTGAAGTAACTTCATATTGGCAGCACAATTCACGTCTCAAAATGTCAAATCTTTAACAACATTTGGACTTCACTAGGCAAGCCGATGCCAAATAGGAACTGCCAAATTGGCACCGTGCGAGCATTCATGCATTTGAGATGTCGAAAGGAAAGATTTTTGAATTCGGTTTTTAATTGGAGGAAAATGTTGGTGGAGAAACGTTTTCTGACCTCAAAAGTTTGTTCATGCGGCAATGTGCAACAGAACTTACGTCCTGTTGATCGCCTTTCTTTGGAATGGCGGACTGCAACAGGTTAATGAAAGCACACGCTACGTCCTGAGCAGCACTCATTATGTGACCTTGGCTTTCGTCACCAGCATCCACGGCCTGTAATTGGTCCAGAACCCGAACATTCTGCATGAGACGTTGCACATTCAGCCCAATTGTGGCCAGTGAGGCGTCCATTGCGGTGTAGTCTATTGCATCCTGAGACTCGCCTATGTGTAATGAGGATGTCATACGTTGCATAACCACACAATTCAGGATCATAACAACAAAACACAAACTAACCTTCCTCAAACTGGTTTTGTGAGGGTTGCAATAAAGCAATGAGGTTTCCAGTCGCGATTGTCATCGCACCCAAGTAACTACAGATTCCAGCTCGTGCTTGCGCCATATTTTCCGCTCTCCAGCGCTGGGTTGCCTGAATTGGGATTATTTGAACACTAAAGTCATTTGCAAACATTAATTATGTACTGTAAGCGCTCCATAATGGACGTGAAATTTGAAAACGCGTGTTTATATTCCAAGATGTTAGGCAGAATCTAAGGCAGAACTGGACCATTTTGCATCAGTGTTTATTTTCAAAGATTTCAGGTAGAATTTGAGGAAGAAGTGAGCCTTTTTGAAGCGAATGTACAAGAATAAGATGACCACACGTAGTTCTGAACACACAGAGATTAGACAGTTGTAATAACATTTAAGAAGATATGGCAGATGTTATTGCGTTGGTAACAGAATCTGGTTCCCTAATGCAGATAATCGCAACGAAAATAGAAGTCGGCCTACTGCGTGCAGATTAATGGAAAACTTTCAAAGAGCATACACAAGGCGGTTATTAACAGTGACAGCGTGGCTAGAAGGATCACGATTACATGAATCTAAAGTCTCCCTACAAATTGAAAACAGCTAATGCATACACAAAACAACAGTTTACCTTGGATTTAGTAAAATCTGTAATTCGATTTTATGACGAGTGAAAAGGCTTCAGTCCATGGGTGTAAAATAAAATAAATCTTGAAGTTCGGTCAAAATTTTTGTGAAGTGGTTTGTGTGACGTTGGTCCAAGAATCGGCCACGCAGAACAATTCTTCTTAACACTCTGACAGAACTTCGCTACAGTGAACGTATCACCACGATCAAGAGGGTTTCATTTAATATTCTGGCTGGGTGAACATTTGATTTTCCAGGATGGTTTCTGGAAAATTATCACGATCCATTCAATGATTATTTAATCGATTATCACAAACTGTGTACTATTTGAACGCGGAATTCGATGGATTAAGAAGGCGAATTAAACGTGGGTGCAAGAGCCCAGCTAACAAAATGTTTTTTTTTATTGCGCACTTATTATCTTCTTTGGCTTTTTGTACAAGTTGGATGTGATTGGTTGAAAAGACACTCGCGATAATGTAACAATCCTTGTCTTAATGTATTTAAACGTGCCATTAAGGCGCTTCAGTTAGAAATTATAGGTCCCAGGAGAGAGACGATTCCATTTTACGAGGACATAAACTGCGCCGCGAACAACATCCGCGGTAAATTAAGGGCGTGTTCGAGTTAACCTTTTATAACTTTACTAGCGCGGGCAATCGCTATTGATGTCAAATGCATACTTTAACCAATCAGATGGATACTTCTTTCGTATTTTAAATGTATTTTCAAGGTCACGAATATTATAAACACTCCAAGCAAAAATTAAGCCCGACAAGGCAAAAAACTTGGACAGCATTTGACCAGACAAGACACAGAAATCGGCCTGACAAGTGTTGGCTACATCATAAATTAACGCTACCGATGAATTTTTAAATGAGTCGAGCAGTAACAATTGGCGTACCAGATCGTCACGAGAGACGGTTTCATTGTCCTCGAAGTAGGGTTTTTGCAGGCTCTCTCTGGCATCCTGGATCTCCTTTGTGCTCGAGTCGATTCGATACATGACAGCACGCTTCGGCTGACTGAGCTCCTTCATTTGAACCTACGCATTCAAAAGAGCCACACACAATTCAACAAATACATAGAACCCATAGGTTAAACTAATTTGTCAGTTAACTCGACGAGGGAAATTCGACGTAATTTGATAAACTGAGTAGCTAACTCATGATTTGGAAACTTAGATTAAAGATTTGATTTAGGAAAAAGTACTACTTCGTGCCATTGGCCTCAAGCAAAAGCGCCACAGTTTATCGATTTCTGATTGGCTTTCATAAATTGTCGGTATATAATTTAAATCCTAGAAAGCAACGAGGCGATATAGCATAATTTTCAAGTGGTTACGTCTTTGGGCGGGCATGCCATATTCCGACTAAGAAGGGTGGAAGTAAAATTTTGGATCACTTGCTCCATCACCCTGCATGACGCTTCAAGGTTAATCAAAATTTGGGACTTAACCGATTTTAGTGAAGTGGCTGAATATTTCAGCAAAGCAAACAAAAAAACTGAGTAGTATTCACTGGTAATAGTACAAGATGAGTTCTAGCGGGTCAAGTGTGTGCGTTTAGTGTCAAAGGTTACCTGATACACAACAGAATAGGAATAACACTACTTTTCAGTATAAAACGCCTGAAATCATTTGATTTGCTATTCAAGTTAGCTTACTGTACAAGTTGATTCTCCTAACAACATATTCTTGTGAGTAAAAGCAACTGCTAAGGACAAAGGTAAGGGTAGAGTAGGAAGACTTGGTTGATGTTGAGAGCATAATCCTTTTCATTTGAATTCTAGATGATAAACCATCGAAGGTGATAAAATGATCCTTGGTAAGCACTAATTTCATCTCCAATTTAAACGCGTCTTTCTTTACGTGTGAATGTGCTCAAAATGTACAAAACTTAAGTCTGTGCCGAAATTCCTTAGTTGGAGGCAATCAGAGATATGTGTTTAAGACTTTACAACACAAATTTTACAGTCCCATATGCGTTCACACGTTCAGGTCATTTACACAATCGTATTCTTTTTCTATTTCCAACGGTTACCTTGAAACCGCACAATTGACCTTTTACGTTTGAACACACCCAGGGCCTACACAGTGGCGCCCTTTTGGGAGATCGTATTGGAACTTGCCTTGTGGTTGCAGCAGCATCAGATAATGCAAAACGTGCGTACTTGCCTTCATGAAACATAGAAATGGCGCACAGCCCTAGAAAATGCCAGCACTGACAAATTGCCACTTGATTTAACGAAATCGTCCTTTATAAATATTATTATGATTTGAGGAATCTGATTGGTTCACTGTGAGAAGCCCAAATGCAAGTAGTTATACTAGTAGAATCGGATTGGTTTGAACGTACCTCATTTCCACCCAGGCCTCTCCGCTTACTTCCGATTGTCTGAGCGCGCATAGCAACCCCGACACCTTCGAGGTTCCGATCCGAGACCACGTCGCCGTTACCCTTCGGTCCGGCGTATCCTCGGGTGAAGGTGCTGGCCTGTCCCGGGAAGCCTTCGGTGGCCACATAGCCAGAGGAAACGTTGTAGCCTCTGCCAAGTGTTCCGACATTGGATATAATCTCGGCTCTGCAGATGACAGACGCTCATTAAGCTTACAGTCGACACCGTTAAACAACTTTGAAATGCGGGGCCACCGATAAGTTCAAACAGTACAACTGATTGCCAGTCCCCTAGCAAATATATAATCTCGTCCCTGCAAATGATTGGCGGACATTAAGCTTACAATAGACACGTCTAGACAACTTCAGAATGCAGGTTCATCGAGAAGCTGGGACTTCAAACGATACACTTAATTGTCAGTCTCTCAGCGGAGTTTTTTGGACATAATCGCACACAAGTGAAATGGCCCGTTGAGGGCTTTCTAATCACCATTATGGTGCCTATGAGGAATTGAATTATGATTTCAAAAAGCCACTCGTGCTTGCTTCGTCAAAAATTGTTTAAAATGTGACAAGTTAGATTATTCAGTTCGCAGATGTTAATTAGGCCAATCTTATTACCTGAAATGGTAACTCAAAATCGAAAGAGAACCATTGTTATTTAATAATAACAGATGGAGTCTTCAATATAGCAGGAAAATACCACAGTAATTTGATCGAGGATCAGTGAAAATGTTTAAATTTTACCGGTCCAAAATTCGATAATGTAGTTACTTTGCAGATGGTTGTAAAGTACTAATTAGAATTTTGGATAGTCTATGTTTGCAAGAGCACTTGGCGAGGTGGCAACAAAAAATGCAAGCTTTTCTAATTCAAAAAAAAAATTAAGAAACCTTATAAAAACTACCTTAGTTTATCTAACCTGATTCACGCAAAATACTTTAGTTTCAAGGCAATTGTTAGCGCGATTCCAGTCGCAAATCGTTTATTGTTGCATAAAATGAATGATGTAATCGGTGATTTAGCACCACAGGCTGATCGAATCACGACATTGAACAGCAAAGCAGCCCGTTGGACTGTTTTACAGCATGGGCAATGTAGATTGAAGTGTGTCACTTCCCGTGAAGTCTTATAAACAACGGAACTTGAAGACGTTGTGAGCAGTTGATAGGTCCAAATCTGAAGTCATCTTAATTGTGAAGGAACGAACCGGATAATCGAAGTACGTCCAAAATAGCTTGAAGGTAACAGAAAGCCTTATTAAGGGTCGTTTAAGCTGATTGGCTACTTTCAAGGGGTCGCCTGCCACAGACCAGACCACAACGCTAGACACGCCCTTGGTGGCTGTGTCAAATCAATGTACCGTTAATGGCTGGTGCGAAGGTAAACAGGTAGGCGCGATAAAAAAAATACAACCAGTTGGATGAGCGACTGTGTGGCTCTGGTCACGCGATCACCGCAAATAATTCCATGCATGCAACTTGATCTTTTCTGTCGGGCCAGAGGTTGGTAAATAAGCCACTTCAACAGCGCGTGAGAATTAATTCCCCATTCCATTTGATTCACTAACAGTGAATGACTACAAAGTGGTCTGTTTACAGACTAATTCATCCTAAAATTCCTGGTATCTTTCGTGTGACCGCATAACCACTGCAAATCTCCATTTTAGATCAAGGTCTTGCGTCTTAGAACAAGACACTCTCATCTGGTGTCCGATTGTTTAGGAGAACAGTTTGAGAATAACAGACAACCAATAGGAACTTCTAGCGAATTCACAGCTCAGACCAAAATGACCCTGCAGTCCAAAATGCTGTGTAACCACTCAACCAATTCCATGTTCAATGACCGTGCAGACGGTTTATGGCCCTGACATGCACGGGATTTTACGGGTCGCCAAATTTGCGTAGGTGCTTTCGCGACCTTAATCGTAAGCGTATGAAAGCAGTCGACTACCGACACATCGAGATACAGCTGTCCAGTGACCAAACAAGCCAGTCTGAGCTAACTAGGACAGATCCGTACACCTCCACTCATACCTACAACTACGACGTGCGGTTTCAAATTTTGAAGGAGCATTGCTCTATTGAGCAGTTTCCTCAAATAAAGGTAGTTTTCGCTTTGAACAACTTGACACCAAGACTAGCAGACATTTGTACAGGAGGCATCATCTGTTCTAACAGATCAAATACGACCTCGCAATGAGAAATAGGATAGGTTGATTTGGGGTATTGAAGAGAGTTAAAACCAATAGAACAAATTTCTTTTTCAACCTCTGATTCATGAATTTAAATGCTAGGTGAGGATCTGGGATATCGCTATCGGGTCTTGTGACGTGTCAGAAGTTATCAGATTATTATATCAAGAATTTCGGAAGTGATCTGAAAGCGAAGCAAAAACTTCGTTCAACGTTTTACGTCCCGGGGTGCAAATTTTCGGCGCTGAGAAAAAAATGCGAATCGATCTCGGACGTGATCACTCGGGAAGATTAATACGGAGTCGCGTGAACACTTTAGCATTTGGTTTCCAAAGGTTTCGTCTTCAGACAATGAATTTTGAACAGTTCATGACCGAAAGTAGAAACATTGACGCTGGTAACAGGATGCTGATTGGCTGTGGTGGTCTTCACAGTTTCACTTACGATTAAAACAAAAAGCGCCCGTTTCTTTTTCTGCTGCTACTTCTGGTGTCTACTGCACAACATTTTGCATGCAGATAACTGCTATCAGGGCATAATATTTTCCATTCACACGATCTGGTAGCTAAATTCGGCGTGATCATCAATAGCTCGTTCTATTTAACTCTTTGTCAGCCTGGCCTTGATCATAGGCACCATAATGTTTCATCTAAAAGAGGGCAATATTATATTACGCTGATGTCCGACGAATCGTGAATCGAAGCAAATGGATGTACAGATGTACAGTTGAGCCGAAATTCGTTTTTGCAATAGTTGCTGGAAGATTACTGCTCAGATTGTAATCAAAATAAGGGGATCAAATTTGGGACTTAAAGGGTGTCATTTAGATGCAGAAATGGACCAAAGTTCAAGCAAACACGTGGGTTTCGTGCCTTCATAACCCACCTAATACAGCTACAATCTAAATTCGATCAAATGTTCCCTGGATCAAACAGACAAAATCAACAAAGGCCAACTATTTGAAGATGAATTTAAGAAGTGCATGTACAGAGGGTTAAAGTACCTTCAATGGACTTTCAACAATGATGTTCTAAACGAATTTATAGGAACGTTATTGGAATGACTAGACAAATTAGGGATTATTGACATTCAGCAAAAAAGACTTGGATTTAATTCTTTTTATCATTGAAGATTGGACTGTTGGGTATGGATTTAGGCTCACGCATTCAATAAATAGGAACGAGAATATTGGCGTGGACACGCTTAAATGAGCTTTGATGCAATAGCAAGTTTTACGAAACGGAAAGTCAGCTCCAAGTTTAACTCTGGAATTTTAGAAATCATGAAAGAATCTGCAAGGGTAAGGCGTCAAAACCACCGTGGAAACACAAACAATGCTGAAAGCTCGACAAACACTCAAAACATTAAATAAAAATTCAAAAATGTCACTTGATTGGGTCTGTAAATTGCAACCATATTGATGCACTACTCTGCCCTCATGATTGTCAAAAAGCTCATTACTGCGACCCAAGCGACCAGTAAATTACTGCTATTCAAACTTGCCTAGAAGGTCCAATATTTTCCTCAAGAATGACATTGGAATCGCTGCTTTCATTCACAAAGGCATCTGAATTCTTCTTCCGCCGAAGAATGATGTCGATGTATCCGGAAATCAGCTGAGAAATCTGCTCGCCTTCTGTAGTCTGCATTACATAATTTCCTTCTGGGCTGTATTCTCCAAAGTCCTGCAATGAGAACAGCATTTATCTATTAATAGCAAGTCTATTTTACCGGTTATGCTAATGTTGTTCGTCAAACACGGAAAAGGTCACACACACACGCACGAACCACATAAGAATGCCAGTGATATAGGAAGCCAGGATGACTTAGAGGATATTACTTTGATCCCAAAAAGAAAAATATGCCGTGGTTAAATGTGAAAGCAAGGATCTAGTAAATTTGGACCGACAAAATTCGCTTCTTAGTAGTCACCATCGTGATGTTTTTTTGTCATTTTAACCTATATTTGCACTTTGAGGTACCATGACACGACATGTTGTTTTAATTAATCATTATGAAGGTCGCACACTACCTCTACATACCAAGTTTCACTTATTTGAGGCTACTCATCGACTAAATACAATCAAGAAACTTCAGGCGTCTGAACTATTTTTTAAACGCCCTGGTTTTGTAATTTCCCGTCTTTTGGCTCATTTTTTCTTACCTCAATTCAATCGTTTTACCTTTAAATCGTGGTGATTTACCCTGATTGCAAAATACTGAAGAAATCTGTTACTCGTATAACCAGTTTTTTTAGCAAATGTTTACTCCAATATCAGGTAATCTATCGACAATGTCACTTTTATGATGTTAAAGTTGACCCAGCAGAAACAAATCATTTCAGGAAAGTGAAATCATGAATGAACAGGAATTGGTGCCACAACGACCGTTTGAAAAGTTGTGAGAGAACTTGCACGAAGAAAGGTACACCAGACTTGCTAAGCTGTCTCGTAGGCAAGCTCTAATTTGGACCGGAGAACGTACCGTGCCATTGATTATTGATAAACTCATCAAAAACCAGTACCAGTTTTTTTGAAAAAAAAAGTACTAGAACAGCCTCGTACTATAAGCCTTACCCACTGAAGCCCCGGGAGGAAACTACAGTAGCCAAACAGAAAGTTTGCTTAGAAATTTGAAGGAAATAGTGGAAACGCAAGACCACTCCTACATGCCGGAACGAATAAACCAGACTCACAGGTGCGACCACGCCTCTTGTGATGCCCTTAAACGGCACTAATTCAGTGTTTATTTCCAGTTTCTACATTAGTGATTCAAGCGAAGAGAGAAGAAGGCATTTCAGGAAATAATAAGTTCATGTGTGGTGCAACAGAACACCGATTTTCTGTTTTCACACTAGGCGTAAATCTAAACACCAGCCTGGTGAATTATGTCTAATTTAGTTAAGTCAAGGTCGACTGTTTAGTTACGAGGACGCAATGACGAAGCATAAACCAATCATTTAATTCGCTCGAAGGGAGCCAATGACAAAGGACTGTCACATTACCCGTTTTTTAGAAACAGATTGATACGAAAGCGTGACACGCTGGGCCAAAAAAATAAGGTGACGGTTTGGTTTAAATAGCATGACGTTGAATAACCTTATTGGCACTTAGTTTAGAACCACACCCAATCATGTCAGCGAGGAACAACAATACGTTCTGGTCACGTGATCGATCGTTAATCAAATTGCCTACCATCAAAAAATATCTTTGCATGCAGAATTAAATGAAATAATGTCAAGTGATACTAAAACGTGGCCGAAATAATGGATGTCGGTAAAATTGAATGACAAAAAAGCGTACCAGAGTGAAAAGATTTGCAGTGGCGGCCCATCTCCTGACACGCGTGAGGGGCCAGGTCTGGAGAATTTCCTTGGTGTTCTCGTCAACCCGCATGACGCTCTCCTTGCTAACACCAAACAGTCGCGGAACCAGCTTGTTCTTGCCGGGAAGTTTTTCCTGTGGACGAAGTAAACACAAGCCAAATAAATATTAACACTGGTTTCCGAAGAATTGCCAATGACGACGCATAGTTCGACAAATCAGTTAGAGGTTTCTTTTAACACAATCGCTTGTACGAATCATGGAGCAGGCAAAAGTGGTTTTGATGGCAGAAATCATGAATGCCTGTCATAGGTACCTCATTCAACGACCTTCTTGACTGGAAGGTACTACTCCTGTCAAGCCACTTCCGAGGCATAAGAGTTAAAGGGCGCAATCAGCCACTTAGCCCACCAAAGGAAATCGCTTTAAAGTAATTAAAGTGGGAAGATACAAAGATAAACGCAATTAGCCTCGCTAACTTCAAAGAAATCAGCCAAATCCACAAAATTAGTAGCTGCGGCCCCTAACACCACAATCAGCTGGGCATGATGCGCACTTGGAAAAGGAGATGGGAATTCAAGGTACCGATAAATGCGTACAAGCCACAACACTTGCTCTGTTCGGCAGCGCAGACAACGTCTGTTACTGCCATTTTGTCAGAAGAAAGTAGATCAGATGCATGGAAGATAACAACCACAATGACACATGGATGGATGCGAAGTTGCGCGCTGTGGGACACAAATTAACTTTTACTAGACTACATCGCCTTAATGAATATTAACACGGTCTGTGCGACCTTTCAAAATGTGTCAATGACAACAAGAAGAGGCATTAATAACAGTTCCACATCTCTTATTTCTCTCAAGAGACAACTTCCATCCCTACATCGGTCTTTCCAATACGCTGAATTTGTGATTTTCATTGAGCACAAGTGAAGACGCACACTTCAGTAAGTTGAAGGCGGTATTTTATGCGACAATTTGCTTAGTTGCATAAAATACCGCCTTCGAAGACCAAGATATTAGTCAATACTGACCACGCAGCCACCATTTCTCGTGAATCAATCATGCCTACGGATTCACACAAGTTACATTACACGTGCGGAAAATTTACATTTGTCGCCCATTGGTCCATCCAGTCGTCCAATCACTTGACGTGACGCGACTCGACATGGGCCATTTAGGTAGAATGACTAAAGGGGTTGACTCGACTCCCCCAATCACATGGGCGAAGCGTCATCCCGCCCTAATGCTGTGCCCCAGTAAAGAACTTTTGTGGCTACGTTCTCATGACGTCGTCCCGGCACGCGACGAGCAAATTAATGAAACCGCCGTAAGCATCTGTTGCGCGGAGTGGCGAGTAGGCGACTGTCAGTGCGCACAGGTACAGAAGCAATGAGTCACCAGTGATGAGGTCATCGCTCGAAGGCGCACATGTTCAATCATTTGCGCGAAGACGCTGGGGAATCATCTAATTGCCGTCTCCCCCCATACAAGAAGGGGGTCGAAATAACACCGCATTCTCAACCAGTCATGGCAGCCAAAACCAAAATCTCGGTTTTATCGGCGTAGTTTCACAACGCTTAAGGCACTGTAAAAATGGACATTTTGCTAACAGGGAATGCAGCTGGTAGTTCAGATGGATTAGTTGATCAAAACAACGAAATGACTTCAAATAGACCGAATCTTGTGTAGTTCTTGTGGTAAAAGGCACAAGGAGACTTGCTTGGAGTGTAAATAAAATTAGCCATTTAAACGACTTGAGTCAAGACTGGCGATACATTACCTGATACCATGGCAAGTGTCAGTTGTTTCACAGCATGACTTTCAGGAAAAAACACCTAGGTCGAACGAGCAGCACCTTTCGACTTACGGGAATTTTACGTTCACTCATTCGTAAACTTAAAAAACACGAACGTAGTAGACCGTAACATAAATAAGTTGGAGTTCGGTTCGCGAAATGATGGACCGGGGGCAAAACGAAACACCTTCGTGTGAATGTTTGCGTGCGTTTAGATTAACAAGCCAACTACGAAAATAAGGCTGCCTTGTTATCCTTACGATGGGATGCTTAGAAGTACACCATCAACACATCAGGCGTTGAGAGGTTCAAACAGTTATAGAGCGGTGCCGCTGTTTACGGTGAACATTCAACAGAAGGAAGGCTATTGTGGTAGTGATTTGTTTTTATCTAAAGTCTGAATTCCTTCAACGCCCTTCCGGTATTGTACGTGAAGGTTAGGGAAAAAGTACCAGCAGTCTGATCAGCTCGGACAAAAGTTTTCAAGACTGTTTAGACAAGATTTTAATCAATTCCAATGTTATTACATTTAGAATGGGATTTCATGCGTAGGTTTTGTATTTTTTACAGCAACTTGTAACAGACGGATTTCCGAAAGGAGCGCAAATAAATTATGCACAAGGTAATACCAAACATTTTAGCTTTGAAACGAATGCCTGGAAGGTTACATTCCCCTATGTCGGAGCCAATGTCAAGACCTACACGTAATGTGCTCAAACATATCTGGTGATTGCACCACACATCATCCACGAGCCCTTTCGTATTCAGGACCTATTAAGTGCTGCAGCTATTATGTCCTTCTTGGTGGTTGGTGCCAGCATACAATGTTTCAGTTCAATCGTAAACAAGTGTTTTAAATGTTTGTGAATCAACAGGCGTTTTGTTCCGGTACGGTGATTTATGTACTTTCCCTTTGGTGACTTTACTGTCCCTTCAGATTACGCGATACCAAAACCTTCCAATAAAGCGTGCTAACACAAAGTACAACAAATACGGAGAAGCAAACTTACTTTAATTAAAAAGAAGGTAATGCCGTATGTCGGGAGAGAACGACACACCTGGATGTAGCGGACCTTGGCGTCTTTCTCTGATAATCCATTTAGTTTCTGGTATTGCTGAAATTTTATGCAAACAAAATCAGAATTAAATAAGGCATCTGGGGTTCAGCTGAGCTAGAACCAGTTATGTAAACGAAGCGATTGAGCTTAGCGAACAGTTGGGAATCTGAGTTTTCGAAGCTTCTTGCGTTTTGCGTTTAATCGTGATGTCATAGTAACGGGTGCACCAGCTCAAAAATCACGAATACAGAGAGAGCGACGCAAAAATGGACCACCTAACCTTAAAACGGCAATTTCGACCTCAATTACACACCCCATTGCAGCAATCTGACCGAATTTAACAAAGAGTTTGGACGCAATTTTGAAGGAAAATGCACATAAACCAAATTGGGATTTAAGAGGGAAGAAATGAAACGTCACCCCCAGCGACCATTTGTCGCCACCTGACAAAAATGGGCAGAGCGCAAAGGGTGGGAACGTGGGTGCCACATAAATCAACGGAAATCAGAAAAAAAACTCGCCGATTCACAGTTGTCACCGATTTGCATGCACGGCACATGGGCGATCATGACGACAAGGCGGTGTTCGCGTATAACAATGTAACTGGCGACAACAAGTGACGCCTTGACGCAAAGGATGGAGTGGGTGGGTAGGGCTGAACATGCCGTTCCGCGGCTTGACACTCAACAACGACAAAGACGCCGAAAATTGGCTCAACGACCAGACCAGCAGACGTTTGGCCAACCCGGATCACAAAAGTGGGCGAACAATGCCAGGAAGTCGTAAAGAGTGACAAGGCAAATGTTGCTGATTGTTGTATTCATTTGGATAAACATAGCTGTCGATAGGTATTCATCCCAAAATCCAGAAATCGACATTAAGAAATATCTTGCTGTGATATTTACATCCAAGTGCTAACTGATCTTTGAACTAATGCAAGAAAGTTGACCGAATATACATGATAGATTTCCTCTGCTTCATAATAGGAAAGACGGATAAATGACAAGTGCTAAACCACGTGAAAGAATGCCATCGGTAGGACAATGCTGTAAACTGACAGGCGCAGAACCGTCAATGCGATTTGATACTCTCCTTTAGACAGTCGACGTTCCCGACGAGGGGACTTCGTGACAGTCCAGTATTATTAATGCAAATGGTCAGTGTCATTCAAGAACTGTCAATGGACTTGCAAAATTCAGGGAGATCAGATTTGATCACATGAAAAAAGTGCCTCTTTGAGGCATGGGAACGAGAAACACCGAAGGAGTTATGGGGCTACTTTGCGCGCGCAAGTGCATTTAACACGTGGCGTCTTTGTGTGCGTGTGTGCGTGGTATTAATGAGTCATCAAGACAGAAACCGTTGTCTGCATAGCCTTGGATGGCGTGTGCGTGGGTGCGCACACGGGCCCAGGCGCAGAGGCATGCGCTGGCTGGGATTGGTGGGATCCAAAGGCAGTCAACATTCGGCCGATTTCCCCCTGGGCTGCACTCAAGTGCGCAGCAGTTCGTCATCTGCGTGGGATTGCCTGGAAGGTGTCTAAGCGAAAACTTGTCTGCTGTGGCGCCCTCGGGTTGCTAATAGACGAAGCATTATCTGTACATAATTTGGAACTTTTATTCGAATTAATGGCTAAAAATAAAGTTTTCTACTATGCTAAAACCTGTTATGGGCAAATAAATCATGTTAATACAAAGAAAACAATCGATTAATGCCAAGGACCTGTTACATTCACATTTGGAAGAAAGAACATGCTTACTTCTTTAATCTTCTTTTCGATGTTTTTGACTTTTATGTATTCCTTGGGCAGGTGCTCTTTCACACTGAAACAAAGAGGAAATATGTTTAACTGATCAGCCGATGAAGGTACCGTGGCATTATTAAATCACGGCTTACTCGATGCCTAAAGACTTAGACTTCTCAGGAACGAGGTTTCCCATCTCAGCTTGACACTGGAGACCGGCCAACTCAATTGCCTGGCTTTGAGTGACAGGATGGGCGCCATTAAGGATTGCTTCCTTAAGCTAGGACATGCAATCACTTAAATTAGATAAAAATGGTCGTTTGCCAGACGCGTCAATAAAGGCGAGTTCAATTACCTGAATAAACAGTAGGTTAAGTTGGACCGGATCACGGGTTCCAACATTTTGGTCCGAAAAAAAGTACTTCCGCTGGAGAAGCAGATTATCAGTTTCTTCAATGCCCAATTGTCTGAAGGTTTTAGCATGAGGCAGCCAGTTTGCTGAAAAGCAAAATAGTAGATTCTAAAAATATTATCTGCCTACATCGTGATGGGATTGGTAAGGAGGGGTCAAAATCTAACCTGCAGAAGTGGAAAAACGTAAAATGTACCTTTGAAATCAACAAACAATAACGTTCTTTCAAAAAACTGCATATTCGAAATGAAGGGTAAGTTAGATAAAAGATTCAACAGAAATGCTTTCTTACCGCCGTCATCAGTCTGCAGTTTCTGTTTTAAAGTTTCCAATTTATCGTAATCACGCGGAGCATTCTTTGGGCGGCGTAAAGTTTGCATACGGCCTTTCTCATGGATGAGAGAATATTCCTCATGATTAGTTATTCCTAAAACCAAGGTACAAATAAGATAAATTGTAAATAATTGCTGAAAATCGACACAATATTTGGACATAGATGGGAAACGTTTGGCATACCTCAACGGTATTATAATAAATAACTGGATAAGTGAAAATTGTCCTAAAAAACACTATCATGGCAGCACCTCGTAGTCTGGCTCAATACAGCAAACAATTCGGTCTGACTCTAACGTTTGTACAAACAAACATAGTAGCACCATAAGTTAAAGGTGTACAGAGATCCATGAATAAAAAGAGGAAGTTTAATGTAAAAGACAGGACCAAATCTTTAATATACAAGGGAAACAGAGCATCAGTAATAAATCATTAGGATATAGTCCAGACAAAAAAAATAACAAGCGTCATGATCATGGGATAAAAAGTATTTATATTTGTCATATGTTATGATCAAATTTATAAGAGACCTTGGTGCACATATTCACAAAAAGAAAAACCCGAATACCAAAAAAATTAAAAGCAATTCATTGTCGAAAACTCTAGGCTTTCCTTAAAGAGAAGAAAGGAAACTCTAGTTATTGAAAGAAACATTAAGAAAGCAAATTGAGAAACAAAAGAGGCTGATTATTTGACTCACCCATTTTTCCACAAATCGTAACCATCAAATCAGCAATTGTTTTGCTATCATCGACCTGAAGTGTTTTTCTTGTTCCATCTAAGGTGCTAACAATAAGCCGCCGCAATTTTGACTTATAGATTACTTCCATCTGAAGACATATGGAAATAAATTAAACCATAATGGTACCCCATCTTCCAAATGATAATATGACAACAATCTGGAACTTTCAAGCCAAAAACAATGTTTGGGATCTGGACCAGGAACAAAAATTCCGTATTCTACAGACAAGTAATTGAATATATTACTATATACCTGGGCCTTGACCAGCGTTTTTCACAACAGACTGAATATGTCGGCATAAATCGAAAACAGTTATATCAGTCGGCGTTTTAAAAGTGACTTTTTTACTTATGTTTTCTATTACGAGACTTAAAGCCACCGACGACATCGCGTAAGGCAAACTTTCTAAGGTTTCAAAAAAGGGTCAACCCATTCAAGGCTACGTATAGAACGTCAATGCATTAAAATCAGATACCAATTTAAGACATAAGTGATAAAACACACTGAAACTATCTTTAAACTCTTTATACATGGCCAGATTCTTTTTCGAAACAAAATTCTATATTTAATAAAAAACCGTACACAGTTGGGATCTGTGGAGTTGTGATCTTTCGTCTTCTAATCAATGAATGTAAGTATCATTCATCAGAAGAATTCCTAACTTCATGATTTACACATTTACACTTCTTCATGTGCATTTCTTTGGTGCAATGGCCGTCTGAATACACGAGATTTGTTATGAAAATATGTGAAAAGTCTTATCATTGCGGAGACGTAGGTACGCATTGCATAAATCACTATCCGTACCGGCCAGTTAATAAGAAGTGCCCAAGCCAACGAATAAAAAGAATTTCAGACAGAATAAAAAGCATTCAATAGTATCAATGTATAAGCTGCATGAGGTACACATTAGTTCACGTACAAAATAAAGTATCAATTATTTGAGGCACTAAGTTAAAACTTTCATTTAACTAGTCTTTGGTATTAATTATCTGACTAAATAAGTTTAGGTTTCTTACAGCCAAAAACTAAAAAATCTCTAAAGCTTTAAAAATTGAGGCAGAACGATTTTGTTGGGCGTGTCACAAACCGTTATACAAATAGCGGGTATGAAACCACATCAGAGTAATAGGTAAACATATTGATTTGTAGTGGGCCCCGGTGCGGTTTTAGAAACCACACCAGGGCTGACAATCTACGTTGACACGGCCCGACCGAAAGTAGAGCGGAACTGCAGATGACCAGTAGCTCAACCAATTTATTAAAGCAGTAGTGGGGTGTGTTGTGTACAGGATAGCAGATGCGTTTATATAGCTTTGCTATGCATTGATCCCTGAATGCAGCTATTTGCGTGGAATTCATTCACGAATAATCAAATGAACTGTGTTCACTTGTGCTTGCACACTGCGTTCGCTCACGATTGATAACTGTGCTCGCCACAGTTTCAAGCCACAGGGATGATATTGTTGTAACTTAATGAAGCTTTTTTTCAACACTATTCTTTTTGTCATCTCAAATTGTCTTATATACTGCAAGTCTTTAAACGCGTTCGAAGTGCAAATAGTCCTGCATTGAATTTAATTGATTCACATTTTCATCTCAGTACCAGGAGCTATAAAAAAGAAAATGTTCCGTTTTAGGTACAAACGTATATATTATCTTGTAAATTCTCTTGCAAACTTAAATTCATGACAAAATCTTCGTAAGTTCTGCTTGGTTCAAACAGTAATTATTCACAAATGTACAAAAAAATTCTACGATGAGTTAAATTATATTGCTGTGCTATACCAACAATATATTTTAAACGCAAAAGATGATATCAGGATCAGTCATAATCATGACTGGCAAATTCATGCTGTTATTATGTGTAAATTCTTTGCCCACATAACCTAGGCTAGTCGTCTATCAAAGAAACATGAATGCCCCAGCATTTAACTTTTGTTCAGTGTTGATGTTATCACTCGAAGAAACTTTTCTAAGTTAACCTTCGAAGTTACCTAACGAACGATGTAATAGATGCATAATAAACACAATTACAATGCCAATTACAAAATTAAAATATATTTGTTTGAACACATCATTGTCAATCAATACGACCATAAATACACTAACCAAAAATTTCGCTTTTTTGTCGGGTTCTTTGGTGTTGGTTGAGCTTCACTTGTTCCTGCTTTATAACTTCAAGCCACTTTAGGTAACTTTTACCAGGTATTTATTCGTTTGTGCTCACCTCAGAAGCCTGCACAGTACACACACATTTTTTTGTCGATCAGAACAAATTTATTAGCACAATTTTTCTATAGAAAAATTAAAAATTAGTTTGTATGCACTGCGAAGTCATTGTGTATGTCTTAGTTTTATTCACTTCTAATATGGTTTTAATTAACCCCTGATGACTACTTAATTGATCGATTTATCTGAACACTATTCAGCTAATTACTCCTCAAAAAATCTACTCACTGGTAGTACTACGGTTTTATTTGCAATGCAGTTTATTTTTGTTAATTTTTAATACGATCAAAGTTGTTGAATGTCCAATTTTTGTCGTTTTTTGGAATGTTGCTTTTGTGTTTTGTTTGTAATATTTTAAATAATACCACTACGTCTGTATTTTGTTTAGGTCTTGAACAAATTTATATAAGTCGACACATTCCAATCAATAGTCCTTCCTGAAATGTCTGTGGAACCTAATGAAAACAGTAAAAGCCCACCTCTGGGCTATAAACGGGATACCAAATTAAGGTTTCCTTTTTCCCTTTCAATTATTTGTTATTTAGAATATTTGTGAATCGGAGCCTGTGTCTTGATTCAATACGATTCTTCGGTTTTGATATGGACTACACGCTTGCACGTAATACTATTTTGCGGCTCATGCTTCTGTTATAGAGTATAAGTCCCCATTTTATGAGGAACTTGCTTTCCAGATTTTGCGTGATCGTCTGGTTGAGATAGGTTATCCACAGGAGCTAGCTTCATTTAGCTACGAGCCTTCATTCCCTATCCGGTGAGTCAGCTTTCTTTGTTCATTTAGTGTGACCGAAATATTCCAATAATTATGGTTCTTTATTGCAAAACTATGTGTCTGGTTTACTTCTTCGTCAATATGTCTAGTCTTTTTAACTGGTTTATGCAGACAGGCCTCAGTGCCCCTTAACAGCATTATAAAGAGAACATGTTAGTTGAAATTTAAATCGGGAGAATGTATGACACCTTTGACAGACATAAACATCACGTTCAAATGACGAATGGTGTCATTCATCCATCAAGAATGAACTTTGATGCACTCATGTAAACACTGATAATGAATAGAGGTACCATTAATTACTTTTGAAGTCCTCAATTCAATTTTGCAGTTTTATTGCTTGTTTCCATTTTAGTGGCCTGTGGTTCGATACTCTATATGGAACACTTTTAAAGATGGATCAATTCGGAAGTGTCCTCGTTTGTTTGCGTGGCCTCAACATTGTCCCACTGTAATTCGCGACGAATTTTTCTAAGTGCTCATCTTTATAGTAATGAAATACTTGGAATGTACCCAAACAAATTTGTCACGTATGACGAATCACGGATTATTATTATGAACACATTGTTTGACCTGCCGAGTATGTTTTTAAATTACCGTGACTTAATTATTGTCATGCAGAAATGTACATTCTTGCCTGTGTCATTCACATATTCCACAATGACCCTAAATATACCAAAGTGGAGCACGGAGTGAAACTTGATTCTGTATACATGTCTTATCACTCAATCCACGAGGACGTGGACAACGTGGTCAATTGGATGCATCAGGTAGGATTTCTTTAGACGTTTCGTGCATTACAAATCATAGTTCTGGTCTTAAGTGTTAAATCAAACAAACATCAAAATCACGCTGTTTCAGGTAATATGTGAGATTAGTAGCAAGTGCTTCATCAGCCACACGTTGTTTTAGATTTGCTTCTTAACAGCCTGTAGCGCAGTCTTTCATTGGCATTTACTCAAATACAGGGGATACATAGTTTTACATAAATATCATCACCATTGTTGATGCACTTATAATAAAAAACTCGGCAAAATACGTAAACAAATGCAAGCTATTTTAAGGGTTGTCTCTCCTAAATGTTTATTCAAACCAAACTCACTTTCTTCTCATTTTACCCTCTGCGTTGAGTTCATAATGACTTAATACTTCACCCACATGGAACTTTATAACAAGCACCTTTTCGACTCCCTGTATTCAGGCCCTTTTAACATTGAACTCACTTATTAGGTGTATAAAGTGGTTTCAGGTCTTCCGTTTATTCCCTTTTGCCGTGTTGCTGCATAAACAACCAACTTGTTCATTCCACCAGCTTCTGATCTTCATTTTCCTGCCTTCTCTTAGTACCACTCAGACTTTGAGCCGTTTTCAAAATCGTTTTGTTTTAAATTTAATTTCATAGGAAGTAAACTCAATAACTCGTCTACAAAACAACGCCTATTATATTTTCTTATTTGTCTGTTCTTCGTGTTGATTGCTCGAGATTTCCGGTAGCAGTATCTTGCTTGGCATATTTAAAAATATAGTTGTGTCATTTCCGTGTTTAAATGCTATGAATGTTATGCATAATATATGTACACAAACAGTGTTGTAACTACTGGAGATACATTCGTGTGTGTGGCACTTGTGATTAAGTTAGCACGGGCGCTGAAAATGGCTCCTTCGATGGGCACGATCGCGGTCAGCGCGCACTTTTAAGGTCAAATCCCGAGTGCACTTTCTTCAGTGGACGCAGCTGTCCTGTTTATGACTGTCACTTCTCTTTAATGGCATCTGCACTTTAAGACACACTGTAAGCCACGCGATTATCCAGAGCTAAAGCCCTGTTTGTAAAATGATTGGCAGTAATGTTTACTTATGCAGTCTTTGGAGATGAAATACAATGTCTGTGAACTAATTTGAGAGAAGCATGCAACGGCTTCTCAGTTGCATGCAGTGTATTTACTAATATATTAGCGAAAATCCAACAAAATTTTGGGTAACACTTGGACGATTCTCGGTGTGTCTGCCTATCCCAGAGCACAAACTAAATCTTACTTATGTTGCGTTACTGTTTTTGGTTTTTGTTGGGGTGATTTGCTCTCAATGTTGCGTCATGTTATGATAAACAAAGTAGTTATTCATGGCTTCTTAAATGTCATTAACCGCTGTCTGCGTACCAGAAATTCTGACGTTTAGAAATATAAATGGGCAAGGCAAAAATGCCTTTTCTGAAATAGAATGCAACTGCCAATAACGGCTAGGTGTTCCACGGTACTGCTCATGATACCACTCTAACAGACCCGTCGAAACGAGTTGAAAAAAAGAGTTGAAGATGGTCATATTTGGTCATTTTGGACCTTGAACTTAGTCACAAAATGTATCATGTAGTCTGTTAAAATTGTGTCCTTTTATCACGGTGTTTTGTGAACATCTATCTGTGTAAAGTTGTGGCGTTCCTTTATCACCCTGACTGTCATGCGAAAAATACGCGGTCGAGTCTGTACTGGCGTCGACTTTGTCTCTTTTTTCTTCATTGGTCGCACTACTTCAAAACAGGTCGTTGGGGCCTCTATAACATTAGCGTACGGTCCTTCGGTTAAATGAACTTATGCAAATAAACATTGATTTGAGTCGGCATTCTGCTGTTAACTCCTGCCATCTGTATTTCAAAGGAGAAGGTCAATTTCCTTAAAATTACAACCGCCGTTGGTCAAAAGTCGTTTCCACTTACTTTAATTAAGGTTGTTTATCATACCGTTTTCCTAATCCTTCCTCTAGGATGTAAAGCACCGTAATACGTAGTTTTACTTGATGGGAAAAATTTTGAGAAATTCTGAAACCTAATCAGCTTATGATTGTTTTAATTGCTGCTTCTCAAACGCCTGGTCTCGTTGTGGTTCCGGCTTGTTACTTTCAATTAGTGCCCTTTCTCGCATCATGTGGTTGAAGTGGTGACCAAAAGCGACTAGTTGACCTACAAAGGCTTCGCGATGCAGACAGTTGAACCTGGTCTCCGTCACTTACAGTTGCTTAACTGACATTACCTGGCAACGATCATTGATTTAGTAATCATTCCTGCGGTCATCGTTGATGTTGGTAAACGAGATTGAGGCCGAGATTTTGTTTATGTAACATGGCGCCTGTTTCCGCATCTTTCTCCAGTTCATCCGTCGTTTTGCCTTCTCAGGTAATTGACCTTTAGGGACCGGGAATCAGTTGGTTATCGTGGCTGTTTCCCACTTAAAATCTACCCACATTTCTCTCGGCAATGCAAAGGTCATGGCACTTTCATCTCGCACACCGTGCGTGTAAACATCTCCCGTCAAACAATTCATTGCAGATGCTAGCTTGTGATCCCTATTGTGAACAACTATGAAGGTTATTTTAATTAAACTTGCCTCAGATTTCCCCAATGCTTATAATAGCAAATGTCAATCACTTTAAAACGTGCCATATCCGATTGTAGGTTTCCCCGGATGACCATGTGAGACAGCGCTCATGACTGTACTGATTCTGGGTTTACTTATATATGTATCCTGACTCTGACAGGGTTAAGAATGATAAATTCAAACTTGAGCTGTGGTTGTTTGACACTTGTTTTCCCGTGCTCTTACCCATTGTCAGAGTGGTTTCATATCTATCGCCTAGGGCTATTGAGAGTTCAATCACCGTCTATTTCCCGTTGCTGGAGGCTAAAATTTGCCAAGTGGCCATTTTCTCATATACGTCGTTTTCACTTTAGCAAAGCGTAATTCGGTTTTTATTATACTAGAGTGTGACGCTATCAAATGCAATCAACCGTGAAGTAAGGTGCGACGCCCTCATTTCACAAGCCTGATTGTTTGGTTGGTCCATAAGGAGCTGAGTCGACTTGTCGATACTTCAGTGACTGACGGAGGGTTGCACTTGCTTAGTCAGGTCATTCAACTGTGCTAATTAACCCATGCCTTAGAGTTAAGTTAATGATAATTGCCATGCATCTCGATTGATGTCTTCCCCTCCCTTTGCTTTTGTTCGTCGAGGTAATTCTGTCTCGCTTAGATTCAACTTTTTCAGGGCCTTTACCGTCTGGTTTCTGTAGTGTTTAAATTGAAATTTTGCCGCCATTTTGTTTGGAATAAATGCGACCATATTAAACAATGCATATGCAGCCTCACTCCACAAGGCACCTTTTCTCATTGCTGGTTGTTTTTTTCAAATGGCTACATGGAGACCTTGCCTGTTCTCCTCTCCTCAGGCCGACTGTCTGACGCCAAATGTTAAGGTCAAGTCTGTAGTTTATGCAAAGTTCAAAGTGTGTAGGCGTTGGACTTGACGTGCGAATAAGTAAGATCAAAATCTTGATGTTGTTTAAGTTCGAGGACTCGTTAGCTCAAGATGGTGCCAATGAACCGACCATGACAGTCTGCGCGAAATTGAATCTGTCCTGAATAATTCCTGTCCGATTTCAATTTCACTGTGAATTGCCCAGCAATCCGTTTGTAAGTGTCACACAGGACCATGCGTAGTACTGACATCTTTTCTCAATTATACGAAGGGTAGTGTTTCGGGAAAAAATTGACTTTCCTAGCATACCGTGGTCTAGGGAGAATTTATTTTCAAAGTTCCCATCGAGTTTCTGCTAATCACCATAAGGGTGGTAAATGTGCGAAGAATGTTTGTTATCCCACCAGTTCGGCGCGGTTAGCAGCCACTCAGAGTTCAGCTTAAACTGCTTTCGGTACTCCAATTAATGTACTTCAAATACAATAGACTGTTTTTGGGGCATAATTCTCGAAAACTGTATCGTTTTTATTCGGAAAGGCTTTGATATATCTGTTTCACTGGAAATTTTGTCTGTCACTAGCAATACTGGGAGTCATATTCCATTATCTTGTGTTTTTACTTAGGTCTACTGCTGCTGCTGCTGAAGTTTTAACTAAATGGTTTATTTGTACTGCCGTAATTTACGCCTTTAATTAACACTCTCTTTACCCCGAAAAGTACACCTTAATCCAAGACCCACCCCACGAGTGATTTAACGTTGGGTTTTTTAAACTGCAATAAATTTAGTCCACCTTTAATGACCTTGATGAACTGAAGCAGGACATTTCAAGACAATCGTTTTGTCAAATCAAATCCTAGTTTTTGAGAATGCGGTAGTCCTCTTGGAGTCAGTTTAAAGTGAGGTTAACGCTTGCGGTGTGGATGCGTCCAGTCAGAGACACTAGGTAGGTGGACGCACGAATCATTGAATATTACCTAGCTGTTGCCCAGTCCGGGCGGTTGAAGAACCATCTTACCGAAAATCGTCCTTGTTTGAGTGTGACCTCACCATCAAGATCGGCCCAACGCAGGCGAAGCTGCATTTCAAAATATGATTTGATTTGATACATTCCAACACGAATGGTCGTTGTTGAGGCCAGGCTTACTTTGTTCTTCATCCAACCTGGCAGTTTGAGTTCTGTCTCCGTGGTGATTAATAGCTAATTTTTTTATTAATTGTTAATCGTTTTAGGGTGTATTGAAGAAAAGGACAATGGAGAACCTCGAGAAATATGTGGAGAAGAATCCAGAATTGCCGCTTCTTTTAGACAAGTAAGTGTCTGTGTTTTATGCCTGACTGGTCGCAGTGAGTAAGTATTTACTTGTTCCAAATGCACCTTTGTCGGGAGAACGTGTCATTCACGCCCCCTTTCTAATATTTCTGAGACACAATCGTCAGTTTGATCGCTGTCCCAGTCTGCCTTCTGTAAAACCGATTGCCGGCTTACTAAACATGGCCACGTATTCTGATTTGGTGGTGGAAATATTAACCAATCACACAAGCTGTCTATAAGTAACTTTTAAACCACACAGAACTTTCGAGTTTTATGTAAATATTCTTACTTTGGTTTTAGCTTTTCGCCCAATACTTGTGCTTTAAGACGAGGCTGTAATACCAAGCCCAGTCTTATGGGCCGTTGTTGGGGGTAAAATTAGACAACCAATCCGACAACCAGTTTGCTTAGTTAAAAATAAAACCCTGTCCAAACCGATTGCCTTTTTTTGTCGTACGTGCAATACGTGTGTGCTTTTTTTAGACTCAGGAGCAGGGGCGCTAAAGTTTTTCTCCTAACAAACAGTGATTTTACTTACTCTCAGGTACGCAAACGTCTGTAATTACTGCCCACACATTTTTGTTACTACCCGACTGCTCCCAGTCTGGTGTTGTCAGGTGTCCTCTCCCACAACTGGCTCTTGAAGTCGTTTTTCTTTTTCTGACTTTCAAGTGTCAGCCACCTCCAACAGGTAACATTAAATCCTATCCAGATTCGGGAATTAGCCAGTCATGCAATAAAAAAAACGAATTAAAGGGTGGTAAACCAGCTGCACTGGTTTCTGTCAAGGGGAGGCAGTTTTGACTTACCCCTTTGACAAGTACCGCCGTTTGCATGGGATTTTTCAGTTGCTTCGGATGCATGTTTTTTTGTGGCACTGAGGTCTATAACATGCTTCCAGCTGTAGGCTCAGCCACTCTCCACCGCAGCACACAACGCTGAGCTGTGGCGATGTTGCTAATGTCTTCGAATTTAGATGACGCGATCCGCTTAAATCCATTCTTATTGAGCTCTAATAAGGTGCTTTCAGGAACTCTTTCTCGCTCTTGTAGGCAATTATGACGTATATGCTAGAGGAGCCTGGTGAGTCGGTAAGTTCTGCTGTTGATTAACGCCGTTCATACTTTGTGGGGCCTTTCTGGTTATGCCTTACATGTTATTGCACTCATGCGCGGTCTTACGGTGCCTTGTCACCATTGGGCGATGTTTGAGCACGCTTCCTTTAAATGCCGTCCCCGTTTCAGTATTGTTCTGCTTCTGCCAAACAGAAACACCTGTGTTCCCAGTCGGAAGTGTGGCCGTGTGAAAAACTGCACATCCTGCACAATTTTTTTTCCTCCTGTCTACAACGCCGTTTTACTTAAGCAGCCTTCGTTTGTGTTAAACACAAGAAACGTCAAAACAGCCTTTATTACTGGTTCCTTAAGTGCCGCAAATCGGTGATTTCGCACCATAACTACACAGAGTTTTTTCCGGTGTTTGCAGGGTGAAGTCCGTCCGTGGACGTCGTATTTCGACTTTATCCTCACCGACGCCAAAAAGCCTCTTTTCTTCGACGCGGGCACAATTCTCAGGGCACTGGACGAGGTAATGACGTCGAGCTGTCGCTAGCCGCTCATCTTTTTCTTCCTCTTGCTATCTAGAACACTCCGCGTGGATCCAAAAATGCCTGTGTCTATTAGATGCCTCAATAATTTGGCTGTGCCATTATTTGCTAGAAGCTCACTAGGGTGTTGTCAAGTGACCCTTATCTGCTTGCACTGTCTTCCTTGATCGTTTATTTGTTTTGTTTTTCATAGAATACTGGTCACCTTTCTATTGGTCATCACATTGGACCACTGCAATCGGGAAAGATTTATTCAGGAGGTGAGTTGCGAGTACGTAATTTTTATTATAATAGTTTATTAGGCCATGAACATTATATTCTGGATCTTCGTGAATTCCATAACACTAGGAAATTCACATCACAGTTATTACTGCAAAATACTGTCATGCGTGAGGTGATAAAGGATTATTTCATTTGGTTAGTCTTCGATTCTGGGTTCTCCCGCTATTTGCATTTAAGACATCTTTCAGATCACAGATGCTGGGACCTGCAACTTTATTTGGTTTGGTCTTAGAAAACCCCTTTTCTGCAGTTTTGGTCGTACATGTGTGTTAATGCTGATTTTGTCGATTTCACACCGCCAGGCTCGTGTGAGGTGTTTACACAACTGATCGGTGCTCGAGGCAAGGACGTGCTCTACGCTGGCGACCACATCTTCGGCGACATCCTCAAGTCGAAGAAGAAGGTCGGCTGGCGCACGTTCCTCGTTGTTCCCGAGCTAACCAACGAGATCTACGTGTGGAAGAAGAAGTCGTCGCTCTTCGATCGACTCCAATACCTCGACAACAAACTCGCCGATGCCTACAAGTGAGTTAGCATTCGACCTCCTATATGTCACGACTGTCCTCTCTCCCTGCCTCCAAATTCATTTTAGCGTTGCAAATCTCCAAAGGGTGTCTTGCACTCCAGGTTACCAGGCTCAAAACCGTCCATATTGGTTTAATTAGACTTCTTTACACAGACTTTCTGCGAAAAATTTCGAACCGCAAGACCCGTTGAATTGGGTGATCGAGTTGTTGAACTGTGCTACTGCGTCAGCTTCTTTAAGGGCCCCATAAAAGCATCTGGCTTAAATTTTAAAATCTGCTCTAGTAAGCTAACTTTTTAACTCTCAAGAACTTTCAACTGGTGTTTGGGTGTCAAGTCAGGCCAGCTGTCCAGAATCGTCCCCACAAAAGTGCAGTCATCTGATAGTGGCACCAACAAATCGGCGTATTTGCATGTACTCCTTCATCTTTGTGTAGATATGGCTGTCATGCCTGGCCGCAATGTAATGCTTACTTGAAGTATATGTCCTCTCACGTGATCATTAATTGTGTCCCTGTTTCCGGAAGCGTCATTTCCTAAATATTTGCTGGCATTCCTGTCTATAACAGTCAACAATAATTGCAGGGACCTCGTCTAGATTTTAATCACCAAAGCTGCCTTTAGCCACTAATAAACGTGTGGGGTGCCCAAATTTCAATTCGTGTTGGGCCTAACACCAATTGATGTGAGATCATCAATTTCGCTGTCAGGAGGCGTGTTAGTTCCGGCCCCTTTCCACTTATCCGTGTGTCGACTCGGTTCTCTTGTCTAGAGGCGTCCGAACACTCGAACGTGTGCGCACGCCCCCTGCCCACTTCGGTGACTCATAAGTCTGCGTGACCTCGTCGCCTTCAGTCATCCCGGATCAGTAAGGGGGCTGCTAAAACCGGTGACCTAGACGTTCAATCAGTTGTAGTGTGTCCGCCTCTTGACGATGAACGAGAAGCTCGGCCCAAATCGTGAAGTTAGGTTGATCCGAGTTTAGGCCATCGCGCCCCTATGTGTGGGATTGATTGTACTCTTACAATTGGAGTCGCGGCAGAACATAAGTAGGTCCAAATAGTCACACGATTAGTCGCTTTAGAATTGTCAAATGCGCATGTAGTTTAGTGACATCTATTGCAGAACCGTGCTCCTTACGGCACCGTCTCCTTAAGATACCACTTCAAACAACTCGCGTTTATAAGCTGAGAAGTTAGTGGTCGTGTGAAGGGCTTAAATCAGCGTGAAATGAAATTTTTAACCAGCTTTATTGCTGCCCCGTCGACTGCACGCCATGAGATTCCATATCTCCGAAAAAGTCCTGTGCACAGTTGAGGCAAATTCGCTGCTGACTCGCGCGAACATTCTTGCGGCGAGGGCTCGTAAACTATGCTTAAAAACACGCAACGTGTTGTTTTCATTTAATTGTTGATTCACCCTCTCATTCCTTGCACACACACATTCAAGTTGTTTACTCTGAAGTGCTGGAAGATTGAATAACATTTATTTTTCTCGCGTTGGCCTGCCACTAATGTTGGATTTCGGTTAGCTGATTCTTTTGTTGTGATGGCAACTTTTTGGGTGTACTTTTGCCCAACGGAGGAGATTTCGTCGGATTGTTGGAAAGGTGGCAAGAAAAGCATTCATAGGATCCTTTTATCTATTTATTCTGTCGTAATTTTGGTTTTGGGGCTGGAGAACATTCTAAGGCTATTTTCTAACCGAATTAATTAGTAATGAACGTCCTGTACTTAAGTATGCCAATTTTCACGTTCCACGAAGCAACTTCAGCAGTTTTTCTTCAAAATTCCAAGTATGCTTCGCGTTCAAATTGCATCATTGTCTGATTTCTGGGTTAGTTGTGTAAACCAAAAGTCTGGGTCTGAATAACCTAATTTCTTGTCAAATTGCGTCAAGCATTGTGCACATTCTCTTTTAAATCTTGCATTTGTTTTTAATTTTAACTCGCAGTATGTGGGTATCCCCTTAAGATAAACGGGATCATATTCAGTTAACATTGAACTTACTGACTGACCAGAGGTCATGAGTGAGCTACCGACCTTTACCGTACATCAATTCCATTTCGAGTTCATTTCCCCACTTTCAAATTCCAGGGATATGAACATTGAAACTCGCGAACAGCCGGATGTGGCCAACTTGCGAAAGGAGATTCGAGTAAGTATTACTCCTGTGTGTGTTTTTTTCCTTTTCTCTTCTCTCCGTTTTTACCGACTTTTCGGTTCTTTTAGGCAGTTGCTCAGGAAATGGAGAGGTCTTACGGTCTACTGGGAAGCATTTTCCGAAGCGGTAAGTAACGCGCCTGTTGAATCCGGCTGTTCACATGTTTGTGTGTGCTAAAAGTGCGCAGCTTGCGTAGCCGCATTGTTTGTGATTCCATCGAGTAAATATACCATCCAGTTTTCGTTGAGTCATGACGGATGAGACTGCCAATCGTGGGGAACAAGTAAGAAACGCTAATGCAACAAACTACGCGTTAATTGAAACACCGCAAATTGCTCGTGATTGTTAGAAGTCTCAAAAATATTTAGTGCGGTGTAAAAGTTAGTTTTAAATGTACATTCCTTTCTAAATTACGTTGGAAGATGCGTCATCCCACTACAAACAAGTTTTTTTTTAAGCGAATGAGGGATATAGACGTCTATTCACCGATCAAATCTGGCTGTGTCTGATAGGCTCGGTGTGTGCGCGGTTAGTATTAGTGGTGTATATGCTTAGTGATTACCAGAGGGAGGCTTTATGGCTACGTGATTGCATTTGACTGCCAAATCTCACAGCTGAATGAACGATTGGGGAAAAAGTAATCAGGTCATTCATAAACAAAAGTGAAAAGTGAAAAATATTATGATTCAGCACAAATAATTAAAATACTCTCAAATTCCAGTGTCACTGCTCAGAATCCCGAGTCTCGGTGACAACTAATTTCCTTGTCTAGTTGACTAATGGCTTGGCAATGGTAAAGTACCCCAGATCAATGAATCTGTTTACCCCCTGTAACCCACTGCTGCACTCTCCCTTCCGTACAGGTTCTCGTCACACCTTTTTCTCCGCTCAGGCAATGCGTTACGCCGATATCTACTCGTTCAGCTGCTTCAACCTGCTCCATTATCCCCTGTGCTACATGTTCCGCGCACCCACCATGCTGATGCCACACGAATCCACCGTTCCTCACTCCGATTCACGCATTGGCTCGTTTGCGGACCTTGAGGAGACCCCGTGCGGTCTGAGGCGGCGTTCCTACGCAGGTGGGTTTCGGCAAAGCCGACTGGGTCAAAGCCTTCAATACGAGGCTTTCTTAAGTGTCCAAGTCTTAGTATCCACCAAAAAGTGCAGAAGCAGAGCGTTTTCTCTGGTTCATGTTACGTTACAAAACTTGTCAAACACTCAACTCCACTTTCCTCTGTACTTTTAAAGGAATTCAATGTGAGTTTTGTCATTATGTTTTTGCCTCCGTTTTGAGCTGATTTCAAAGGCTCTTTCTATTTTGACTTCGGCTTTATTTACATTTTTTTTCACATTTATTTTGGGGACATTCCTATTGTATTATAGCGGCTTTTTTCCCAGCTGCGTGTTTTCAATTGGGCTTTACTAATTTGCTTTTCGTGTTGATGTTCCTTTTTTGCGTTAAACCGTTTTGCTTACAACCTTATTTCAATGGGCTGAATCAGTCCAGCCAACATCGTTTTGTGCTGATTGCTTTCGCTCAGCTTACTCCTATGAGTTTAGCGCGGTGAACGTACCTCCGTCCAAAAATGTTACCCAAAGTTCATAACTTGAGTTCTTTTTTCCAGAATTTAAGCTTTTTCAGAAACCGATAATAGCTTTGATTTTGTCTTGCCTTCTGCGTGCCGGTGGTAAGAAAATGACCTTTTTTTAATCTTATTAAATTTAACATTCCAGCAGAATTCATCGATTTGTAAAACTTCGTCCGTCAAAAGATTTTAAATATTACCTTAAGTCACTTTGTTCCACAGTTTTCTTGTTCACAATCAACTAAATCGGCGAACAATAGTGCCTGTGGCTTTGTTGTCTTCTTGCACCTAATTTTTTTTATTAGTTGGCTTAATTTGAGGCCTCTTCATACTTTGCTAGCGGTTTTTAGCGTTAAGAAATTCACAGTACACAAATTGTTTTATTTATAAATTTGTAAGTGTTCTTTATCACCCATTCCTCAGCTTATGAAAACCCATTTTAAACTGTTAGTTAATCATCTTACAATGCTAAAGGTTTCTTGAACGCGTGTGTAAGAAAATACGTGATTTGGACTCGTTTTCATCATCCTAGTTTCCGAGGTGTTGCTTTCCAATGATCAAATCTTTCTTAGCTTGGATTATGAGCATGCATTGATTTAGGGGTTTGGTGCCATGCTTCACACGTTTTCGACGTCCTCCTGTTTGCATCAAGGGCAGGTATTTCAAGAAGACGTCTCCAATGCCTAACCAATAACCACAAATCAGAGCCCACATCTGGCATTTGGAAAGGGGAGATTTACATTCACTGACTCGTCGGACACGCCGTGCAGTGAGCCTTGCACATTTCCCCATGTCACACTGGCCAGCTTTAGTTTGGACCACGACTTGTTCCATTTCCAATCCACTTAAATCTTGTTCCAGCTTAGGCACTCTAGATGATGTGATTCGCTCATTTTCCTTTGCGGTACATCTAGGTTTGGCGGATCTTACTCTAGGGTTGTTCTCAATGGCCGATTGTGGTAAATTCTAATGAATTTCTAGAAAATGTTAGGCTATTTGCCCCTTCCAGACTTTGAATGCCAAACATTTGCTGAACCCATGACTTTTATGTCGTTCAGGATTGCGAATTTAACTAACAAAATCGTTGGACACGCAAGTTCGTGTGACCCTTTTTCTAACACCTAAAAAAGTCACGCAAACTATGTTTTGCTTTTTCACCAATCTGGTAAAACAAATCTCCACTGTGTCCAGGGCGTACCAAATTAAGTCTCTCAAAAACCGTTAATTGTGCCCCTCTAATGATTTTTGCCGACAAAATCAAATGTATTCATATGACAGTTCACAGTACCATCATGTGATGCGAATACTGTTTAACAGCAGTTCAGTTGTGTCGATGGTGCAAGTAGAATTCTTTGGAGCTCGACTTATTTCATTTTAAGTGAGTCGTGTTTGGACAAAGGGCAAATCACTTGCTGATATTGCTATGGTTGTTATCGCCACAAGTGAACCGTGGTCGCTGTGACAAACCCTAGTCCCAGAGACGCAGTATTCGCTATGCCATGGCTTTCGCAGCCACAGAAATGTGTCTTTTTCTAACGCTTTTTCTTGAATTCGACTTAAAATTACCTCCTTTTTGATCTCTCATCACTCTACGTCTGCGTTTTGGCATTCTCTAATGCCTCCTCGAACCTGCAAAAGAGTTGCTTCTTCACCGGCGTTTTTCCTGACAAAAAAAACTCAACTCATTGCAATTTGTTCTGCTTTTTATCTTCAAATAACACCTGCCCCGTTTTGGTTTTTTTCGTCCAAGTAACATCCGCGAATCCGACTTTTATACGTCCAGAGGTCTCTTTGACGGCGAAGGGCATCATGAACAGCAATTTGATCGAAGACGTCCAGGAGGGTGTTGAAACTATGTTTGACACTGCCGAAGTCGAAGATGAGGAAAACTATAAGTAGAAAGGTCAGTCGACTGTGATGCTCTTTCTGTCGGCTTCATAAGCTACTTGCCTCTACCAGACACTCCTTTTAAGGCCCCATCGTTGTTCAGTTAGTTCGAGGTAACTGACCCAAATGTTGTTTCGTGTCACCTGGAACCAACAACATCTTTCTATTCTGTTCATTTTAGAACCACTACTTTTCACAACCAATAACTGCCGATAACCTGTGGTAATTTTTGTGACTGTTTAACTGCCCACTAGAAGTGTTTAAGTTTCATCTTAGACGAATTATGCGATAGGTTATCGATTAATGATGGTATCCACGATCCATGATTGATTATCAAATCACAACAAACGCGTAAGCAGTTTTTACCGCAACAGAGTAAGCCGTAGGTGTAAAGCACGCGACAAATTCGTAAATTAAACACTTTAAATCGTTATTATGTTTTAATTGGCTAACGGTGTGCAGTTGCTTTAGCCATTGTAAGTATGATGTTACTGAGGTGTTTTCTTTGATTTTTTAGCCTCAGGAACCCCAAACCAACGAATCCGCAATAATTCCACAAATGTCTTTGTGATAATTGTAGCCTTCGCATGCTCTGATGTTCCAAAATTGATTATTATTATTATTATTATGATTGCGAATAACCAGCAGACAAATCCAGCCTCTGTTCAGGATAAATGGGAGGTTGAACTTCCACAAAGCTTCTGCTCGCACTTTCCATCGTCTTTTGACGCTTACGACCTCTTTATAATTGCTCTACTATTCGTCTTAAGTAGTATCTGCTACATTGTACTCTTGTTCCGTAATTCTTACCTGTTTATCATAGCACAGGAAAAAAAAACATCTCATAGGTTTTGTTATTATTTGATTAAATCTTGCAGGAAGTCTGTCTTCTCCACTCATCACTAGTCAACAGCTGTCCAAGGCTTTATCAATTCTGTTTTACCGTTAAAAAGTTAAAAGTCAAAGAAACAATCTGCTTTTAGTGTCGATCATTTCGTGTCTGAAATCTCTTTTTCGTTCGTAATTTTGCACTTTTGATTAATGAGCTCTTCAAATTGAAAACGCTGGGTGCTTCATGGTTTAATTGCATTGAAGGTGTAGCAAATAACAAATTTACCCATGAAGGAAGCGTCCATATATTTGTCACGCATTAATTGCAGCTTAATTATTACCGTTTGTGACGAAGGTAAACGTGTCGCTTCTTCACTACAGCAGGTATTTTGTCGAGTTATGTAAATACCAGTTAAAATTTCGAAGAGCGGTTTAACAGTTCAGTCAAACAAATAAACGTGGTGACCGTTGAGCTCTTGATTGCATCACAGAAAAGTACTCAGATGTGGCCAACTCGGGTACCTAACTGTAAAATTGGGCATGATTTTGTGTGAGAGAAGCGGTAATTGGACAATTGCAGCTGTGTTATTACAATCGGTCAATTTCGACTAACGAGTAGGGTTAAATTCTAATCTTTACACATTGTAACTGCATGAAATTGACATCAAAATCAAATTTTTAGAAAATCAAGTCAAAGGTCATATTGGCACACTAGTTTTGCTTCACGCAGCCAAACATATGTGGTGACAAAATATTGTGGGGTTCGTGTGCTTCTGCAACTATCCAAGCAGATTTTAAATAATGCCCTCCTTTATTCTGTGTCCGCATTCTGGTATTATGTCTTACTGAATTCGCGAAAACTGTAATCATGCGCAACCTGAGAATATTTGTCCACATTCTCATTAGATTCAATCGTGCTTCCGGTAGCTCAAACTGGAGCGTCCATCGTGAATAAATGAACTGAATTTGATTTCAGTTATTGAATCTTCTCTGTTTAAATCAGTTTAGTCGTATAGGCTCGTTAGCCATATGTTGAACGTAATGTTTTAAAACTCATATCAGACTCCGTGGACGAGTTATCCAAATCTTAAATCTGGGGTGTACTTGGTTGGAAAAGGCTCCATGGTACCAAAGTATGTGGGTCACCTTAGCTGATGTTACCAGTTATCAAGATAACTGTTACGTTTGCCCGTAACAATAGAGAATACCACTCAAATAACGGTACCAGATCCCTTGCTGAAAGCTAGAACCGACCTTCCAGGCTAATACCAGAACAAGAACAGAGCTCGAGTAGAGAGCTTTATTCACGTGAGCCACGTGCAGAGAAGAAGTGAAATCGAAAGTTAATTTGAAAGCTATCTCAAGTCAAGGTTGACCTTGACTTGATAAAAACGTAACAAAACAAATGTTAATAAATTAATGTAAATAAAATCAAAAACCAATCTTGGGGAGTCGTGGATCCCCAACAATAACCACAAATGTGAATCTAAATATAGGAGAAGCCAAGGAACTCAAAGACACAGGTGGTTCGAGTATAAAGCTAAGATCTAACTGTTATTCTATCAATATCGAAATATCTTCGTCATAACTAATTTTATTTTGGTATGCATTTAAAGTATGACTGTTCAAACAAACATTGCTATTGATGATTTGGATAGGAATCATTTTTCATTTTTTTATCAACTGTGTATAGCAAAATAAACGACAGGGCACATTTATCAAAGGTTTAAGGTTAGATACGGTACTTTCTGGTAGTTCAGGAGTGAATCGTAGGGCAAAATCTTTAAGCAAAAGGAGAAATAAGCTATCCTTGAATAAGATCTCCAAAACTCACAATTTCTTATATTCCAAATTATTTATTCACGAAAAAATACATTTCCTTCCCAGAGGATTTCTGAAAATGAATAGCAGAAAGTAAACAGGAGAACACCAGTACAGGCGTATTGCCTACCGGCTTTATTACAATCTTACAAATATTCGAGGCGTTCCACGTAAATTTATTGATAATATTGATGATTCAAATAAGCGACAAACGACATTATCAGACACATTGCCAATTAATGTCAGATTGCTTGGAGTGTTAAGGCGAAAGCGAAATATACGAAATCATGTATATTATGCAAAACATATGCCAAACATTTACCTTATGAGCCAAAATTTGATCCATTGTGGACAGATTCGCTTGTGCCGATACTTACATAACCTTATCAAAAAGCAGAAATATATGTAGTATATAAATGGCTACCATGGTGGCCAAAGAAAGAGTCAGGATAATTCACGAATTTTAGTAATTTATCACTGTAGATTTTGGGGCCTACATGTTGGGAATACAAACTCTTTTCAAGTTCTTTAAACCGGATAAGAATTTCAGTTTAATAATCCCATAGTTCCATGGATTGTTACAAGACCAGAAAATGCTGCGCCCAAAAATTAGAGATAAAGGCTGATTGAGTAAGTTCTTTGGTCTTGCGTCTGACATAAGTTGCTCAGTTCAAAACTGATAACATGCTCATCTCGTTCCTAAAACCATCCTTATGCGTCTCTTGAAAAAAATTGTGCCATGCTTGTAAGAAATGAAATGATTACAAAAAGTAGAGATATGTAACGTTTACAATACTTTGCTTTATTTAAGCGCAAATTCAATGAAGGAACAGAATTAGTGAACGGTGATCCGATAAGGTGTGAATAACACCGTCTAGCCTGGTCAAAAAATGAATAGAATATTAATTTGTCAATGAAAAGGGTAGAGTGGTGAGAAGGATTTCTGATTTACAGAAATAATTTTAGAACACCTGAACGACTGCTTTCAAAAACCAGTTTTAAGTCACAAGTTAAAGCTGACGAATCCAAAAAGTGCTGTTTGTCATAGATCATACATGTAAAAATTTTACGGGAGAAAATTATTTCCTTTATGTTGATTTATTATGTGGCTGTAAAAAGACTTCAATCATTGGGTACAGAAGAGCCTAACATTAAGTCTTTCAGTTAACACTAAGGTTGAACCATCTGGTTTAATATAAAGAATGGCAATCTACATGCTCGTATTTGCATAAAAATTACAATTGCACTCAAAGCTGCCTGCATTTCAGAATAATTATTCAACTTTTTTTAATTCCTCCAAAATTTATCCAGTGACTTGCCGCCCCTGCAATAACTTACTAAAAACGTTAAATACACGGTTAATCGACAATCTATTGCGTTAGCATTTCGCAGATGCTTTTACTAAGGTGTTCGGTATTCGATGGTCTTAAATTTACTTGGCTGTTTTAGTTAGTGTTCTACCACCTGTTTGCAATTCTTATTGGTTTAACATTTTCTTTTTTAAAACATTGTTTTTAAAATGCCTTTTTATCCTTAACTGCCTCTCCTTGTACGTAAATCAACGTTTAAGAGTGTTACTTTGTCAATTAAAACATTATTTGTGCCACAACCGCAATGCAATATTTTCCATTTGTCTCGTGTAAGGCAATTGCTTGAATTTTTTATCCTCAGTATGCCTAGGTAGACTCTGATATCCTAAATTTAGTTGTCAAATTAGTCGTCGCTGATTTAATTTTTTGATTTATGTACGAAGCCATATAAGCACGTAAATGTCATATGTTTATTGAGTGTTTCCTCTTTCTGTTGGTTTCTGGTCGTTAATTTTACACGCATGTGAATTTTAAAAAAAGCGTAATTTGGCTGTTTTAGCTACAGGGGTTTGCAAGCCAGTTAAACACAGTCGGAGTGTCACACATCAGTCATCATTTTTTCGGAATTGGATGTTGTAGCATAGATCTGTTGAAATCCAGAGTCTATAAAAGATTTCTATGAAGTTCCCCCTTCGTTTCCAAATTTTTTAAGTATGCTGAGTCATTCCATTTTATCCACGGTGTTTATTATTTTCGAATAGTTTAACCTGGTTAGGTAAATGGAAATCGACGAGCACGTGAATCTCAAGGATCGCTTCAAGAATTATCCTTTGGAACCTTTTAACAAGGAAACGAATGTCTACCCTTATTATTTGACGTTTGAAAAGAATGGCGTCAAGGTAACGTTTTATGTTGCTTATAATAATTTCCAAAGGTTAATGTTCCAATTGGACTTGATGCAAATGCGTATCGCTGTGTTCGCGAGAATTCCTCTGTTTTCATCAATAAACTAAAGGAACAACTATTGTCAAAGTTTTCTTGCCCTCAAGAAGAAATTGAAGCAAATGATCATGAAGATAACTCGACACCTCATAAGCTTCTGACACGACCCAATCGGTCCAAGTCGAATATCCTCATTTCAGACACCTCGAAGAAGGTATTGTTTTGTTTTTTTTTCAAGTCGTTTCTCACTCGAGACATTGCATAATCTCTCGGATAAACTTTATAATCTTAGAGAGGGCTGCCTAATGCATTGCACCACGGTTTTTTGTTACTCGAATCCCTAAAATGACTTATCGTTACTTTGTTCGAAGGTTTGTGCGCATTATGTCCTAAGTACGTGTCTGAAAGACTTCTTAGGCTTGTGTATCTCATTCATTTTTTTCTTCGTTGGTAGGAAGCGCTGCAGGACAGTCGCTCCAGTTCGCCTCAGCCAAATTCCCTCTTCGATGACATGCGTGTCATTCGCGCGGAATTCAGACGGACTCGAAAGTTTTATGGCATGTAAACTTAGAATGAGCTGATTTTATCCATCTTGATGCCCTAGTTACAACCACCGTTAACACAGATTTCCGAAACAGTTACGCTAGTGTGAAACGATGAATTGTGAATCTAACATACATATGTTTCCCTGTGGCCATTTGTTGTGCGGTAATATACTTGAGAACTGTGCGCTGATAAATGCAAATGATTGAAACTCGAAAGCCTGTTTCTCCCGCTGCCAGGCTTGTCCTACGAGGACATATCTCGTGCATTTGCTAATTGCTACAACGTGCAACGGTCCGCCAACTTCCTGTGCCGACTTGAAATGTGCTCTCTGACTGTGTGGAAGTACTCCCAGGAGCTGCCCCTCATTCGTCGATGGCTCGCGGACATGCGAATCCCCAAGAAGCGCGCCCTCTTATTTCCACCCTGGAAACTCAAGCAAACCCTTTTAATGCGATACGTAAGTTGTGGGGGTGGTTTTTTTCCAAAATTTGAATCCGCAATTCGGCAGCCGATGCACTGCACGCGCCTGCTGTCTTGCACCAAATTAGACGCTATGATTGTGGAAGGGGATCTTTCTCTTCGCTAGGAAAAACTTGCCTGCAAGTCGATCACGTTTACCAAGGACCAACTCAAGGAGCTGAATTCGTTCTGCTCTGAGGTACGTTCCCACAGAAGTTTACCACTTCGTTGTACAACTTGCCTCACCTGTTGTTGCTGGTCACTTTTAGAATGCGAATCCAAGCAACGAGGACTTTCGTGAATTAAAAAAACGCCTTGGCATCCCCGTGTGGAAACTGCGAGTTTGGTTAAAGGAGAATCAGGTGGATGAGCAAAACGCCCACTGAGCCCTGTCGGGCATTTGCATTTGTGCTTGCCCTTTTAATTCTTTTTTTTTTTCATTGGTTTGTTTTTAACAAATTTGTGAAGCGGTCAAGGTATCGCGTTGTACTTTAACAATCACTTGTTTTATCGTAGAACGTACAAAGGGGACTGATTGAGAAAGCTTATATTTACAAAATATTCCTGGAACGGTTACGTGGATGTCATATCTGCAATGGAGACATTGCGCCTGGGCATTTACACAGCCAACTTGCCAAACGAGAAAATGATTTGCTTGTCTATACGGTGCATTTAGGCACTTTGTCTTCACCACGAAATTTTGATCAATCAATCGGTATCAAATTAAGTTTGTTATACAAACGCCGTCCACAACAAATCCATTAGTTTAATTTTGTATTTTAGAGAACATTTTGCCTGCAGTCGCAGGAACTCAAGTTAAGTACACATCACAGATTGGGACAGTGTAGCATAAATTCGTGGGTATGCATAAAACAATCTCGTAGATTTGGAATAGACAACATAAATTTTGGTTGGTAGATGAGTGTACTTCGTGCGGAGGGGGCCTGTGGCTAGGGGGTTTCGATGTAGGGACACTCTGGGGGATGGACATAACCGAAGACGTTTAACTCGTAAAGGCTGCAGACTACGAGGAAGAGAAGGTAAGTTATCATTAAACCGACGCCGTACAGTTTTGTTAGTCGCCAGCGGTTGAGGTGGGTTGCACCAAGTAGGATTAGCACCGTGAAGAAGAGCGTAAGCGTCGCGTATGTCAGTCCTGTAACATGAAAACAATACTGTACTTACAAATTCTCAGTAGCAAAAATATATCAAGCCCACACAGTCAAGATGGTTTAAAATTTATGTCGCATTTATATTACTTAAGTGGGTGTCGAAACCCAATGCTCGTGTGGAAAAACAAGCTCACTTTTAAAGATATCAATTCGTATCATGTATCATTTCGATTGCACGAATAAGCTTTTGTGGGGAGAAAGAAATAACCACGAAGCACTTTTGGGAAAATTACCTTGTGAGTAGATTACGACGGGACCGCTTATCGCTATGCATCGCATCAACCACGGTAGACCCATGCACACAAGAATGTCGAAGATATTGCTTCCAACTGCATTTGAAATTGCCATATCGCCTTCACCTTAAAAATATTAGACACGAAACGGTACTACTGAAAGATTGCTAGTAGACCGTTTACCAAATGAAATAAAAAACAACGACTAATACTGTAAAGCAATAATTGTCTCATATAACCAATCCACTGCCATTTAAATACTTCTTCGTTAGTTAAATATCTGTAAGTTATTAAATTAATTTGTTTTAAAATTTGCCTATGCTTCAAATAAAGAGAAAATTTGTCAAGATTTCTTGGTATTATTTCAAAATCGATTAATTTATTTGGCATTATTATTTTAAAAAAAATTGCGAATTTCAGTTAATTTCTTACGTATTCGACTGCTGCATAAAGCCAATTGGTGTAAAAGGTAAAATAAGCGCGTAAATTTGAACACAAGGAATTGATTTATTAAAGAATTGAAACACAAGAGAATTGATAAAACAAAAATTTCGAGCAATCTGACAGCAATACAATTTTTTCTGGAAATAAGAGAAGCTAGCGTGCTCCACAATTCGTCACCTGAGTTGTACTGAAGAGGAATCGAATGTTTTGCAGAATTCGGGACCACTTTCAAAAACCTTATTTCGCTTTTGAAATTTATGCGCATGCCGTTCTTTTACTTTATACTGACCGCGCACATCCCATTAGCTCACGCGTAACTTTAAATGAGCTCTTTACTTTAGTAGTTGTCAAGATCGTCCATTGACCTTCAATTGGGATGGCAAATATCGTTGTGAAGGCTAGTCATTCCATGCATTTTCAAATATAACAGTTTGACCTTCAAATAGCAAAATATTACTTGCATACATTAAGTGTAGTTTTGAGGCTAAATGGCGAGTAAACACGCACTGAGCTCAATTTCGATAAAACTACGTCTTATTAGTACAAATCAAGAATTTTCTGACAAAGGCATTTAAAGGACTTAAGACAAATTAGCTATTTTGCAAATTGACAAGAAAAAACTGTCAGCCAGCGCACAACCACTCTACCGATATTTCTTTGATAAAGCTAGGTGTCTTGCTTGGTACACCAAAGGTAAGACAGTTTTTCGCGTAAGTTTATCTTTGTTTTTCAGCATTTGCACAGACAAAGTAGAGACAACAGCTATTGATGCGGAAAAGAAATTATCTTTCCAAAAATACAGGATTCCAACACAGCTGAACACCGAGGTGATCACAGATTCGACGCTGAATGTCTAGCGGGTGTGCTATAGATGCGATTTTATAAAACTAACTTTCGTGCTAGTGAGTGATGTTTAAATGCAAACTTATTGATTTTTGTTCAGTTTTGGACATTTAAAAAAAAGAGAAGAAGAAGAATAGAAATGTCCCATAACATACCCTCACGCACGACAATGACCGAGGTGATGGCGTCTGGGACGCTGGAACCAGCAGCTAGAAGGGTCAGTCCCATTATGGTATCTGGGATCCCTAGTGTCACGCCTACAAACGAAAAACTCTGGCTAACGAAGGATTGGTTGATGTTGAATCGTAATAACCAGAAACAAAAAACTGGGGTTAACATGTCATATCTACCTGGAGACAGCACTAGCCAATCAGGTTGCAGAATCTGGATTATAGGTAGTTTTTGAATCACTGCAAAACGTCCACAGGCTATCTGCGGTATGCTTTGAAAATTAGATGGCTTTACTAGTTTGTTTTAACCAATGCTGGCTGTAATTATTACAATTTTGGATAGAAGTTACGCGACGATGAAAAATTAGCAAGAAAAGATGCAAGTATTAAAAGAACTTAATTCAGAATAAAGCGGAACAGTAAAACTAACTCCACTGAGAATCGCACAGGATAATGGGGGCGATTACCGTCACTGTTGAGACTTTTACTTACTTTACATAACTAATTTGGTTTGCGTCCCAGCTGCATCAATAAAACATTTGTTGTCATGGAAACACAAGGCTGCCAAACATTAGTGCAACACACTAGTATTTGGTCGGGAAAACAATCCGACTGCGGCAGAATATCTGAAAGAACTTTCCCCGGTGCATTCGTTTGCTGCAATCTTTTCAGCTGCACAGGTGATTGGTGCAAAAATTTGACTAAAACTTAGAGGTTCAGAATTTTTCGAGAAGCTACCAATTGTCTTTATTGGCCACTAATTTGCAAATACATGAAATTTAAGCCAATCCCAATATCTGTTTTCATCTGGCCTTGTAGATAAACAGTTAAAATTCCACGTTCCGGGGTGTACAGGAATTCATAGTTATGAATAAAAGAACTAAAACAATTAACAGGTTTAAAGCTGGCGTCTTTGGACTATCCATGTTGCTGTTTCTGCTAGCATTTAACAAAGTTATTAATATAGCAGATAATAAACAACGACAGCCATTGTCGTCACACGGCGAACATCACGACATTGTTTACAAAAAGCGAGGAACGTGCAATGAGAAAACAGGTTAACCCAAAAAAGCGTTCTCTCAGGCGAAACGATCCGTTATTAATCGCAACTGTGTGGGTGGCAGATAGAAACAGCTCAAAAGAAGCAGTTAACCACTGGGAATCTACGTCCTACGATTGGTTGCACAGGTGCGCTAAAACTCGTTTGTTTAAAACGGATGTAAATTGATGATGGTTGCACTTTCAATGGAATCCTGGTAATTAAGTACCGCAAGTGGAAGAGTTGAATCCCGCTTTGCTTCAAAAGCGTCCAAGTGTGATTGGTCGAAACGGCTCCAGAATGTCATAATAAGAATAGAATCACCCAATAAATAACCAGGAATTTTAAACGGGAAATGGGAGTTTCTTTGTGAGAAATACTGTTTTCTTGTAGTAGTTATAAAATCATAGGAGGTGAAAACCGTCTCATACTTAACAAATGGGCAATCTAAACTCATCCAAATACAAGGATTCGTTTTCGCTCCCCCATTTTTATTGGTGGAGTTAAAAATGAAGGATTAACTGCACGATTGAAGATAATGTTTGCGCAGTTTGCATTACAAGGAAGCCGGTAAAATATCCTTTTATCTGGGCTCTTCAAAGCACTTGAAAGTATCGCTTAAAATCAGGCAAGTAAGAAGCCAGACCTAAGAGAACGGCGTGCAAAAAGCACCGCAAGGCAGAAAGGTTTGGCCGTCAAAAAATGCCACGTCGGGTGAGGTGCGGCCGGAAGGTACAAACGCGCACGCGTGTCGCCAAATCGGGCGCAAGACAGGCCTCTCCCAGCGGCAAAATAGTGACTCAGTTCCTCTAGGTAAAGCAACTCCACCTGCGCATGCAATGCGCAGAAACTGGTTTTCGCGCGCTGCGCAAGGCGACCTAAACACTTGAGTAGCTAACATGGCAACAGATCAATTCTGCAATTGGGTAATGAAGCAGATGAAAGAAAGACTCTGAACTGCTACTGGGGTAGATTGAATGAATTTGCAGAAGTCTGCTGTTGTACTCGTACCAAATTAGTTAGTGTGCCAAAAGTGCTTCAATGCTACCTCAGATTAATAGCAGGTGGGTTTTTGTTTCAGTGGAATTCACTAGTCAGATTTACTTGGCTCGCAAACTCGTTAAAATTAAAGATAGCAGTTGATAATCCGGAACTTAAATTAAAGAAATTAGGCTTCTTTTAACTTTTGATGTTAAGTTAATAACGTGGCTTCAGGATGTCCAATAAGAAGCTGGAGGTCATGAGTCATGCAGATAAGCAATTCGATTGGTAGTTGGTTCCTACTTTCTGTTAATAAAGTAAAATAAGCCCCGTCTTCACGTTCAAACGAGACTGCAGTTCCAGCGCTTGTGCGTTTGTGAAAAGTAGGACTTCCTAAAAACTAAAGCACGCATTCATTTTAACGGTGATATGCTTAAACGCACCAATGATTGTAATCATCCACATCATAAACATTGTGAAGACACCAATCCAGAAACAGCAAATGAAGAAAGCGATCCAATGACCTTGCAGACGTCGCCACTTTGGCGACCGACAGTCAGGTGTTGTAAGGCACAGGCAAAGACGGATGGGCCAGGCCAGAAGGTAGTAGATCCAGCTAAGTGTCGATGTGCCCTTTGGTGGGAAACTCAGGGGTGCCAGGCAGATTTGGGCAAATGTGAGTGAGTCTGAACGCTTGACATGCGACTCTGGATCATTGGAAGGTGCCGGTGGTGCGATCACTGTGTCCAAGTTAGTCAGTGGCGGTGAATTAGGGGCTGATAATAATAATGATAAAAAGACGGTCTTAGCTTGGGTTTCCGCAAAGATTAGTGTGAAATGTGCCTGGTATGAAGCAAACTGCGATTGCTTATTCACCAGACCGATGTAACCCACAAAACTGCACTCATTTAGTAAAGGAAGAACGGTCATCGTCGTGATTGTAGTATTTTCAACAATCAGTAGGCACAAAATTATCAATTGCAAAAGCCGTTTATGTCGAAAGAAGCCATTATTTATTGCACGGAATATAAACCATAACATCAACACGTGGTTGCAACGACCTTCAAGCTAACCAATCGGTGCAAGATTGAATTTAGACTCTCACGACATGCACAACGATTTCGCCTGATATTTAAATAATGCTAGGAAAAAACACATGGTGAATTAAGTATAATGTCATGAGACGTGTGACATGACGTTTTCGGTGGTATTTTGAATGCTCAGAGTAGTATCTAGCGGTCGATCGCAGGCTAGGTGAAGGGTTGTAGTACAACCAGCCGACTACTCTTTGTCTGCTTAATTAAAACAATTTTGCAAAAAATTGACACACGGGGAAAAAACAAATTCCCAGAAGGCAGGCGGTGCATATTAATTTGTCATGATTACAAAGTAATTCAGAAGTTTTTTTAAGAAACAGTGATAGGACTTCGAATGCATTGTAAATTATGCGCTAAGTTTGAGAATGATCTGATCGATGAACTCGCTTCTAAGATTGTGAGTGCCGACACTATTCCTTTATAAACCTACTACATTGTGAGTTTTTAATTAAATTGCAGCGTAATTAATGCAATATTATTTTAGATGAATGTATTTTAAAGGGCCTGGTGATTTGACTAAATAAATTGACTCTTCATTAAGCTAAAACAGCTCGCCTTAGGAGTGAGGCGGTGAGTTTAAATGATTTAATCTCGGAGCGAAATACCGATCCACAGAATTTTTTCCACTACATGTCTTCATCTCAAGGCACGATCAGTAGAAAAAGAGGTGAAGAGAACAAAACGCAACCGAAGACAAGTATTCTCATGACAACTGTTTATAATACTTAATTAGAGTAGTAAACGTTGAGGCGTGATTAAAACAAAATCAGCATGAAATGGAATAGGTAGAATGAAGAAGTGCATTGACTGTCGTAAGTGGGACTATCGCTTAAACACTATCAAAGTAACTCAAAGTGGTGTAAATGGACACATTCAGTGAACAATTGCTCAGACAATCTGCCTCTTTGCCAGCTTAAAATCACTCTGTCTGGTTTCAATCAATCACTTATGTTCCGCCATTTTCGGATGACTTAATCACGACCAATCTGTGTAAGAGATTGACAAATGCATGATTGAAGTAATCACGAAACACTAAGCCAACATTTTCTGAGAAGAAGTAATTGTGCAGTCATACGGTTCAGTGAGGCGCGATACGAATTTGAAAATACGAGGGGCTTTTGAGTGCATGGGAAATTAGGAGGAGGAGGAGAGGGAAGACTGGGAAGAAAAGAAACTGAGGCGTAAATCAACTAGAAAAGACCTCAAAACAGCTGAGTAAAAGTCCATTTTGATTTATAATTGGCAGGAGTTTGCTACTTTTCAATTTTTCTCGTTAATTTCTCTCCCTGCGTTCCACATAAAGCCTTCCCATTCCTGTCTTCAGGTGACATTACGGAATCTGCTCGCGTATAATGATTTATCACTGGTGTAGATAATTCACGTGTGTGTCGATGTTAAGCGATGAAAATCCGCTATTTGTTCACATAACCAATTTAAGACATTACAATGGTGCAGCCGCATCTGCCGTGAATATTTAGAGTACCCCAAGTGCAACCTAACATTTGTTATTTTAAACATTTAATGAATAAATGAAAAATAGCTTTATTGCCTCTGAGGAAATCATTTATGTACTAACTAGTCGTTTACATATTGATTTAGTATAAAATCATGTCCTAATAACTTGTGTGGTTGACTAATAAATAAAGATTTGTTACATCTGAGCAGTCACAAACGATAGTTTATGCAATTAAGATGAATCAAAAACATTTCAACTTAGTCTTTTTTTGAAATGGAAGAGCAAATCTAAGATCCTTCGCACCCAGGAGACTTGATTCGGTAAAGACTTTCATGGGACCAACTGGCACTTCTTGAAAATGCATGGAGTAGGTCAATCTGGATCCTAGAATAAAGGCGAACAACTGCTTCATGCGAGAAAATCTTGGCCGGCCTCTTGGAAATGAAAGATTTTTGAATAGAGACACGCAAGCGATTTTGCGGATCAAGGGGCACCATGGTTAGGGCACGTGGTTAGTCACAGCGCATAGCTAAACAAAATATTTACACTACGAGGTACTTGCCCTGGTTGGAGAGCGCTACAGCTGGCAGTTTAGCCTCGACAGCCTCTTGGTTGTCGTCGCTGCCAGATTGGAGACGCGTGTAATTGGTCATAGGGGTGTCGACGCCCTGATTGTCGAACGTGTCTCCGCTCTTTCCACCGAACTTGCCGGTGCTCTGTGCAGTGACCTCCACGCTGTTGACGTCGTCGTGCATCACGCGGGGACAAAATGAGCGGTGGTTGAGGCACCACGCATTCAGGAAGGAATCGAGCCGCCGATTAAAGTACATCAGTAGGATGTAGAGGGCGTAAAACGTTAGCAGAACCACCGCCTCGTACCTTGCCAAGTTAAGAGGACTTTGATTAAGTGTGAATACAGCTAATCCAAGGCAATGGAATATTCCAGCTTCTATCTTAACTCATTTCATGTAATGGCTAAACTGTGCCCTTTAATAAGTTACGTCTTACTTAGCCCTCGCAGACGTACATAAAATTGTTTGGAAGGAATGGAAAGCAGTGTGCAAAGCAAATATTCCATTTAGATGAATTAAGAAAACTAAATAATTGCAGACGTGAAGTATTATTTTTAGGTCTGTTTAAATCTAATGTAGGTGACTAAATTATGACTCAGAAACCATCTGAGTAAACTTTAGCCTTAAGATGGATGCACAGTGGTGCGACAGTTGGCGTCTGGGCGTTCCAAAACGTAAAAAAGATCTTTTTAATTATGATACCAACCATTCGTGCGTCATTTAAAACTTCTGGATGAATGTTTTATGTGAACCAAGCTCTTCTTGCAATTATTCTAGGAGTTTTCGTTCTTCGCGCCAGGATTACATTTGTCGAGAACGGTATCGGCGCAAAAATGATAAATTATCCCTTTCGCAAAATAACAGCCAAATAATATGGAAGGTTAAGCATTGTACGTTCTAAAGCCTAATGGCAAAATGATGTCGACTCTATTCTAAATTTTGAATTTCGAGGCCTTAACACTTACCAATAAACGTTTTCGTCAGCAATGACGAGTGCAAGGATTATAATTGATATCAGGTAGAACGTCGTATCGCGTACAAGTGGCCACCAATTCAGGTAAATCACCTGCAAGATTAAAAAAAATAACTGAAAATTAACTGGCATTACACAAGCATTAATGACAATAGTTATTTTGAACAACTTTATGACAATTTTTTCCCTAATCGAAAAAAAAATCGCATTCGTTGTGTGCAAAATAGGGTTTAATTTGATCAGGGTTTTCATGACTTAAAAATCTAAATTTAAAATTTGCAATCAAGGAGAAATAACCAATTATATTGGAAAAAAAACATATATTCTTTACATGTCAAGTAATTTGTATTTTGGTGCATAGGAAGCAGACGCTTTTTGCGGATACACTTAGGTCATCTTTCGTTTCGAAAGAACGCAAACTGTTTAAAAACACACAGACTTGTGCTAGACTCAGCGAACATCATCCCGTGCAGACAAGTTGTTAATTAAACCTATGAAAAAGTCTCAACACAGGCTATTACTTTAGCACCAAAATCTAAGCACCTATTTTGTTTTGCATGATTCCGTGTGAATAGACCAGAAACATTGATGAGCGTCATTGAAAACAGCAGAGTTTAATGAATTCTAATTCAAAATTAATTCTGATTTTCATGGAAGCAGATAAAAATTTACAAAGATATTACGCAAAACGGGTACCTCTTTGCTGAATAGAGCGCAGACACTGATGACAAACATCACGTTGAAGTCAGATGAACCCACAACGGCACCCAAACCAATATCGTCCTTAAAAAGGCAATAAAATGCTGGATTGTAAAAAAAAGTTTTATTTTGATTTTCTACCGATAAGTTTGGGTTCATCAAATGAAACAGCTTTAGTTTTTCAATGGCATGAAATTAGTTGTCAATTTGGTCTGGGCTTGATAGACGTCAAAAAAGGCACATTTTTTAAACTACTGGACACGGATTCCGAATTACGGCTCAGGATGATAACACAAATATTAATTTTGACGTTAGTGGCTGTGTCAATTTGGGTTTATTACGCTCAGTGATCGATACGCATAACAGGTTGTATCCGGCAATAGAACTGTTTTCCATGCTGGGTAAAAAGGACCAATCGGAAGCGATTTAATATGCAAATAAACGCATAATAATCACGGGAAGAGCAAGAAAGCAAATCCCCAAAACAGCCAATTTGAAGGAATAAAAAAGGTAGGCAATGCAACAACACCCTAGATGATTCTCTACATTTTGACGTTTCGTCGATGTTCTTTTTTTATCAAAATCAGGATAATTTCACTCTTTAAAATTATGCTTTTAAAATTTAAGTATTTTTGGAAAAAAACAGAAAATTAAAAATGCGTATTTAATTAATCCCCATGCAGAAGCTGCCCAATCGAATGGAAGCATGCAGATTCGTTTTCTGTAAATTGATCCCATATGCAGGGTCTGAACACGATTGAATGCGGTTAATTTTGCAGTTACTAAAGATTACTCAATCAACAAAGATTTTATCCATTTGGCAAAAAGCTCAAAACATAGCCATCAGATAGCGTTTAACATTGTTTTGGTCACATTAAAAGCGACAAAACACATCGGCGGTGCCTCCTGTGGGTTCAATGAAAGGAAATTTCAGTAGCTTCGTAAATGAGTGCTGTTTACACGAATTTATGTGGAACGCGCAAGCTTGATTCTTTGCCAGTAGTAGGACTAATACATCATAGAGAATAAGGTGGCAGTGTACGAAGCAAACAACAGAAACGAAGATTAATAGGGCCAGATAATTTTAGCAGCCTAAGTTTATGAAAAAGCGTTGACGGAGTAAAATTAGATCTAACACCTAGAATTAAAGCCTCAAGGTGGAAAGAAACTGTCGTAATCTAGTAACGTTTGCCCAAGGCGACGAATGCAAAAAAAGCGTATTTGCAAAATCAGAATTGTCCGCGACGACGCCTCCATAGGCAATAGCCAATAGGAGATGAGTATTCTAGGTGGACTGTAATCATCCGCGACTGGTCAGACCAATAACATTTGCTGAATAAATTAAATTAGTTTTAATTAAAACCAAATGTACTTAAGAGCACTCACTATCTCCATAAATGAATGAATCTTGAGCGTAATGAGACAAACCACTGCATATCCGAAAAAGCAAATTAGCAAAATACTTTTAGTTTGACAGTCGGATGTTGCGGGGAAACAACAGCACGTCCAAATTAACATTCCCTATTTCTAGCAAAAACCCAGTGGAAGCAAGCATTACAAGAGGTTCAGCAGATAAGTGTTAGGTTTTATGAGCGTTAAACATTAAATGTGTTTGAATGAGACACCCTTAACTAGATACACCAAGGCATTTTGTTCACTGCATTAAACACTTGCGTGCTGAAGTAGAATTCAAGAATGACAAGCTTTTTTGTTAAAGCAGGCTTGTGTACACTTCTGTCATCTCGAGGGACTCAATGATTTTCCTCGAAGTCCGTCAGCTAATAGTAAACGAAATGCCACACCACCTTGATTTCTTGCTTAGTCAAGTTTACGGAAAAAAAATAAGGACTGTTGGTGTTGACACAGCTGTTCTTTACAAGTGGTAAAATAATGCAATGATCATTCGGCAAAAATCGTAATCATTGTCACAAAATGTTACCAAATATTTCCCCAAATGTTTCCCGATACCGAGTCGCTAATAGTTGTTGGCATTTTGATTATGTGTTGCCTGCGAGCATTTAGAGTCTTTCGTTGCTTCCAAACGGTACCAATCGCCTGACGTCTTGACTACTTTACTACGATTAAAACCAGGGGCCTATTTTTATCCATGTCGCCAAAGCACTCTCACATGTCAATAACATTAAAAGGGTGCACATATAGGCTTCAACGTAATCCGCTTAGTAGACTTTGATTTTGGTGGCCTATGACTCATGGTTTTTTCAGGGGTTTCTAGGATTTACGATTATAGAATTTAAAAAACAAAAAGCCACTGCAATTTGGATTCAAAAACGTCTTCATGTACTACCGGTATCATTCAAGTCACTCGTAGTGATTTACGACTCTGCGATTCATCTGTAATTTAATGGCTGTTTGCGTCAATTTTGTTAATCTTCTTGTGCCTTCGACACAAATACGCATAATAGGCATTCAAACGATGTCGCTGATACATTTAGTCAACCTTATAGTTTTCTATACCTTTGAAATTTAGTGAACACCAAAAGGTCAAAGTTTTTACAAAAAAAATAATTCTCCACGTATCGCGTGAGCTTTAATCTGGCCCCAAAGGCAAACTTGCGTTTTCATTCACTCGTACCTTTATCCGCCATTGGATTAGTCACGGTTTCCATGTTGATTAAAGTTGCTATTCTGCAGACACTAAGACCTTTGACACTAAGGCCATGCTGTGGTGTGTTAAACTACGTGTGTGCTAGTTAAGCCAAACGCTGACAAATTGTGTTGGCAACGAAGGCGAATTGTCAAATCCACATTAATAACGAGATAATGCCCGATGTCAGTTTGTAATTATTTTAATTTGAAACAGGTACCAATTGTTGCGTCATAAAACTGCAAAACGTGAGGCATTTGACAGAACGAATGTTAAAATACCAACTGTCCATCTAATAGAGTTAAATTTTCACCCAAACATTGGGCTTTATATGTATGAAGTGGGGAAAACCATTAGATTTAAAAAAATAAACTCAATTAGTATCGGTTTAATGTTAATGGTAAGAACCCATTTAGTTCAATTATCACTTCTGTGCGTAGAGCTTTATTTTAAAATAAAACCCTTCAAGATTTTGAGCACTAAATTATGAACAACTAGAGCAGACACTGCTTGCCGCTTTCCGATACCGCAATTTACAATTTTTGAATACAATTACTTGTTAAAAAAATGTAGTGTACGTGGTCTGACCTTGAATATATTTTTTACTGTCAACCAAGCGCTAGTCAAGCGTATTGAGTTGTAGAATGAGTGAAAAAGAATACTTAAACTGAATGCCAAGGAATGTAATGGCTGTTGGTAGGTTTTTCTGAGAGGATTTAGCCACAGAAAAGTAAGTGCGATAACATTCTAAACTCCTAAGAACAAAAGCCGACAAATTGGCCCCCTACGATGCTTTCACATTTGCTTGAGATTCGACTTTGAACAGTGGTGCAAGCGTTGAGTTTCAGGGCATCGCCTTTCACAGTTTAAAATGTTATAAAAATGTTTCGGGAAATGACAGTTTGTAGTACCAATGTGAACATCCTCCAGGTGTTAATCAATTGAAATAACAAACATGGTCTGCAGTAATATGTTGAAAAATTGGCAGTTGGTTAAGATGCAGGTTTTAATTGGTAACCTGTTATCTAAGACAAGCGTCAGACAATCAGTTAATAACATAGGCTGAGGTGTTTTTGACGTTTAGAACATCGATGTCGTGTTGTGATATATAAAAAAAATGTGGGCGAAAAGTAATACAAAATGAGCGTGAGATAATCTTGAAATTTACTTCAGGTGAAATTAAATATTTCAACTGATAGTTATGGCATGAAATCCGAAATCACGAAAAAGCCTTATGAAATGAACAAGCCCTACTGATTACGAAACCGGTCAACGATTATTGTTAGTACTGGTCTGAATTAGGAGATGAAAATTCAAATAATTCTGCGTATTCAAATAATAAAAGTGATTTTATTTAGCAAAAAGTGAATACAATTAAGAATGACCATTATAATACTCAGAAATGCGTGTCGTAAACGGACTGACAGTTTAAATTTGCATTAGCTTTGAATAAGTTTCCGTTAGGCAATCGACAGATAGTGGATTTATGTTACTGTGGCAACCGAATTAACCATAAAACCAAAAGGTGTATCAAAAAATGTGCAAATTATCTTTTTTCGTAAATGCTACGTAACAAATCAGCCTGAATTTGGGAGGATAGGGAAAAGGCTTTGGTTTTGAAGTGGTTAAACTGTCACCGTAACTGGGCGAAAGTAAAGTGTGACGCTGACCAATCAGAAGCGTAGAAATTTCATCACATGTAGGGGTCGCATAATAAGCCAGTTGAGCGATTTTTACCAGTCTTTCGGATTTCCACAAAATTAACCAACGCCATTTAGTGTAAATCGGAAAACAGCAGGGAAACCTGCGGATATCCAACGTCAAGCCTCTGCGAGAACCGGTAGAGCCCAATTTTAATGGCAAGCTAATGCAATTAGTTAAAATTAGTAGAGAAGCGGTTAAGATACTCAGAAAATTACAAAGTGTTAAAATGTTGCATAGCAAAATTAGTGAAGCAAAATTTATAGTAACCGAACGCCAAATAGGTAGACTTTGTAAATTTCAAGTATTCAAGTATTTGAAGATTCCAGTGCCCGTAATATTGGTGAAAATGCAAAAAAAACTGAAGCTGGTTTTACTTTGAAATATTTTGAGCAATTTCGATGACTAAAGGTTCATCTAAGCTTAACTCAAATCCATTTTGATTGCATCATCACACTTAGCCAATCAATTTGCACCACAGACTACCACCATCACTTTGGAATGAGACAAAGCAATAAAAGTGTAAAGCCAAAATATGCACCTGAAAATATGGGCTATAATTCCTGGCCAAAGGCCAAATGAATGCAAATAACAAAGTATCCTCAGTGATTTGATAGAAGCAGTAAACATTAGTTTGAAACAAGTTAGTTCCAAACCAATGCATTGCCATTGGCAACAAAGAATAGCGTTCATATTGTCAATAATCATCCAAGAAGAGTCATAAGCTGAAGCAAATTGCGCACAAACAGGAAAGAAGGCAGGGACGTTTACAGCGTTGTATTCATTAACGCAGTCAGAAATTGAATAAGGGATGCAGATTTCTGATTTTACCACTTTACGTCGCTGTGAAGGGTCATTGAAAAGCGTTAAAGCGCTTGCCATCGGCATGGCCAATCACATCGATTGCTAATTTAAAATGACACTATCACTGTTTATGACTGGAAGCGTTTAAATTGACTTGGCCATTTTGAGTTGGGTAGAATTTAACATAGAGTTCACATAAATAAAACTAAAACTAGAATAAAAAACAGTCGCAAAAATGAACGAAATTCGCCAATAAATCAACATTAAATTTGTCCACTAAATAAATCAAACTTGTTTGTTTTTTTCATGTAAACTTTGCGGGTTTGTTGCCATGCAGTTTAAATCGATATGGTGAAAATTTCTTTACGATTTCAAAAACAAGCAATTTTGGGAGGGAACGTTAATTGACGAAAGCGCTAACTGGATTTGAAATGCAGCTTTGAATTTTTTAAACAATAACATATTAGTGGTACACGAAGGAGCATGCTTGTAATCAGTATAACTAATCCTTTGTGACTTGATTAATAGTATATATAACGCCAGCTTAGCTAGGAGTTTTATAGACCTTCATAGATGTGAAGTCCCAAAAACATTTATGCTGTGAATCTTCACGTTTTTTAACAAGGCAGGCGCATATTTTTAGCTGCAAATATTAAAATTACATCAGTAACCTTGTAAATAGGCCCACTTGAAATTCGAAGGTCATTCTGCTGGCGAATCTACGTAGTTTTATTGTAACTGCGAAAAAAGCATTGTTTCTGCAACACATCCTACTTGAGGCGCACCAAAACATGAGGAAGTTAAAGAGAGGCAGCTAGGTGCTGTGGGTTGTGATGAGGTTTTATTGACCAAGAAGAGTGCTTAGTTGGTTGCTATGCAGCATGCGTGCTGAAATTCACACGAAGCATTTACAGAACAGCCGATTTCGAATGCACGCCAATAAGGCGAACAGCTGCGAGCCTCAACGCCAAAAATGCGGATATCGAAAGCGGCGGTCGACTCACCCGAGCAATAAACACACCGACAAGCGTGGTGGCCAATTCGGGCGCAGAACTGCCGGCTGCCATAAACGTCGCTCCAGCCACATCGGGTTGCAGTCGGAGCACTAGAAAGAGCGTAAATCTCCCGGCCACAGAAAGAAGTAAGAGGTTGCTTACCGTCACAGATCACCTCAAGACACGGTATGTAGTATTCGTCACAGACGATGGCCAAGGCAAGAAACATGTAGGCAGCTGCGATGACATGCAGAACCACGAGGCCAGAGCGACGCTGCTTTTGGGTGAACTGATCCCGTGGAAAGTTGTCGATCGCGAGGGGAGTGCAATTGAGTCCCTTGAAGGGTGGAATCGTGGGATTCATGACGAGAAGATGCCGTTCAGGCGGAAAGAGGGTCACATCTAATGTGGTGATTCGTGGATATTATGAGCGAACAAGTTACCATCTGGACTGTCAGTTTCTACTGGTTGACGAGAGTAGTAGTAGGTGAGGAAGATCTTCATTGAGTAGAAGCTGATCAACAGAGCGATACCCAAGAGACGGCTCTTAGACCGCGTTGATATGGTTTGTGAGGTCCGCATTAGAGAAGTCAACAGCTGACAGATTATGCTAAACACAGAGAACAAATAATGGCTATTCCAGAGTGTTCCGTCAAGGAAATGCTTTTTATTGCATGTAGTGTAAATCATGAGTAGGGTTGTATATTTGTTGGCAAAAGCAGATACACATCCCAGAGTTGCAATTAATTGAGTGAGGTTGGCGCTAATAACACTGTGGTATTGGCTAAAATGACATTTTTTTTTATCTCAGTGACGTTTCAGTTGGCTGTTATATGTGCATATCTCGCTCTATATTTGACATAGTGATTTGCATTTCAAAGTTACGGTAAGATACGGCCATTGTTTACAACCTAAAGTCTACAGACCAACATCTAAATGGGGGATCACGGAGGTCTTAGAGATTGACAAGGATCCAAAACATCAAGATCAAGACGAAGGGGTTAATGTTCCAACACAACAACACAACCCTCTCAAAACAGTGTGCTCTGGTGACGACTTTGCATTGTCAATTGAATTTACTTTACAGAAAAGAAGCAGAGATAGCACTAGGTAAGATCAAGTCTAAACCAAGAGCTAACAATAATTTTGTGGGAATTTTTAACGTAATCGAGACCCATGGAATCCCTATGTCATTAAAAGGACATCATACAGCTGCCTTCTAAACAAATGGAATCATTTACTTCTAGAATGTAATTTATTGGTCGTTTCTCGTAACTTCAAAGAAGCCATCACAAATTGCTCGCACTGTTTTACACACAACACAACTCTTACTTTCACAACTGAGTTTGCCTTAACCCAAAGTAGAATGCTGTTTTATTGCTGATACTAGAATAACCAGACGCCATCCTCATAAATGTATCTCAAGTTTTTTTATTAAACAAGGTATCATTTCAAAAAACTTGTCCTGCTGCCAAATATATTAATCGAAAAATAACTCCACATACTTTTTGCCATTTGCCCACGTCCAAATTTGACAACTTTCTATCTGGTCTAGATTCCAAAAACGTAGTTACGCTGCTAAGAAATCTCGTATTGATTTGGCCTTTGTCCGTCTGTTAATTTTTAATTTAGTCTTATTCAAATTTCACAACTGAAGTTTAATCACAAATTACGTGCACATAGAAATTTTGATCATGATAGAGATTTCCTAACCACAAATCTACAGAATTCAAATATATTTTGCTGAATAATTTTAGCACTAGATCTGGATTTTTGACATGTAAGTATCTATAGGACAAGAAGTGGTTAAATACAAGAGCAGTTAGAGGTTACTCTGAAAAGATTAAACTGAGACTGTCATTTCTGCTAAAACCATGCGATTCTAGATTTTAAAGCAATTGGAGAGGCTCATTTTCAAATATTAAAAACTAAGGCAAAATCATCCAATATACCTAAGAGTGTTAGGTTCTAGACCAATCTTGCACCAGCACATCACTAAAGGTGCTTTCTGATTCAAACACCAAATATTTCAGTGGCTTAAAGTGTAAAACTAGGAATAAATTCAGCAAATGGCAGTAATTTTTAAAAATTCTGAATTAGGAGTTTTTGGTATATCTGTCAGATCTCTTCAAATACAGAATTCATGTTTACAAAATACGTTACCCTGCATAAACATAAATGCGGAAAAATAACTAAAGCATTAATACATATTAGAATGGTCAACTGCTCATGACTCCACGTTTGATTTTAATTATTTCCGCATATGTAGCTTAGACTTTTATAAAGTAAAAATTGGCACACAAAATGTCAGTTTTAAAAAAAGGCACTTAGAGAGCTGCTTGTATGTCGTAAACTATAGAGGGGCCAACAGAAAATTTTTCACGATGCAGCTCAGTTACAGGCACATTTAATAATTTGCGTAATATTTAGTCATAAGATTGAACTCACACGTGTACAATTTTACAAAAAAGCCTTTTAAGGAAACAAACAGGAGATACGCTAACAATTAAATCTGAGGTTTCAGGTTAATAGCTGCTGAAACCATGCAAAATAGTACTAAAACATATGTAAGCCAACATATTAATACCAGTGAGAGGATAGATTAACGTTTTTCTTGGGTTACCAAAAGGATATTTCGCGTAGTTGACAAGATATTTGCATGACATAATATAAGAAAAGTTAGAAGCTAAAAAAGCAAAAATAGTTAAAGTAGGGATCACAGTGCAACATTATATACCAAGACAAAAGACATTAAAATTCGAAGGGACATAGAAAGGTTTATTCACTTATGACAGTTCGTGCAATACCGGCTATTATCAAGGCAACATTTACAATAGTAAACTGGGCAGCATTTAGTAAAAAGATCAGTGATTACTCGTGCTTAAAATTGTGCGAAATTTGGACAGTGGGCAAACTTTGTGAGCAAATGAAACAAATATTTGCCACCAAAAGCATTTACTTACAAACGTCTACTGAAAAAGTACCTTATTCCTTGATTCTCTTATTTTGTTTATGAATAAAATAACATAAATGACGAAACTTCTCTAGTTACTCAAGTCAGATGATCATCTATTCGCGCATAACCGAATCATCTGTCAAGGTCATGCACAGATATTTTCATTCGTATGTACTGAAGCTGGTTTTGAAGGAACAAATTCGTGCATGAAGTTATCAAAAGCATAAAAAACATCTTTCCAAATTAAAAAAATTAGGTCACGAGGCACATAACTCATATATTAGCAGAATCAGTAGAGACGAGTCACTTTATACTATCAAATTTTGAGTTTTTAAGGGAATTTGTAAGGGGCTTCAAAGTTTCGGCAAAATAAACGCCGATTACACTGCATCCAATAATTTTTCTTAGCAATATTCAGGCATGTTATAGGAATTTTGCACAATATCTGTGTTTACTCAGCACAGGACAAAAGTAATATAAAATGAATGTTTTAAATTAGACCGGTTATAAATTAGAACTTGCACGGTAAAAAGGTAACTTACCAAAATAAATCAATACAAAGACCTGTAGTATTAGAATTATCTATTTAAATGTAAATTTATTAGCTGTGCTTATGACAGCATTCTGCTGTTCATCCAGAATCATGTTAAATAAGCCTTACAATTAATGTGATTGACGCGTCAACGTCCCTCTGTATGCAAAGCATCTAAATTTTTGTCTTGCGAATGGATTACATTATCTTTTTAAGATACTGAATTTCTCATACTAAAAAACATACTCATTTGAGTCGGTGATAGACGACATAGCTAAATTCTAAATTCATGAATAAATCCAGTTGGTGAGGCCTACGGTAATTCCTTAATATTAAATGGTTGGGAGTCCAGTGTTCAAATCCTAACTCGGTTCATTATATAGCACCCAACCTTCACTCATTAACTGTATCCCTAGGTAGTATATTGAGGTTAGCACTACATTATAACCCTCTAGTTAACAACCTGTAACAACCCGAGTAGAGAAGAACAAGAGGCATCAGAGTACACGACCGTTTATTAGCGGTACGCCAGCCAATTGTGTCTTAGTGTGTAAATGAGTAAGTGGATGATAGGCTTTTGATAATAGTTACAAATGAGAGTGAATGAATCATTATCTCCGTCAGGTCAGTAAACAGGGTTCAATTTAGTGAAATCTCTGCTAATCGCCTATATCCCCAAACAGAGGACAGGAGTTTCCAGATGTGGCGAGTAGAAACCATTTCATAAATAGCTGGTCATCATCACACACATTATAGCTTCTATGTTTTGATACTATGTTTAAAATGAGTTGACATAATTACTTCATTAAAGTGGTTGTTCGAACAATTTTTCTAACAAAGCACACGTCATAATTTTAGCAATCAAAACTTTTGTTTAAAATGAAATGCAAGTTAACTATTTAAATATAAAAAGAGAAGTGAATTACAGAATTACAATCAAATGCCCGAACTCATTTGGCCATTATTCTTTGAGTTATAAAAGAATGTGAAGCATTACTGTCAAATATTGGTATCAATGGATTCATAATCTAATTGATCCATGAATAAATTGAAAAGAAACATCACTGACATTTTGATACATTAAATGTTATTTAGGAATATTTGGGACTCTGGTCAAAAGAAGCGTTCAACATTCCTTCAGCTTTTTTATATGATCGTGTTAAGAATCAACAAATCAAACATCACAAAGTGCTCTACAAAGCTTTATTTAATAATTTATTTGAAAAAAAGCATTTGCGTGCAAACTAATTGTCATGGTTACCTAGGAAGGATGAATTTTGTTGCAAAGATAGGTTGTTTAAATACACTTAAAAAATGGAGGGTATGTTAAAGTGGGGCGAATGCTCTCATCATTTACTTTATTTCGCCAACGTTTCCTTAATTTCCTGTTATTTATTTATAATTTAATGAAAATCTTTCGTATCATACAAAAATTGCTATTTTGTTCAGCGTCTATGGGTGTACGTGACAAATTCGCATTTTCAACTGTGTTGCTCCTCTAATATAGTCTCGACGAATAACATAATAGTAATTATTGCCCAAGGTTTTCAAGTTTTTGCGTTTTTGCGTCAGGGCTTATTCGTTCGGCGCATCCTGTTGAATGTTATAATTTTCCTGGCATCTGTAGACACCGCGTTCTGGATCAAGTTTTTCAGTGAATCCGGTCTCCCTCCGCCAACCTCCAAGAAGTATGCCGGTCTCTTTACTGAAAATCGGATGACCGTTCAACTATTACGTTTTCTTGATAAGGATCTTCTCAAGGAAATTGGAATAAGTGCTGTTGGAGACATTATAACGATTTTACAACATTGCAAGTCTCTTGATCTCGATGTAAGCTTTCGTAGTTTATGTAATCTTTTCTTTATAAAGAAGTTGTCTGAGACGCAAAACGCTGTTACTGTTACCTCTACAACCCCAAATCTCGACAAGCAGCCTATTCCACCTGGTCACGAGCTCCCTGTCCCTACAAAGCGTCGCGTTTCGAAGGAAATTGAGGGCCCCTATAAGATTAAGCTTCCTGAGGGTAAAACAGAAAAAACTAGAAAAATTCTGGAAAAAATGGGCCTAAGTAAGTTGATTTTGTACAGAATATATTTGAAATTAAATCTCTCTGTCTCAGACCTCTTAAACCTATTCTAGGTACCACTGGTAGGCCTAATAGCGGGATTGTTGCTGAATCAAATTCTTCTCGGACGGTTATTATTACTGCTGCACCTTCGTCAACGACGAAGCTCACCTCTTCCCAGAAGACCATCAATTCATTTGATGAGGAAAGTGATGACGAAAATGAGGATTTCGAGGTTATTATTTCCAGGTAATTTTCAGACTTTATTACCTTTAACCTTACTCTCTGTGCAAGGCATTTCTAACCAAGTCGCCGAATGCTCCGCGTGTGAGTAGCAGTTGTTTGAATGCTCGTGTGGGCCTAAAATTCCAGGTGGAATAGTGACAGTCATTGTATTTTGAATTGGCTATGGCCTATTTGTGTGTGCACACATGAAGTTACCCTCGTCAATCATCCTCTGCGGTTTTTCCCCTTTTTGGTTTTTGTATCTCTAGAATTCTGTGCTTAATTGTGGAAAAGATATAGACTTGGTCATACTTGCTGAGTGTTATTTGAATTTATCCCACCTCGGTTTGTAACCCTTTAGTTTAAATGACAGATTATTCTCCTTTTTTGCACCTAAGTTAGAGTCATAAATGAAATTAAATTTAGATGTGACTAAACTTCCGGATTTCTGCCAAGTATTGATAACCGTTCTTTTCGATTGTGCTGTGGTCAAGTAAGATGGCATTGACATGCGCCATAAATATTTTGTTGTGATTCTGATCATTATTAAACAGGTGCCTCGTTAAACTCCCAGACGTTTTCTAAGGTAGACGTTGGAGGGAACCAACTCCTAACACTTCTTTTATCGCTGAATTCAACGCTTTTAGTCCAAAAGGAATATAATTTGGGCCAACAATATTCAAGCGCTTTGCTTTTTAATGCCTCCACAGCGTTAGAAAATGGGTCTGTTCACTATTTTTTTAATCTTCTCCAGCTCCAGGTCAGACGTTCGAACAGCCAATCTTGGCGGTTCTGCTGCAACCGGTTGTCGTGGTTCCGGTGGCACAGCAACTGCTCGTTTCTCCGTCTTTGATCGTCTTGGTGCCGAATTGACCCCACAAAAAGCCTTATCACCGCCATTTCGACCCGCCCCCGACGGTAAATCTGTTCTCACTCGTGTGATAGACCGAACTATCACTAGTCAAGCCGCCGAGGATGTCCGTCTCCGGTCAACCTCTAGACCACTGAAGCGAGTGGTACGAACTATGTCTTTTAGTCGGTCCCAAGTGTAATATCAGAATTGAGAATACTTTCGCAGTTTGTGAACGCATACACTTAACCTGTGATTGCAAACTCCAACTATTTGGAGATTACCGAACCCCAGAACGTTTGCATTTGCTCCTATAGTTCATACTACCTGCGAACTTCTGATCAGGTTGCTTGAACCGCCTGCAATGGTTAAAGCAGTCCAGCGCAGTGACATGGGATAGCAAACCTTCCCGATTACATTTTAAAGGCGTTGTCTTTCAACTAAATTTTTAAAGCTCGTCGATATTTGTAGTCGAGCATCTATAAGAAACGTAGCCGTTGTTATCGTCGCTGTTTCAATGACATGCTGTTGACCGGTCATCCTAACAAGGAGAAAAATCGACTCGTTTCGAAGGAAATTGCGCTGTTAGTGTTGTGAAATGTGAAAAAACCCCGGCTTCTATCGCCATCATGTAGATATTAGACGACATCAGCCTACTTTTTTCGACATTAGTTTTGCTGTCAAAAAATGTTCCAACTTTGGATTCGGTATATTCGAACTTTCATCAAGACAGGCCTTTAAACCATCTCCTTCCACAAAGGCCTCATGAGATGTTGCGGAAGGTTCAAGGATGACTTGTGGGACAGCTTGTCATTTAATTAGTCATCGCGCGTTACCGACTTCATGATTATCTCCAACACTCGTGTTTTGGCAGGCGATGGAACGTAGTGACTGCAGTAGTGCTTTTCCTACTTTAAGGCCAGCGATTCGGTGTTTTCGCGTCTTGGGAGAAGCGGACCCAAAGCTGCCCAACTTCTCGACTTGCCGAACCCATCATCTCGGATGTCGGGGAGAGACGGCTCAGGCCTGCCGTATCAGGGCGTCTTCAAGCACCCTCGTCTTTCGGCTCCGGAGACTGGGTCAGCACCACTAACACCGGTGCCGCCACCACCGAAGCCCAGAGTTAATCACAACCTCCGCATCCCCGCCAAAAGTCGCCTGGGCCCCTGTCCCGCTGCGCCACTTAGCAAATCTGCAGGCATCTTCGCCGGCCAGCCTGCTAGAAGCGGTGAGTTTTTTTTACTTGAAGGAGAATTATTTGGCAAAAATGTATGCAAATCGCGCTTGCGAGTTGTGTGTCCCTTCGTCCTCATTCGCTGAAGGTCTGATTCCCAACCTAGCACCTTCTGGTTAAATGCTCAGTTGAAAAGGTTGATTGAAACCACGGGGTAGTACTACAAGGTCAGCCCTAGGTAATTAGTGACTTCTCGTACTTTACTGCTGGTGAAGCATTTCGATGCATACATTTTCGGCCCATCCTATATGGTTTTAACAATCTAAACACATGCATTTCGGGAATTGGGCAGATTTTCTAACCATGAATTGAGTTCTAAGTTGTTTGGCAACGTTTTAGTGTAAATGTATGCCCCAAATTCCATCGTCTTGTTTCCAAAGGTGTATTTCTCTCGACTCGTCCTATTTACCGCTTAAACTAACTGTTTGAATGAGCAGCAGTTGGGGAGGCTTACTCGCTTTACACGTTGTCACGTCAAAATCAGACCTAATTTCCGTAACTATTGCCGCAAACATGTACTTGAGTTATTTAATATTCGAAAGGCATTTTACATGTCACTGTCGTTTGTCGCGCTTTCCAGCTCAATAACCTGCCTTTTGCACTGTTTTAGTCCATGAAAGACTTGGATCGCTTAGCGGGAGGTTATCGTGAAGACCTTCGTGGCTTTCCTAGTGAGCGTCAGCAGACGGACCTCCGCACTCTTCGCTCTGGTACTCTTGCATGCCCAACTGGTTTCCCGTCAACGCTGTGTATATAGCAAAAGGATGTGGTTTTTTCTTGGGAACGCGGTTGTATGGGTACCGAGGGACAGTCAGAACCACCCTTCTTCCATTTGAAAGCTTAAATGAGACTGACAACAGAAGTTTGTGGGGATCTGCGGGGACTTGCCGACACTAGTGGACGATAATGTTGTCAGAAAAGCAGATGTAAAATATGCGGCACCCATTTGGGTGTTAGGATAGGCTTGGGTTGAAAGCGTCAACTAATGGACAATCCCCAAACATTTATATTAGTCCCTTTGTAAGGTTTTTACTGTAACCGGGGACACAATATTTGGAATCCGTGGAAAGTGTGCGTGCCTGGTTTGCGACAGTGTACACTTATGGCTAGAGTGCTCACAATAGGTGAGATTGCTTTAAGGTCACGTGTATTTGGTGGTGCATCTTAGACGCACGCACCCAACCCCGAAACTGCTCAAAATGCGATGTGGTAATGTCACTGTTTGGGCGATTAATCCCAGTTCTGCGCAAGTCACCGGCAACTGTGTTGAGGATATATCCCTTCAGCCACCGCATAAGGAATCGATAAGTTTCACAGCCAAGCTATTTGGTACCTGAATCGCCAAGAGAAACCATCCCAACCGCCATCAGTCCAGAAGTACACGTGCCTACGGAGTGTATTGGTATCTTACAATGGGTTCTGTAAATGGAATGTGGTTACTAATATGATATTCATCATCAAAATCAAAAATGATTGAAAGACAGAGAAAAACCATCAAGTAGGGGTGCTTGTGTACAGGAAAGGTGACTACTCGACTTGATCGACGATGGGGAAGGCAAGAATGGTCTTTCGCATGTAGGAGAAGTCCGGGAGTTGTGGCAGGATGTCCACCACGCAGGGCGGGATCTCCTCGTCGGAGGGCTTTTCGTCCTGCGGATCGGGCAACAGAATAGGAGGAAAGGCGGGGGGCGGTGGGAGTCTTGGTAGTGGCGACGCTGGACTTAGAAATTCCGCCTCCAGTTCTACAAACAGGGAACCACGAGTTGTGCGCAATCGATTTGGCACCATGGAACCAGACTAAATTCAAGTGAGGTACTACATTGACGTGAAAGTTCTGACTCTTGAATGATAGATTTCCAAATCGACGGAGTTTTCTCTTACATTCACGCAGAGTTAGAGTTGGGGTCTACTTAAGAGGACTACAAAGTGGTTACAGATCGACAAAGAGTGAAAACATGCAGTGTAGGAATGCGGATACAATTTGCAAGCCACTCAAGTGTTATTCGTAGACATTTTAGCTGATTTTACACGGTACAAATCACATGGTGGAATGACGTGTGTACCCTGCGATTTTGCGACCTTTATGCAAGATATAACAGAAAAAAGTTTGGTTCATTAAACTGTGTGGGAGCAGGTGCCATCAGCTACAAAATTAATTTCGCGACATTAAGATATTCGAAGGTGTGAACGTATCTCGCTTGGAGGGCAAATTCACGCACAACGTAACGGGTGCGTGGGCGACAGATTCTAACACATGTAGCTACCTCAACAAAAACACCGTTTGCAACACACAAAATGCGATGCCCTGAAGCCAATTCGAGGGTTTGCATTGGCCTTAAAAGAATCTTCAACCACCACGTCTGGGCACGGCTGTCTGGTCGAGTTTGTGCTGCTTCACAAGCACTGACAACACGTGTCTGGATTAATCTAGGCCCTCATTTGGCAAACCCACAGGAATTTAGTTTTTCGAGATGAAATGCCAAAAAATGAGCAAGGCGACACACTTGATATGGCCGGAGGTGGTTTTGAATTGGCTTTTGAGGGCATATCCTCAAAGAACTCCAGGTCGACTTCTGAAGCGGGTAAGTTGACATCATCTATAAAAAGGGAAGAAACGATAAAGTACGAAGTCCGCTTAAATGATGATATATTAACGCATTTAAAGCCGTAACGTGGATAGTAATTAACGCATCCCTTCGAAGTCGAAACCAATCAAAATCACCACACCCGTAGGGAGTTGTAGTAGCGTAAACCACACAAGCAAAATGAGTCCAAATGCAGAGCACATATTATGTGTCCATTAAGATGAGAAATAAATTCGGAACTAGCTGATACGTCCGTATTTTCACAGGAGAGGCTTCCTGATTGGATAACTCGCACATTTTGAAATTGCCTACTGTACCAATGGGAATCGGATTACTGGAAAGCGGCCACTTGTGATGGGCCTTGAACGCGAGCTCTTAGGCAGAGGCTCAAGGAAATTTCAGTCACACCAAGCTCCAGTACATGAAACGCACAGAAACAATGCTGCTTAAATTCAAATACCCATTGCCAAGAGTGCACTGGAAATCATCAGGAAACACGCAAGCAATTAAAAAGTACGTGACCGGCAAGCGCAAACCTTTCTCCACAGAAAAAAATGAACAAACGCCATTCAAAACAGCCAAGTGAATTTCGTATTCAACAGGTTATCGACAAGGGCCTGTTTAATTAGTGTGCAAGCGTGTGTGCGCGACAAAGCAAGGCATATTTTACTGGGGAAGTAGGGAAGTAATCGAATAGGGTACATCTTTAGTCGATTGCAAAAGGCTTGCTTTCTAAACATTAAACCAGGATGAAATTTCGGCCATTTTTAAGGGCAATTTGAATTATTGCATGATCTAGACAAACGAGGGTACATTTGGGGGCACAGGTTACTCAAATGAAGTGAAGAGAATTTCTGAACGAGCACAACCCTGGGGCGCGACAACCCTCAGATGTTTGTGAAGTTAGAAGTGATTACACAAATTCCACGTACGCAACACTGTCAAATCTGACTGCCTAAATATAGCCGACGCGTCGTATTTAATGGCCACTTAAAACATTTAATTTTTGGAATGCTTTGTGTAAACACACACTTTTCGCGTGAATAACGCTGCACCTTTTACCACAGCACAAAACAACTAACGAACTTTTGCCAGGAATTGAGCTTTGTGGTATCTGCTTTCATGTCAAATGCAGCTCCGACACTGATGAATCAAGTACTTCATAGCGCCTTGATTGATGTGAGCCATCAGCTGGCCATAGTCGTGCGTTCTTTTCGATGCGAAGACGATGAAGGAGTTAGTTGGCACGTAAGCAGTGACGGTAATATTTTCCCCATATCTGTGCCTCCTGCACTATGTTCGTACACCCACACATTCACACGCACGCAGTAAGTACTAATTATTCGTCATTGTTTTGTCCCAGATTGTTTTTTCCGAAATGACGGCAAGAGGAAAGGAAAACAAATACGGTGGTCTAGCACTTAGATACGTCGTCAAGGCGACGCGCAATTCTGAGCGCTTGTTTACTGCAAATTTCGTTCTGTCCACGACACATCAACCATGCAAACACACAAGGTTGTATTTCAAGGCCAAGTGTGATGTGGATCGTAACATGGGAGAAGTTTCAATAAATATTACTCAATTATTTTCCACAAAGGCTGCTGAGTATCCCAGAGAGATACGAAAACTTTTGATATTAAAAGTTAAACAAAACGCAGGTGGCAGATTTACTTGGTGAAAATTTTCCACTCCAAGTTGACCAGCGTTTTGGTCGACTGGCTAATGTTGATAGGGACTAAATAAAAGCCATCATTGAATGGAGTTGTCAAATAACCGTGCGACAAACTGCAGAGGTCAAACTTGTCACAAATTCACAATTGTCTTGGATTCGTTAAGAATCGCTTAATTTGGGTTCCGTACAAGCTAAATGAAATTCACTTAACACGGTAAATATTTATAACATGCATCACAAGTACATTGAAATCGTCGCTTGTTTTTTAAAAAAAGTCATCACTAAAAATGAAAATATGGTGTTTGAAAGAATCCCAACAAAAAATGATCAGGTCACATTAAATATAGATCATTTTAAGAACTTTGCGGTATGAACTACAAACGCAAATACATTCACTCAATCTGATACATGACTTTCAGTGACAAACGACTTACTGTCACGAAGGGGGTTTGTGAGGCCGCTTGCGGACCAATCGAATTCGGGAACGGGAGTTGTAGGTGAGGCTTGTTGATTATGGGGGACTGGAGCTGTGGGCAAAATTGATTGGGCTTCGACGAGGGTTGGTTCAAGCAACTTCATACGACCCGGACGAGGCGGAATTAATCGCTAAGAAGAGTTAAAATGACAGTATAATGAGGACTAATTGGGTCACCCAAATTTAGTAGAACATAGATGATTCCAAGCTTTAATCCCACCGGCGTTAGATGCGCCATTGCGACACGCCTAATTAGGAAGCGTCGTGCACATTATTTTCAGTGATGCACAGAATAGTGTTGCAATACCAATAAAATTAGCAAACAGAAACTTTGTGGCGACTGACAGCGTACAGAACACAGGCTCTTTTAGTCAAAGACGATGTTGCTAAAGAAATAATAAACCAGAGTTTGGCAAAGCAGAATGCATAATCAAGACAAATATAAATCCCTTCCATTGAGACACTCAGCATCAAATTCAACTATGGTGAAATAGGAATTAAAATGTCATTAGAAAAACACAAGCAACTTTTTAAATTAGGGCAGAGTACTTAAGTGAAAAACAGGTGATGTCAGACCGTAACGAAACTCAACACGGGAATCAAGAGAACTATGCACTACATCAGTTACTTGAACATGGCAAAAAGTCCAGAGAAAAAGGTACAGGTAGAAGACGAAGGAATATGTGCTCTCCTAGTGAGGATCACATTATTTTTTACTTTTGTATACACAACTTAAAAAGGCAAGCGTTATGGATAGAAGGAATGTAATCTTATCAAAAAGAGTAGCATCATCGAGTTAATTTGTGGAACGGAAAAGTTGCGCACAGAAAAGACGGTCCAGCAGAATAATCTGACTTTTACATCTGCACAAGTTGGACATACCGTGTTTTGTAAATCCACTCCAACAGTTCGCAGATACATTTCGTACGTATACGAAGAATTCCACACTTCAGGGGAGGCACAGGAGTCGGGAGGCTTGACAACAATGCCCCAAAGTCTACAAAGGACAGGTGTGTTCAGCACAACTTCAGATAAAGTACTTTGTTGTTTAACGTTAGCTTACTGTACCTTTGCACGACAGCAGAGGATAAATTATCTCGAAGCTGTAACAAATACGCTCTAAAGGAGCTGTCATGGTTTGGTGTTAACGACTGTGATGGCACGAACGTCCTCAGGGATACCTTTGGGTCAGTTGAAAAAGCAGCTTCCAGAGCTGTTTGGGCGTGAACCAGGAGATTTCTCTATAGAGAATAAAACCGTGGATACACGAGTGTTAAGCAATGTGTTACAAACAAACACAGGGTAAAAGAATAAAAAGTGCATTGGATTTCAAAATGCAACTTACGACTAGTGAATATTGAGTGGCAGCCTTTTCAGGTAACTGTGCGGTCTTATCAAAACCTGAAAAATCCGTAAAGTTATCATTGTCATCGGAAGTGCTTCCGTGAAAAGAACTCTGACAAGATGTGGGGGGATCGAAGGCTGCAAAGTCCCCAAATTCATCATCCTGGCATGATTGACCAGAGTTGCAGTCATTGGCGCTATCTGTCCTAGCGTGGGATGTCGACAAAGACTCGGGAATGTCCTTTGATTCAATGTCTGACGTTTCGTCTGTGCCTTTATGAGCAGCTCCACCAGTTCCGACACAATTATGTACACATCCCAGCGGGTTAGCTGTCTGCTCATTGCAGGTGGGAGGCTTTGGACAACAAAGATGCATATTTGGCGCGGAATTGGCAGATTGAAGGGAGCCATGCACACCAGAATGGCTAGGTGGAGTAGAGGACAAATAAATATTTCCACAAGAACGGCATCGCCGCAATTCTCTTAAACACACAACACTTGTAGGACAAATATCAGCAGCGGAAAACAATTCCTGAGCGGTGACGTTTTGTTGATTTGAATTGCGGGAGGAAAGCCCATGTGATGGTAGCGCATTAGGGACTGACGATGATGCGGAGGTGGCTACTTCGCGGCCATTAACAGCACGATCTCCCCTACCACCGACTTTAAGACAAGCCATCGCTGTAACGTTTGCGATATGCGACGCAAGATCACCAATAGTTGCGTTTTGAGGGAATTCCGGAGGCATTTCAAAGTCGGGATCACTCAGAGACTCATCCTCAGGAGAATCGTACTCACTATTCGAAATATGAGTTTGGTGACCAAATGTTCCAGAATGATCTGACAAATAGCTTCCTAGAGACGTGTCAAATGCATTAAACCCGTTCATCGTCACAGATTCTAATTTCCTCACAAGTGACTAGCATCAACATAACATAGTCAAAGAGCGCGCAAGACAAATAGGAAACTATAACTACACCTTGTAATATTAGTGTGTGTAGCACAGAACTTACATATTAACATAATGATGTAAAAATAATCTTCTTATTTACCACTATGTATTCTAAGATTCAAAAAATCCCATGAAGTTTTGACAAAATTTAAAATGAATATATTATTGCCAAATCATAAGTTTTCATGTGCTGCCTTTGCAGTCTGATAACGTTTGGGGCACAAATAAAAGATTTCGGCGTAACATAAAAATTCTTTATATGTGTTACACCATATCAAGTTTAATTATTTCAAGGACGGTGCTAATTTAACGGGGATCGTGCTTGTGTTCGTTTGCAAACTGTAGGTTATTTCATTCTCTTCACCTCACTCTGTATTAATCTTCTGTAACTAAAATTCGATTAAAAGATGACCTTTGTAGCAATATTTAAAAGTTTAAGAAAAACAGGGAAACTTTATATCATATTGTATTAATTCAGCACTGCATTTTTTTCTTTTGATAATCACCAGAATTATAATGTACACTTATCTCTAGCAAAAATAATTATAAGTCTGTCTGGGCAGCCCTCTTCTTATTTGTCTGTCAAATTTTAAAGATTTCTTTAAGACATTATTTTGGAAATTTTCAATGACATTGTAGTTAAATTAGTTCAAATGATATTTTCGTTCACATTATTGCATATGCGTGGTCATTTTTATTTACTAATTTTTGAAAATTATGTTTCTAGATATTTGTTTGCTGGTTCCATAGTTCTTCTTACTGTCTCTATTGTTTTTATGCAGCTTTATTGCGAAAATCCAGAATGAAACACTATTATTCGCAGTAACCTGTTGAAATCTAGTGCGTGCCTTTGGTTTAAAAGGTGCTTTTTATTATCGTTTTCTCCTTTTCTTTAACTTCTAGCAAAAATGAGTAAGTCAATTAAATGCAGCTCCTTTTATAAATTTGAATAACTCTGCTCGGTATTCCGTTTGCTGAACTTCTTTTAAATTAGGCTTAATTGTCTTTCCAGGATTTTCTAATTTAAGTAGTGGTTGGGATTGAGAAAATCTCTTTTGAATAAACCTATTTTGGTAGAACGTAAATCTACATTTTTTTCTTTCTCTCACCATGGTATCGCTCCAAATCACTTACTGCACTTGCCTCTAGACTTGACAAACGATACCCTAATTTTGTTGTAAAAAACGATCTTCATTTTTCTCATAACTTATGGAACGTCTAATCTGTTAACTTGTCCTAATATTCAATTAATAAAACTGCGAATAATGTGAGACCAAAGACTTTACTCTGCTTTAACATTCCTTTTAGGTATAACGAATAAAGACCAGAAGAACACTCTAACACGATCAACTTCCCGTAATGTTGCCGATTTTTTCAAGAAGCTTTCTCTTAACAAAGCTACAAAAGATCAGGGTGTAAGTAAAAAAAATCAGTTTTTTTAAAGAATAGGCTTTTAATCATTTCTTACATTACAGGTGCAGTTTTCATCTCAATTTACACAGCCAAATCAGAACCTTAATGTAGGTTGACATTTACTTTAATGGAATCAAATCTATTAGTAAATTTTTAAATGGCGTCCTTCCCTTAAATGCAGATCTACGCGAACTCGGTCCCACTTGAAAAAAATCTGATCGAATTCGCCGCGTCCGAACCCGGCACTGCGTCTGTCGGCACCGTTCTCATCCTGTACACTGGTGGCGCAATCGGAATGTGCAATAATGATGGTGTCTATGAACCAATGCAGCACTTTCTCACCAGCTATCTTCTGCGCATGCCCATTTTCAATGACGTGGAGTATGTCAAAGTGCTTATAGGATAAACAAAGATACCTAGTTTAAGTTTTGACTCACAATATTGCCGGAGTGTTGTTTTTTTAAGAATGGGAGCCGCAAAACAAAAATCCTGCTGTAGGCTGATATTTCATATAGGCTTAAAATTCTGTTTTTCCCGTTCTTCCGAATGCATGTGTTGACTCTACAAGAAAACCTCAGAATTCGCTTTACCCTCTGAAAGCATTTCATGTAAACCATTAGTAAAATCATTCCCGATTGACCTTATTAAGGAGATTCAGGTATTTTTTTGCTTCTCTAATGCTCACAAATTTTCAGTTGATGCGTAGTTCCCACTCCGCATGAAATTTATGGACTTGTGTTAAAGGCAACACTGGATGATTTATACTTATTAGTTCGTTCAGAAATTGACGCCGGTTACATCCCCACTATATTTTAAACTTTTTTGCGCGTTAGTGTCGCAGAATTTAGAAGCTCTGAAATCACCTTGGGGGTTGAATCGTACTGTAAAAGTTAGGTAATTTCTTCTCAATCGACCCATGCTATTTCCGGGAACAGTTTTTAGATGTTGAATTTGTTATTAACTAATGCATTTTTGACAGGTTTTTCGAAAGAGGCCCAGCAATAGCTGGTTTCGCTTCGCCAGAATGGGAGACTCCTCCCACGTCAACGCCTTCCACCGTCTCCATTCCACTTGCGATGCCTTTGAACGACCACAAACGTCGCATTGTGTATCGATTGCTGGAGTACGATACCCTGCTTGACTCCTCAAACTGTTCCATCGACGTGTGGATCAACCTCGCACAGGACATTGAGCGCTTCTACGACGACTTCGATGGATTCGTCATTATCCATGGGACCGATACTCTGCCCTACGCGGCCTCCGCGCTCTCCTTTATCTTCGAGAACCTTGCAAAACCTGTTGTGATTACCGGCTCAGAATTGCCTATCAGAGAGCTGCGCAGTGATGGCAGACATAACTTACTTGGTGCACTTCTGTTCGCCGGTGGTGGTTATGACATTCCAGAGGTCACCGTGTACGTTCAAAATGAGGTTAGTCTTGTTCTTCTTCTCTTTCATGCATCCATTAATTCTTGCCTCTCAACAAAGAACGGTCATGTGGATGGTTTTGATCATATCATTCTCGATCAAAATTATATAACAGTCGATGTTGAAATTAATTTCTTAATGGGGGTAATTTAGCTAACCATTTAATAATATACTGAAAGAAGATCTCTAAAAAATTTCATCTTTCTAGGTAGTATGCATGAAAAAATATCAAGCATTAGTCGTTCTCCTTATGTGTTTCTCTTAGCGTGTGGAAATGTCATATTTTTATTTTCCATGAAAAGCCGTGCATTTTTACGTGGATAACCGGAAACTCCTTCAAACCCTAACTTATTTCTGTATTAAGTCAAAAAAACCTGGTAAACCATATTTGCCATGCATATACTCCCAACTTTACTATCATCATTACTTTCGGGATTGTACTGCTTAAAGCTTTGCGGTATGTTGGCACACGGATCTTGTTTGTGGTAGATGAATTTATTTTGAGCGAGTGTTTTGTGTAAACGAAATCCACACACAAAGTCGAAATATAATCGGCGACGTGGGAAAATATTGCCCGCCAATGAACACCGAGTCCTGATCCCAAAAGTGGGACTGGTTATCAGATCATATGCCCTGGTTTGGCTTCACTCCAAAGCCCCTGCCTCTTGGCATTACGTTGTAGCTGTACCGTGGGAATCGCGTGGTGAAGGCAACCACAACAGACTTGGACGCATTCATCTCGCCGAATGCACTGCCGTTGGCGGAGATGAAGGGGGTCGTGACCATCTACGAGGACCGAATCTGGAAAACGGGCGATCACGCTGCCAAGCGACTTCGCGTGCACCCCGACCTCTGTCCCAATGTGGCCGTTCTCCGACTCTTTCCCTCCATTTCAGTTGATGCTGTTCGCTCCTTCTTCAAACCTCCCATAAAAGGTGCCATCTTCTCATACTTCTTCTTCAATATCCTGTATTCAAAATCTAGTATTGTGATGTGTGTTTAGTTCCATGGATCCTAACTAGGTCTGGTGAGATTCTCCGAGTTAAAACAGATTGTATCGCTTACCAATGAGATCGAAGGAGCGAATAGTTCAATGGTTTCTAACCTAGCATGAACTGACAACACTGTGTGATCAGTGCAGTATAACCCTGTGCTATTCAATGTAAATACGAATTTTACAAATAAATCATTTAACTTGCAGGCCAATTTAGGGTCATGTCGGTTTGCCCTGGCGACAACGTTTAAGTAAACCGTCTCATTTTTCAGACATGTGGCTTTTCACATTGACTGCTTTTCTGTATTCGCTGTTACCCGCCAGTTCTACAAGTCACAGATTTTTCTTGTTTGTTTTTATGACGTAGCTAAATTGGGCTACTTCACAGTTTACTTTGGCATGAAAACAATTGCCGTATAGGTGGAAAGATGCTTAAACGTGTGGGAGGGGAAAGTGTGGCCCCTTTGATGTTGCCAAAGCAAATATTTTTGTGGCGCCATTATATTTAACACTTTTATAGCTCATTTGTTGGGTTTGTGTGCTTAAATCAGCATGAACTAGCATTGAACCATCATCTGGGTTGGCTGCTTAATATGGTCTTTGAAATGTTTAAACTTTATCAAACTCACATTCCAAGAAAAGACCCATATAGATGCAAATAGGAATGTATTTTGGTGAATAAAATGTTAACGACCAAACAAAACTGCAGTAATGCTAGATGTTATCTCATCAACGTGCACAACTCTGACCTCGGTTTCATTTATATAAAAACCACAACAGCGCTATGCACATACCAAGGCTGCCTTGTCTCTATTACGTATTTGAGCATTCGTACGGGTGTGTACCCGCGGTGAGTATAGAGCACTCTGTCAGCCCCTAAGTGTTTTGATTACGGTTAAACTCTAATTTTCTTCCCCAGGGGTCATTCTCCAGACCTATGGCGCAGGCAATGTCCCCTCCAATTACACAGAACTGATCGAAGTACTTAAAGAGGCTCACGAAAAGCACAATATCATTCTCTTTAATGTTACTCAGTGCTGGAGAGGCACTGTTTCTGGTGTCTATGCCACCGGCGCCATCCTCAATACTGTTGGTGCGGTTTCCGGATGTGTAAGTGTCCATTTTTACCCACCCAATGGTCTTCGACGATTAGATCTGGGTAGCCAATAAAAATCCCTAACCTGTCAGACCGAACTCTGATTTCAGTTTGTTGTGGGTCTTTGCCATTAGGGTTTAGTACCTAGATCTTCAACTTGTCCAGTTGTGTGTGACCCTCAAAAATTGCTTACTTAGTCCCAGTTATTTAGACTCATTTAAAGGTAGACATTCAATTCTGTAAAACCAATGGACTATCTGCGGAATGCTAGCATCAATTTAAGGTCCCAAGCGAGAACCAGGTTGCAATCATAACTTGTTGCTACTTTACTTCTTGGTTTAATTAGTTAGTTGTCTAATCATCTCCGTTTTGCAGGATATCACCACGGAGGCAGCGTTGATGAAGTTGGCATACGTGCTCGGCAAATGGGATGATCCGTCAGCACAAAGACGAATGCTGGCCCACAGTCTACGTGGCGAAATGACGGAACCCCTGGTGGAGACCCGTCGACACCGCAACGCCTCCACCCACGCCACCCTCTCCACGACAGGCGCCGCCTCCATGGACGCGACGGTGGCACTGGGCGATCTTTTCGTCTCCGCCGACGCCAACAGTCTCTCCTCCGTGTGGTCGCGTCCCCTCTTCATTTCCTTGATGTGCGCAGCCGCGGAGGCAGACGATGTGGACATGCTAGAACAGCTCTTCCGCATCGCTGGTCATTTTGAGGTAATGCGGACTTGTTGCTGTTCTTTAAAATCTTTGCCGTGGCAACAGCGTCTTCCACTTTATGCTAATACCTAGGTCCAAGAAGGTCTATCTCACAATCGATTCTAGGAGCACAAAACCACTTACACGTTTCAGAAAGTTGCTTCCTTTTGGTTTTATAGGATGTGCTGAGCAAACGATCCCTTAGCTTGACAAAAATTGTCAAGTCCTTATTGCGTGAAGTAGATTTGGCAAGTTCAGTTGCGCCAAGTTCGATTACCCGTCACTAACCCATACTGACCGCTATCAAGCATAGACCCGAAGAAGTTTGACTGCAGTGTCACGGTTCTGGACAAACGACTTTTTCAGCATTAATAAAACAGGCAAATAGTTAATGCTTTACTAAGTTATCCAACCACCAAAAATTAGCGGATTTATTGAAGCCTTTGGTATGATACTTCTTATAAGATGTGCCCATCTTCCAAGTGGTTGTTTTGTAGTAGCTCGAAAACCATAAAGGGGTCTTAAAACCCTTTCGGAATCAATAATCAGCAAAGACTGTCTCTCGTGGTTATTTCCAATTATCGTGCCTTCTTGGCTTTTTGAAGCAAAACCAACTTTTTCCGACACAGCTTCTATTACCCATTAATTTTTAACCCTAATTAGTTACTCGTGGTAAGCAGGAACTCGCTCTGTGTTTTTGCTTTTAACGTCATTTTAACACTTGATTAGTGCAATTTAATTCGCAAAATATCTAGTCAATTTTAATTTCATAGATTTAAATTTAGGCATTCTTCGGATGTAGCACAAGTTTTAATTGTGAACCTAAGCCTTCAGGCTGCGCAAATATTGGACTCATACACATGTCCTACCTTATAATTACGTCAGTTGCCACCAACTCAGCAATATGTGGGATGGAACTAACTTCACTCGTGTAAATTAGTTTTAGTTCCTGATGTATTATGAACAGAAATTTGTAAGTGGCCTTGAAACATTCACTATGTTGTGATCGATAGGTTTCAACTTTAAACCAATGGAAGTGCAGGGACGTTTCCACTTGCATTGGTGAAAATTCACTCGCTTTTACACCCGTTTGAACCGAATTCCGATATTTATTTCTAATTCTCGATGACATTTGATGGAGTTGAAGTGATTTAGAGAGCCCATTGATGAAAATTCATCTTTTACGGTATTTCTCTATGATCCCTCTTAGTCAGTGAACATGAATTTTAAATTAATTGTCTAAAGCAAAACTGCCACTAATTGAAACTATCATAATATCAAACCAATTCAACTTTCATAAATTAATTTTATCCCTACAGCTGGATGGTAGCCTTTGCAATCGAACTTCGCGTTACTTGATCAAAAAATTAACGCCATAAAAAATATCATTTAATCTCCTACACCGAATCCACTGGCAAATTTTTCGTAGGGTGTAACACGGGATCTTCTGCCACGCCCGTGGTGGCTTTACCACAACTGACACACCCCGTTTTAACCTCTGCTAGTCACCACAAGATCCACCTGGTTTAAGTACCTATGCCTACAATCTGGATAATTTTTGCTTCTATCAGCCACCGGGTGTAAACAAGGGGTTTCTTTTGGCAAATAAGTTGTACCCATTCCTGCCCTCATTATTGGTTCTTGCAAAACATTCTTTCCAAAGGTTGACTTTTAAAGTGAAACAGGCTGGGATGTTTGATATTGCATAAACATCGTTCATATTTTTGTCATCTGACACGAATACAGTGATGATAACTTAAATATGACAATCATTTCTCACATACTTTCACTGCACCCTTAAATAATGAACAGATCGATTGGGCTAAAACTATGCTATAATCCTGAAATGTATATTCAGTTGCCTTCAACTACGGGATGCAATATGTTGTGCGCTTGATATTTTAATCACTTTACTGCGTCTGAATACAAGACTTCCCCAAAAATTTCAACAAAATTTTAGCACGTAATAACGTATTTTGGTCAAAAAACTACCACTACTTTTTTTAAATCCTAATCCAGCAAAGTAGATTTCTCTTTTTTAATTAGACAGATCTTTTTTTTATTTGGATATCTGGACAATATCAGATGTTTAGGGACACAACAAGGAATGTTCATGTCGTTCCCCATTACCATTCATCTTGTGCTAAAGAATCTGTCAATTGTTTTATTAACACGAAATCTCTTGTTACCAATACAAGGCCGAACGTATACGTAATGTACACCCATTCGTAGTTTTTTTTAAACTCCACCACAGAAACTGTTTACTTCTCGTTAATCAAATCGTCTTCATAAAAGATAACAAATATATTTTATGACTAAATAATCTTGTACTTTGTGCGATCAATTAAATTGACTCTCAGATAATGTCGCGTCAAGCCTCCAGCTAACCCATTAATTAACCAACGTTTGCGTCGTCGATTTCACGTGAGCAATTTCCTTTAATTTGGAGATGTGCTAAATGAGGAAAAGTCCTTCGCCAGCACGTGTCTACCATCCTAATAACCGACCTCATTGATGCAATGTCTTATCACTCTACCATTTTTCCTAATGCCCACTAAAATGGCTGCTTTAACTAGTCACTTGGGAATCATGGATGAGTTAAGCACTCAGCCATTACTCGCCATGAAATAATCTCTATGGTGTGGTTTTGATGTACCAGTTCGCAAGTCTTCGCATGGACAATATCATCAATAAACTGCCTATGCATGGTTACGACGCTTGTTAATTTCTGTCGACTAGTACTACGACCACAGCCGTATCTACCCACTCCACCTGGCTGCAGGATCTGGAGCCTACGCAGCCTGTCGCCTGATGCTGGAGTCCGGCACGAATCCAAACGTCGTGGATGCCAGGGGCTACACGCCACTCTCCTTCGCGGTGCGCGGTAACAACTGCACGCCCGCGCTGATCCGACTGCTCCGGCTGCACAACTGCCAGTTTCCACCGTTGGACTCGGCCAAGGCAAAGGAGACCAACACCGCCGCCAGCTTGGGGCGAATCCAGCAACTCAGGTTTTACCGTCTCGCTGGTCTGACTTTGCAGGTGTGTTGCTCTAGTTGCCTTCAAATTTGGTGCTGTTGTGGACCCCAGCACGTGATCTTGCACCACACCGGGGCCACGGAATTAACCCTGGTCCGATTACGCTTGCCTGATACCCGAGATAAAGAAAGCGATTGGAGAGGACGTGGACACAAACGTTTACTTCAGAGCTCAACCACGTTGGTGTCGTGTGTGGGGCTTGTGCGTGTGTATTTATTCCTTTGGATGCGTGAGTCATACATACGCTAACATCGAGATTAATATCCGTGTGAATGAGGGGGAGTTGAGGGTCCGCGCGGCTGGCAACATGCTGCGAAAAGAGGGACCCTGTGTCGGAGGTGGAGCGACCGGATTAGGGGGCGTGAATAAACACGAGTCACAGCAGTGCATTGGCGTTTGTACATCTCGTCTGTGTTTCTTATCCAGTTTATGTTTTTTTATACAGGAACTCGATGCCGAGGGACGTGCCCCGCTTCACACCGCCGTCGCGTATCACCAGACCGACACGGTCCGCTTTCTGATCGCTCCAGCCAAGGAGAACTCTAACCCAGTTCTTTACGGATCCGTGGAAAGTGGAGGCATGGAAATGGGGGGTGCGGGGGTAGATCCAAATCAGCTCACCGGCTATGGAAGAACAGCACTTGAAGAAGCTCGCAAGAGGAACTTTATTGACATTGTGCAAATACTGGAAACGCACACGACCGTCTTAAAGAGCTCTAACTAATTTTGACTTTTAGCCATAGTTTACCAAACTTCTTCATTTTGGTGGATTGCAGATGACGCACTTTTTTGTATTTAATCAAATGTTTTGCATAATACAGAATGTAAAAGAATTTCGTTGCTTTTAACTCCTTAGTTGAAATGGCGGTTCCAAAACATGCTCACATACGCATCCTCACAACTTCTGTTTCAGTGGTTATACCTGGGAAGTCTTTGATTAATGCATTAATGGTAAGAAGATTAATGATAATGTAACGGACTAGATGTCTATATTCTACTTTCTAATAACACTGCTATTTGAAAAAAAGGCTAGAGGAGCCTAGAAATAAAATTAGGAAAAATTTCAAATGGCATTTTTATGGTGTTGGACACCAATTTGGTAATTACGTGCAAAATTTATTTCTAACTAAGAATCTTATCCTTTGTGAAAAATCTGCAGCCTGCTTTTATTCGTTTATAGAGTGCAAAAGATGAATGAAATGAATTATATGAGTCAAATATGCAGACTTTTTTACGTTGCACCGATTTTATCAGATTACTGACATCACAAGAGTAAATAATGTTTAAAGTGATGTCTAAATATTTTTGGGATGCAATTTAGTAGCTCCACGAAAACACGATTTTGTCATTTCCAAATTCAGTTTGCAAGTATTTTTAAATATTTCACCATCATGTTAAGAAATTTTGCCATGTTAGCTGCTCATTGTCTGACCAACTTCAATCTAATAATAGTTTATCGCCTTTGCTTCCTTTTCAATTTTCACGCACATTATTTTAAGCTTATACACCCATTCTTTTTGCCATCCTACAAATGGTAAACACATGTCATTCATTCTATTATTTTTAATGGAGTAAACGCGTTATTTATTTGATTTTTTAAGTGCTTTTGTATCTGAAACGCCTACTTACCACTTCAACATTAGAAAATTTACTGCAGGTCCCAAATTTTACCCCGCTTCCGTGAAAATTTATAACTGCCATACACGTGTGAAGTCCACTTAAATAAATTGAGCATTACTTATTTGCTACAGTACTGCATAGAAAAGCAATTAATGCCACTGAACCCTCGACAATGTTTGATTCAGACGATAGCCTAAAAATTGATTAGAAATGCTATTAAAAATATCCTTAAATATTTTTAAAATAGTCCAAGCGTTTTTCAATGATTTTTAACTGTTAAATTATAACAGTCATCACAGTTTAGTAACAGGGAGAGGCGTTGATTTAACGCACCTGATACCCAGCTAATCCTTTTAATAACTGTAAATACACCCAAAAGAATGCCAAGATTCTATCGTCTAGGGACTTCACACTTGCCCCAGTTTTTGGGCTTTATTTTTATAATTAGCTCAAATGTAGGTGAGATAATTTACTTACACATTATGAGGCTCACAATTTCGAGTAAATGATATTGAACTTCTTTACTACCTATCAAAATATGATTATATTTTCACCAGGAAAAATTACATTTCATACCTACCCAAACTAATCATAAAGTCTAACTAGACAATCTCACTAGACACAACATAATGTAATTTAAAAAAAAATTATTAAATTATGGGGCAGAATATCCGCATATTTCATCATCAAATACATATCTAATATTCTAAATGGTACATCAAATAAAAAATTAGCTCCTAAAAAATTTTCACTTTAATGAAATGTTCATAATATATAAGCTAATAATATAAGCTTGCGTTTAGGTTTTAATAAGGATGACTAAGATTTATTGAGACTCTCAATGTGGTCTTCTTATCGAACAAGGCCAAACGACCTTCGCAGATAACGCCCGACATCTAACGAAGGAAAACCGTAGCAAAGATAAAGCTCAACCAATTCATTGCAACGTTGACAGGTGTATGTAAGTGTAAACAGCATGATAGGGTGTCGCTTTCTATATAAGCACTTGACATCGATATCTAAAATAACATCGCGAATTGACGTTCGAATCAGCAAAATTATGACAATTCCGTCATTATTTTTTTCAAAAATGGTTCCTTTGATATAAGTTTAACTGCAAACTAAATGCTAAAAAGACAAAATGCTAACTATAATCAAAAAATTGGAAAAAAATCTCATTTTCGTAAAATTAGATCAGTTTTTTTAACTTCAATTAATTATTGTTTGTAAAATTACTTGCTTTACTTCATCGATGCTATAGTTTCTGAATGAAATTTTTAAAAAAAATAGTCTTGATTTGTTTATAAGGCAAAAAATTAAAATTTTAACTTAAGTCTATAATGACAAAAAACTTGTTTAACTACTTCAAAAGAATTACTAGACTGTGGAGGTTAGGCGGCAAATTTTCAATACATGTTTTTATTTTTGGTGAATGATTCCTTTTTTACAAAAGCAATACTCCTTTTACTTGATGGAACCTGTTTAAGGGAATATTATTATTTTTGTTGCTTTGCTTTGTATCTCGTTAACGCAAATTTATTAAAGTTCGTGGGTTAAGTGTTTGCACTTTCCGTGTTAAATCGTTTCCAATGTGAATAACATATTTAACTGCACATAATTGCATAAACCTGTTTTTTGAATAATACTTTTATTATTAAACTTAGTTTTTAGATCTTTTATTTTTCTTGATGCCTTCTTTGGTCTTATATGCAACATCAATATACACGAGTAATTATATGTTTTTATTAATAGAAAATCAAAATATATTTAGTAACCTACGTAATACATTTAATATAAATTGATCTGAGTCATGATTCATTGTTAAAATTTTTATTTGTACTATGAATTTTATCAGTACCAGCACACAGGTTCAAATTTTTTAATGCATTTGTTGTAGTCCTTCTAGTTCTCCTTTTATGCATCCCTTTGCAAATATTTATTATATTTTCTATCTGTAAATTAAAAAGCGTTTGTTAGCTATATTTTTCACTTTTGCATCACATAAATCTCCCAATAAATGTCAAAACAATGTTATTGCTTAAAAAAACGGAAAAAATAATGAGTTTGCTTTGCTGTGTCCTGACTAGAAATGTCGTGCTTATCAAATATGTTGCTTAGTTTTGCTTGATGTTTATTTAGTAAACATGGTATCTGAATTTGGATTCTTCGAAATATTTGACCTTATGGACCAGTACTCCAGTCTACCCCCAGTTTCTGAAATACCTAAGAAGCCGGTCCAGTTTTACTATGAGAAAGCAAAGAAACTTCGAAAGTACTGCAAACCAGAATTACTTAATAATGAAGAAATTGCCAATTACCCAAAGTTCAAAGACTGGTGCAACTATATCACGCGATTCAGCACTTGCAACATAGCCCCTCATCCGACGGAGTTTTTTAGGTAATTTTACAAGTGATTTGTATCCATTTGCTGGTATTAAATTAGCAGTCTGTGCAGATACTTGTACAATCTCTTTTTCTAAATATGGTGCATGACTATCCACTGCTTAAGAATTTAATGAAAACAGCAAGCAATTTCGAACGTCGACAGTAACGTAATTTGTTACCTGCAAAATTACCGAATATCTAACTACGTATTCTGTTGAAAATGGCTATGTGGAGATGTAAAATAAAGCGTGCCTGAGTTCTGTGGCTTCCTTGACAACGTATATGTGTTGCACAACCTTGAATACAGTTTTTCGTGTCTGCAAAAAAGCCATCACATTTAGCTCTCATTTGACAATTTAATTGTTTTGTATTCGGTTCACGCACTTAAGCCATATAACTAGGTTACTCTAAGATCGCTCTAATTCCCATTAAAAAGGTCTGAGCAATATGCATAGGTGCCTAACTTAACGTCAAAATCTCGAGATTGTGTATTCTCAAAAATCATTTGTTGACGCACTCACTATTCCGCTCCTCTCATAAAAGTGTTTTTCTTATAATTCTTAACAATTGCTATTATTTTCATAACTGTGATGGTTGCATTGAATGTATTTTGGAACAAATACTACCTTACACCAGGCCTGATGTATTGGAAAATAGTTTTCCTGCAAAAAGCCCTTGATTTGCATAAAAACTAGCCTGCAACCTGCTCTGAGAAGCAACTTTGACAAGATTCTTGTAAGATTGGGTATTCTGTTTGATTTCAGCCCCCTCAACTCACCAGTGAGCAACACAGCCAGTTTATCCGTTGTTGCAACCTCTTCTGCCCCAGCAACTATTGGACCCCAAGGTGTCTTTGGGTACTCCTGCTACGACGACTACCTATGCGAACCTGCTGACAAAGGCAGCCTCTTCTTTCTGGTCTACGGAGCGATTTTTACACTGATCTGCTCAGCAGGTCTGCTGCTCAACCTGGCGTGTCTGGTTGGATTTAATAGGTCAACCAATCGGTCCGGGGCAACGCTCTACTTCTCCATCATCTGCCTAATGGATTGCGTCTACCTTGGCATAAAGTTGGCCCTCAAATCCACTGTGCATTTGAATGACGTGGATTATTCCGGCCAGGTGAATGCCTATGCTAAGAGAGCAGCCTACTTCATTCCTACTGCAGTGCCCTTGCTGACATTCAGCGAAGTTGTGTCTGTAAGTCTGTATACTACTGAAAAATCGTCAGGCTTCCCTATCTTTGCTAAAATGCAGCATTAATGAGGGAAGAAACTTCCATATTGGTCTAAAGCAGATGAAATGGCGTAAATGCTTTGAGCCTTTCCTAAAACCGATCTTCAAAACAGATGTCGAGACAGCCGTTGGGAAATTCCTTCCCATTTACCGTATCATAATCGTGGGATAGTTATACTAAAAGCCAACTTTGGGAGCGTATAAGCCAATTGCGTGAATGAACTCAAATCACGTGACGACGAATGCGTGGCTCTTGGATACGCCCACTTCTCCTCACTGCACGAGAGAATGCAACGGACGAAGTCAAATAGAGCTCTTTTATACTATTCCTGGAATTGATTTCCTCCAGAATTTTTATTGTTTTCCAGTACAAACTGCCTGAGCAACGGTAGGTTTTAAAATCAGATTTGGTTAACTGCACAGGACGTTTGCTCACGTTTTAAACAGTCTTATTTTGGAATTTGTACTGGATTTAATTACTCCCAGGAAAATTTTACCCTAACGGACACAACATCGGTTTCTTGCTTCACAGGTTTGGCTGATAGTCTGCGTCCTGTTTGACCGCTACAACTACCTGCAGCGAGGCTACTTCTCGAAATCCGTAACTTCTCTTAAACGGCACATTCGAATCGCCTCTGTCGTGATCGGACTCTCTTTCTGTTACAGCGTTCCAAAATTCTTCGAGTACAAAGCAGAACCTAATCCCGCCATTCCCACGGGGTACCGGGTTGTCTACACAACGGTTGGCAACTCTACCGTCTACAGGTAATTTGAAATTGACTACCCCGCTATCAGTTTACGTTGTAATTCCGACAACGCCTGCTCGGTATAATGGCTGCCGACCTGGCATTAGATGCGGCCTAACAGCCCAAGAATGTTATTCATCAGCGACGAGCAAGCCACTTTTAACTTGTATTCGTTTTGATGAAGAAACGGGTTGTATAGTAAGTGCCAATACTTACTAACCACTCGTTTCCCTTCGGAAACTGTTGCCAGTTTAGTTAATACAGACTGACCGATGTCGCGAAGTTCGATCATGCATGGCTATTTTCCACGTACCACCTGGAACCAATCAAAGCACTGTCAGAGGAAGCTTAGAAATACAATTCTGACAAGTCATCACCTGTGTGTTGTGCGATACCTTTTCAGAAGCCTAATGGACTACCTACTAAACATTCCACTCGAAATGTTTCTCCCCTATCTTGCGGTTGGTCTAATCACCTGCCAAGCAGTCTCCAAGATGGTCGACCTTGGGTCTTCTAAGTGGAAAGCGGTGACCAACTTCTGCTCCCCGTCTGCGTACTGTTGCTGTGGCTACGAATTCGCCAATTGCTTTTCCAACAGCAGGAGGAAACAGGGGAACAAGACCCCACCGTTAGCAACACCCGCCGCCACCGCCCAAACTGCCATCCCCAATAGCGTAGTGAGTCACTCCTCCACGGACTACATCGATGGCCACCCTACAACACTTAGAGCTCTCTCCTATACTAGCGGTGGTGGATTCGATGAGGTTGCAAATTTCTACGGAGGGCGACAGGTCTACTACTGTGGAATTCCCTTTGAAAAGCGCTCCGACCTAATGCCCTTCTACTTTCTCGTACCACCTCCACGGCAGACTGTAAAGGAGACGGCCAATGTGGTGATCGCAGTATGTCTCGGTTTCCTCCTACTGTTTACGAAGATCCCCAAGTTGGTTCTCACCGCTCTGGAGCTAGAGAAGTACATCGAGATGAACGAGGTGTACACTCGCATGACACAAGAATGCCTCAACATGGCGTTCATCATATTTAAGCCGCCCATCTACCTGATCCTGGGGGTGCATTTCAGACACGCACTGACGGGCCTGTTCTGCTGTGCCTGCCTCTACACCCCCGTGATCCGTGGCGGCATCGCGTCGCAGGACGGACAGCACCACGCAGAAGCCGCGGAACACGAAATCATTGGAGGGGACGACAAGCAGCCCCCCAAGTTGTTGATAGACGGGAGGCGGCCCGACAACACCGAGGCGCCGTAGCTTCGATGGAGTAAACACGCAAAAGTAAACGCAACACCTCTGCACTACGGTGGCTAACGGATTTACCAGCACCTCGATTCCAGTGTCATTTACGTTTTGTTCTCTTGTCGTACCTGTGTGCACACGCGTCATAATTTACAACCTAGGGACGAGACACGCTTTCTCTTCCCCGTCCATTTGTCGTGTACCTGTGGCAAAATATCGGTGAACAACCGCTTTTGTGGTATCTAAAACCCCTCAGGGTTTTGAATGTGCTAATTACGGCTAAATTTCGTCAGAAAAAGAGCAGAAAAGGTATGTAGAGCTCAAAGACGTATTCAAAAGCGACTGAGGGGTTGAATAGTTGCAAAATTGACAGAAATCTAGGCCAGTTTATAGTGATTTAAGTCAACAAGGTAAATGCGACTTCTTTCTACGAGGTCGCCTAAAAGTTTTGCCAGAGCTTGTCGGTTAATGAACTTGTACGGACGTTGGGCGGTGTCGGGCAGGCAAAAGGATTTGGTGTTCTCAAAAATAACATCGAATGGCACGCCCCTGTCATATCCTAGGACAAAGGAAACACGAATATTAGTAATAACTCGACGCGAGCATTTCTGTCAAAGCAAAAGACCATTTGAAGGGCCGTGTGAAAGTGTTTAGCTGCTCCAGCGCACACCCATTCTGCGTGGTAAATGACTTGGGTCAGGCTTGCGCCGATGAAGTAACTATGATGGAGGCTCAAACCAGAGATTTTGCTCTGAGCTTTCAGCTTACTCTTCCAAATAGCAGCCTCCTTCACTCAGTCCTAGGCTAACCCACACGAGGCAGCGATTGCTTTGTTTTTCAGTGGTGACAGACTAGTCGGGAACCCCACGCATTGCTGATGGCTATGCAAAATCACCGTAATAACGCACCTTCTTGTTCTTCCGAGATCAGCTGACAGACGCGCTTGGCCAAGAGTTCATCCTTGGGGACGTACTAAAAAAGGAACAACAGAAGCGAAAAATAAGATGCCCATTTTGGGAGAGAATATCTCCAGGCTACTTCGTGCGCACAAATTGCGTCGAGAGCAGCAAATGCTCTTGTTTCATGTTACTGTGAATGCAAATTACAACAGTACCACCCATTAGGCTCAAATTCCTGCTTAGTTTATAATGCATTTTCTCTGCTTGTAAGCGAATTTCGGAAATTATAAAAAAGAACCTTAGAGGCATCAGGCAAGCAAAAAAATCCATTTGCAGATTAGGCGGCTTTGATAAGACAAAATAATTTCAGATAATTATTGCATTAAATCCACTCTCAGCACCGAAATGTGTGCAGAATGTGATGGGTTTGACGATGACGTGTGCATTTTAAGTAATTCTGCTGGGAAGCTTCAAGTACGTGTGTACTTTTAAACATTATTTCCAGTCGTTTAGAAGTTGCTGCTGCTGCTGCTGCCGCATTAACAAAGGTACGCACACCACTGCAAAACCGACTTTACGGAAGGTGTTTCCCTTCATTTCGCGGCATTATTGTGTAATGAAATCGAATGGAAGCAAAAGCATGTTGAAAATGGGGCGAAAACGACATGCATGAGGTCAGGCCCTCGCTGTAATTTAAAAATACGCCTGGCAAAGCGACGACCCAACTCACCTGATAGGCCAACATCCCGCCAATGGGATCAGAGTATCGGAAAATATAACCATCCTTCAGTAAGTGGTCGATTATCACTTGCACTCGGTACTTCAGGTCGGAGGCTGGTGGTTTATTGGTAAGAGGGTTGGCTTGCTCTGAGATCTTGCCCAAATCGGATTCGTACTGGTTTCGAAGGCAAAAATAAAGTCAGAGCACTGACAACCTTTCAACCCTTTCCCCATTGGTGGGTTCAGGAAGTTGGAAACTTACGATAACGTCCTCCATCAATGCCCCAGTTTGCGAGGAGATGTGCTGAGCAATCTCTGAATTCAGTTGTAGGTCAAGGGCAGTGAACACAAAGAGTTGGTCGGCCTCAATGACACCCCGGATTCTCTCCATTAGGACTTTATCCGTGTCATTCTAACAAAAAACACTCAGAATGAGAAAAAAGAAGCATTTGCGTACTTGAAGGCCATCTTTAAGACGATTCAAAATGTCCGCCGGGTCGTATGGTAGGGAGTAAACATTGGCCTTTAAGCGAGCAGCAAGAATCACGCTGTCCAACACTTCTTGTTGGTCGGTGATGATGCCTAAAAAGGAGAAAAAGAGGCAAGAGCCATAGGGACACCGTTAAAAGGAGGTCGGTGTGGCAGAGAAGTAGTGTAGATGCCTCAGGCGTCCTATGACCGTCGTCTTGGCGACCCGGCGTTCAAACTGCCACAGTCAGTTCATAAGACAGGGTGGATTTATCAAAAGAGCAGCATTTTATAAAATAAGTAAACACGGATGGACATTCCCGGACAAAATGATCGCATAGTCGTTGACGTGCTTTTAAAATGAACAAACACAGCATGAATATGCGTGTGATTGCGTCAGTTTGATCGTGGCGCTATGCATGCGCATAATAATGCGAGTTGTGATCGGTGTATTCAAAATGAGACCGTAGATGACAGTTTAGAGGAATGCGGCTAAATCTTCGACAACTTCTTCATTGTCGGACATTCAGCGAGGTGAGATCGGTAGGGGAGGAATTTATGCAAACCCAATGCAAACACCGAATTTTTGCACAAATTACCTTGGACACCGTGCACACCACATACACACTTTCACACGACCTTCTCATTCACTTAATCGTCCTTCCTGCGCGCGAGCATTCGTAGCCCTGGATATTATAAAAAATTGAGCGCAGGGCCTTTGAGGAGAAAGAATTTCTCGAATGCAATTACCAGAGAATTCTGACCAACGGACTCCGTTACTTTGCTGATATATTTGACCAATCAAATCAACGCATATTTATCAAAACGTTGGCCGGATCCTGATTCAAATACTAGATTAATCCCTTTGATCAAGTGGTCGGTGTGAAAAAAATGTCAAATTTAATCTGATAGGATTGAAATACCTATACAGAAGTCATAACACTATTTAATCAAGACGTTTAAAATGCACTTACTATTGATGTTAAATAAGTAGTCATGACGCGTAACACGTCAAAAAGACGGTTCAGGGGAATCAAATGACCAGAAGTTGTAGGGACTTACGACAGTAACTTGCCGATATGTTCACTTTATTTCGGAACATTTGCAAACGGCCACGGACGTGAATGGTATCACCAATTTCAAGTTTGGAGGACACGTCAGCGTTGGTGTGAACAACGGGATACGAGCGAGAGGCCATTTGAAGCAACTTCTCACCAAGGGAGACCACGTGACTCGGCCTTCCACGCAGCTGTGTGGGTGTGAAACCCTGAAGAGGATTTTGGCGCCAGATCGTGCAGGTGATTTGACCCGTTCCATCGTCAACTATAAAGTTAGACAAAACCTCAACAGGAAACTTGGAACAAACCGTCAATTCATGCTGACTGCGCACCCTGTACAGTAATAAAATAACCTACCATCTACTAGGTAGTAGTTTTCGCGAACAGTTAAGTGGCAAACAACTCCACAAATGTCCACATAGGACACCCAGCGCGAGCCAAAGCGAAATAATCCTATAGGAGGTAAAACATGTGGAAGCAATTCTGACAGCGGAAATTAGCAGGAAAGATTAACGACAGAATTCGTGTATAGTGGGATATCGTCTGGATGAAATAATAAACAACCTAGTTGAGACTTCTCCGTAACAGACATAACTAATGCATTTTGGAAGACACCTAGGAAGAATCTGAAAAGAGGTTCGTTGAATTGTTTGACGAAAATTCATTAGAAATTGTTTTGGTTATTTCCATTACTACGATGTATAGCCAAATAAACTCGATAACTTGCATTAGTAGTGGAAAAGCGAAAAAATTGACAGAATTTACCATTTGATATTTCGGTTGGTGTCATCTTTAGGGTGTCGCCTATAAGCACCCGGAAATTTAAGCGAGTCAATGGGTCCAAAATGACTGGAGAACGTTCTCGAGGAGCGTCAAGCACTGTGCCGTTGATCCACGCACTGTCATCCATCAACTAATTCAACGGTTACTGTATTATTTAGGAGATTTTGAGGCAGATATCATGCAATTAAAAATGTACAAGATAGAATTAACATTTACGCCGGTATGACTTTGATTGAATACATTCAGGCTACGCGGTGGCAGAACTTCTTGATAAAAAGAAACAGAAAAAAAATCAGAAGAATCTAACAACAAGAATTGAAGTGAAATCGGGTGATATACAAAGATAAGGTGAGACATCAGGGGATTACTATTAAATAAGCAAACAGAATTATAGAAAGATTCAATCGATACTCATCGTAAAACAATTAAATTGCTGAGATTAAAACGTAATTATTAACAACAGGGGTTTAGGAACATGATTGTGTATGCCGCTTAATTCAATTTAGACTTATAGAAAATTAGTTTATAAGTAATTTGACGTTTCTAGCCGGTAGTATGGCGTTGAGGAAACATAGGCTTTTTAACGATGCGTGCCTTTCACAGAAACCAATAATACTAAAATTGCTCTGAAAGTCGTACATAATGTGTCAACCCCTAGAATCTCGGAAAATGTCTAGCATCTTGTATTTAGTATCATACTAATACAATTTCAGAAAAGGGTAATTTAACTGACTGCAGTCAAATTATTTCAATTTCATAATGTTCCAATATCAAGAAAAAAGTACTTGTAATATAATTCGGTGTTTCAAAAAAATACTATAAATTAATCAATAAATGCAAATGCGAATACTTCGGTGTGAATTATAGATTTTTAAAATGGACAATCAGAGGGCAGTGATCGCTTCATTTTCAAAACAAATACACAATTTGGTATAGCCGCCTGCATTCAAGGTCGTGGGAAAACTGAATGTCAACGTGGGCCCTCCATTTAACAGTGGCGGCCGGTTCAAGTAGCCAGTTCATTTATTTTATGAAATAGATTTGTAGCTCCATCAAGTAAGCTTGAAAAAATTACTCGGTCTAGCTTCAAACATTTCTGAAATGGTTTCTGACCGAAATATAACTGATGCATTAGTGCCGTCTGCCACCATGAAAGACAAAGAGATACATTTGGAAGCCTCAAAGCATACCGCTAACTGTGGCGGATTATTTTAGAATTTGGCTATTTTGACCATTTTTTTAAAAAAAATTCGCATTATTTAGTCCTACAACCATTCGTAATGAGACAGACTAGTATGTAGCCAACTTAATCAGCAAATTTGGTACAAAATAAGATTTAGTTATACAAATTTATTGAATAAAACAAAATCTTCTTAACAGCCCATTCAACCGCGTTCCCTAAATCTTAGCAGTGAATTTATTTATTTTCTTTTGATAGGAACCTTTGAATTTCCTTTCGTGAAATCGAGCAATATTTTTTACATTGTTCTAAATTTTATGCCTCTTTTTATAAAAAAAACGCTTATTTGTCAACTGCCATAATGTATATAAGCTTCTCCTTCGATATTTGAGATAATAGCTGCGTGAGCTAAACAGCCGCTTAAAATTATAAAGCATGCAAGGCATATGTTTAACAGCACATTAAATTTAGCTGTAATTTAGACGACTTTAACACAGAAAAAGACTATAAAGTATTGTAATCAATTTGTTAAAATCCAAGCTGATTTTTTAGTTTGAATGATGGGTAATTATTGCGACGAATGTTTTCAATCATAGTGGTCTTTGTGGCTGGCTGCGCTCCAAAACAGCTTAAACAGTTTATAGGAGTAACATTTCTAGCCTTACTGGGATTAAAAATTCAACTATTTTTAAGTATGTTCGCTGGTTGGAAGGTATTCAAAAACATGGAAATTGAGTTCTACGTGAGTGTACCTGACACAACATACCTCTGCGTGTGTTTACATGCTTACCACTGCTAACCCTCAAGCTGCAGAAAGGTACTACTCATGGAAATTGTAACAGATAAGAATTCTCAACATATAAATTTATGGCCAGGTACGCGGAAACCCGGTGCAACGACCCCCAGAGAAACTACGTTTCTAAAGAAGTTTTTTCGGAGTATCTGATCTGAGGAAAAGTGTGATTTTTTATCAAATCAAAAAAATGGTCAGAAATTGACTGTTGAATGCCTTATCCGATAACTGAACAAACTGCAATTAGAACCTGTTCAAACATTTGTATTTACCCAATCAAGATGTAAGGAAGTCATTTTGTTACATGCTAACACTGAACACTACATTGCATGCGCAAACACGTTGACCGTCTAGCATTTGCATAATCAGAAGTTCTATCATGAGCGGTATATCCACCACACTTAGTCTCATCCGACTATAACCGGTTCCGGTCAATATGGCAGCACGCCTTAGGGGATAAAAATTCAAGACGCTATACGTAAAATCAAGAATATGTTGCATAATATTATTCAAATGAACGGACTTCGATGCCCGTCATTCACATTCATCAACCCTATTTCCTGCTAAATTTCTTTTAAAGATGTTTCGTCATTTTGGATGAACAACGGGCTCAAAAAATTTAATATCAATAATTTTGTAATGTGGAGCTTAAAATTGGTAGGTTTATGATTAAGTACAAAAAATTGTTAAAGAAATTTTCAATCCAATCCAATTCTTAATCGTGTTTGCAAAATGATGCACTTTGAGTAAATAGCTAACATTAGCTAAGTCACTGAGTAAAGTTGAAAACATCTTGTTACCTAATAATCTCACCTGTTTTCTAAATTAACCGCTTGCAGTTCTCCAATTTTATTTATGACTATTACAATTTTTCAAGAATAGAAGATTTGTCGACATGTAGTTAACGATTTGCGATCTGAGATTCGCATGATATAAAATTTTACTTACAGCGCTTTTTTAGGTAATTTTTTTACAGTCGTGTTTTTAAATTTTCGTTGCTAAAATCTATGGTTAATTCCACATAAAGATGTGATTTGTTAATTGGTTTGTTTATTCGGGTGGCAAAATCAAATCTATTTATTTCATTTTTTACTTCTCATGTGTGCGGGTGTTTTGCGCTCTTAGTGGATTTACTGTCTGTTGCCTTATGGTAATTCATTTAATTGCCTTTGAGATCATACCGTTAGTTTTTTTAAACTTGTTATCTGTACATAATATTTGAAAATCCAGAGTATGCTCTTATCATGAACGCGATAACACCGGATGCGTCTGAGACAGATTCCGACTGCGGATATAAATATGTCTTTCCATTACGTCATGAGGTATCTCCCCGTGATTATTTAAAGTTTATCCTCACGGTGTGGTATTGTCCCGAAACTAGTTCTGCCATTGCCGGTAAGTGCTATTTTATCTGCTTTAATTAAACTAGACCTTATGGCAAATATATATGGAGATGCCCAGCTCAAGGAACTTCTTGCTAGTCCAATGGAAATTCTTCTGTTTAAATCCCGAAAATTCTTTTTGGAATTGAATATTTAAACTTGTTGATCCCCAGGTGAATAGCCTACGTCTCAACGTAACACTGAACCTCCCTTGTTTCCAACAGATGGTTCTTGCCCCGCAGGCAGCGCCCACTCATCAAGTGCCTCAGTGAGGGCTGACGATAAACTGTTACCTCTCGGTAACTGTCTTTGTACATTAACATTCACTCCTACCCCCAAACCCTTCGTTTTCATGTGAAATGCATATTTGCCTGTTTTCTTGATTTTTTGTCTACGTGTGGTTCTGGTCCTGGGTTATCGCGCTGCACAATGATTTAAGTTAGTGACTTATCTGTGGTTGTTTGTTTTCTCAGCCTAGTGATTCCAATCTGGCCCGATAGTAGTCATACCTAGTTCATTATTTTTTCTGTCGCATTTAAACATCTATACCTATCGTTTCTCATAGAGTCACGCTCTTTACTTATGCTATCAAAGATATTATTCAAAGCTTTTAGCATTATCCTTAGGGATCTCCAAGCCAATGCATCTCTAGAGTAGTCGCATATTGCGTCTGAATTGATTTCGAAGCAAAACCTGTCGTCGAGTGTGCTGTCTGTGGTTTAACTTTCAACCTTTTTGCTAGTGTGTCATCTGGTTGGTCAGCGGCTCTATCCACATTCCGTATCCATCCACACTGTTTGAAAAAACGTAATAAGTGATTTTTGAGTGGGTAACATTTCGGTTTTTGTGAACACACTCTGAGTTTTTCCTTTTGCGATTTGCCCACATTGCCGGAGGATGTGAAATCTAATCTGGTTGTGGTGTACTATTCTATCTAGGACTTCCCTCAGAATGGCCCTAAAATAAGTTACAGGAAATTTCTGTTCCCCCAGACATTTTTCGATATGACTTTATACAACAGCGGCTCTTTTCTCTGGGAACAGGGACGATTTGACTTTCCTTTTGTGATTGGTTCGTGGAGGTAAACATTGGATATTTCCGACGTTTACCTTTGAGTCGGTATGGTGGGAATAAAATATCTGTGAGTGGTTGGAAGCATTGTCCTGGGTTTATATTCCCATAGCCTGTTTACGCACACTATTGTTCTAATTATGTGAAATGCGTTATAAAACCATGGAAATTACTTTTTGTCCTGTTTTCCGTGTGGCGAGTACAGTTATCGATCATGGGCGAACGTAGTTAGCAAGCCTGAGCAAGCACTATTCGAGCGATTTTCGTGAATTCCCTTCGTGTAACCCCGCTCGCTCAAGGATCGATGCTTAGCGAATCTACATTAACGCACTTGTTATTCTGTACACACACACCGCTACTGTTTTAATAAATTGGTTGGGCTACTCGTCATCTGCAGTTCTGCTCTACTTTCGGTCGGGCCGTGTCGACGTAGATTGTCGGCCCTGGTGTGGTTTCTAAAACCGCACCGGGGCCCACTACAAGTTGGCGAGCAGCACGCAAACGCCGCTACTGACCCCGCTATTAAACACGTTTGGCCTTCTACGAGCTGAAAATCAACGTTTCGCCCCGATGGCCCATGAACGGCTCTGAATCGATTCATCTAGCTCATTTTCGATGACTTGGTAAGCTCAACCCGACTCCCGATTCGTTCTTGCGTGCTCTGCTACGGATCTCAACTGACCCTCGCCTTGTCCTTACCA